AAAAGTGTATTTATTTACCTTTTACCATTTCCTACAAACTGTGATATTTCATTTGATTTATTATTTTATGTCTGACAGGCCTTTATTTGAAGTGAGCATAAAAAAAAAAAAAATGAAAATTATAACTACATTTTATTTTATGTATTATTAAAAATACACAGTATACAATATATATTTTCTTTCCTTATTTTTGGTAGGCTCATTTTAAATCATATTTATACAAATTCTTGGGAGGCAGCAAAACACAATTTTAAGGATAATTACCAAATACTAAAGACAACAAAAATATTACAAATGAATTTGTTTTTTCTGTCAATTAATTTTTGTTCAGTTTCCTAAATAGTTGAGATGCAGATATATTTCAGAAAATATTGTGGAGCTCCAGCCATGGAAGCATGTGGTACCATAACTAAGCTCTGCCTACTTTTCTCTTAGATACTAGTTGGGTTTCAAATTGCAGATAATAGACCATGGTTCTCCCTCAACACACATTTTAAGCGAATTATTTCATCAAAACAGCAAAAGAAACAAGCATTCTTAGAGTATTGCATGGCAATACATAGTCTCCTACTGGTTAAAATTCATTGTACTAGAACAAAATGCTAACTTAATCGGTTTGTAATATTTCTATAATAAAAAAAAATTCCAAGTCAAAGGACCATAAGACTTCAAATAAAACCACCGGAAAGAAACAAAATTTAAACTTAATCTGTAACTTGTCATTGTTAAACTATCAAACAAATATCAAATCAATATATTCAAGGATAACAAAAAAAAGTGTGGAAAACTGATTATTTGCGTAAATTTTCTGAGTATGAGAACAATAGCTCTGCAAAAAAAAATCATCCGACCAGAACAAAATTCGAACTTGATCTGTAACTTGTCATGGTTATATACTATATAATAAATATCAAAACAATATCTTTAAGCATAACTAAAATAAAATGCTCCGCAGGGCGCAGCTTGATACGACCGCAGAGGTCGAACCCTGAACAGTTGGGGCAAGTATGGACACAACATTCAAGCTTGATACAGCTCTGAATTTGGATTGTGATTAAATATTTGACACAGCATAGGTTTCTGACACAGAATGAATGTGGTCTAAGAACTTAAAAATTTTAAATTGGACATTCACCTATTATGGTCCAATATCCAAAATCTAAATACATGGTTAGATTCAGCATATCAAAGAACCCCAAGAATTCAATTTTTGATGAAATCAAACAAAGTTTAATTTTGGACCCTTTTGACCTCAATGTGGACAAAGTTGATAACGGGGCCCAAAAATCATTACATGGTTAGATTCAGCATATCAAAGAACCCCATATATTCAATTTTTGTTGAAATCAAACAAAGTTTAATTTTGGACCCCGATTTGGACCAACTTGAAAACTGGGCCCATAATCAAAAATCTAAATACATGTTTAGATTCATCATATCAAAGAACCCTAAAAATTCAATTTTTGTTAAAATCAAACTAAGTTTAATTTTGGACCCTTTGGACCTTAATGTAGACCAATTTGAAAACGGAACCAAAAATTAAGAATCTAAATACACGGTTAGATTCGGCATATCAAAGAACCCCAGTAATTCAATTTTTGATGAAATCAAACAAAGTTAAATTTTGGACCCTTTGGACCTCAATGTGGACCAATTTAAAAATGGGGCCCAAAATCCAAAAACTTAATACACGGTTAGATTCAGCATATTAAAGAACCCCAAGAATTCAAGAATAAAACCCCATTGAAATTGATCAAGAAATAAGCAATTTATACGAAGTATCTTCTTTTGCACAATACTGTGCAATTGAAGATTTCTTGCTTTTGCGCAATATTGTGCTATTGGATATTTCTTGCTATTGCGCAATACTGTGCAATTGAAGATTTCTTGCTATTGCGCAATACTGTGCAATTGAAGATTTCTTGCTATTGTGCAATACTGTGCAATTGAAAATTTCTTGCTATTGCACAATACTTATTATATAATAATTTACACATCCTGTTTGGTGTGTATCTCCTACCATATCATTATTATTTGCTTTTAAATATTAATCAGAAATAACCAACATAAAATGGAAAATTTTAAAAGAAAAAAAAAAGGAAAAAAAAAAAAAAAAAAAAAAAAATCCCCCCTCCCAAATTTTTTAAACCCCCTTATGATTCATCACCCCCAAACTCAATACCAGCCTTCCCTTTGTGGTATGGTACCTTGCAGTACAATTTCAGAGAGATCCATACACTTGAACACAAGTTATTGTCTGGAAACTAGAAAAATGCTTATTTTTGGCCCCTTTTTGGCCCCCAATTCCTAAACGTTTAGGGCAATTACCCCCAAACTCAATTCCAGCTTTCCCTTTGTGATATGGAACCTTGTAGTACAATTTCAGAAATATCCAAACACTTACACACAAGTTATTGTCATGAAACTAGAAAAATGCTTGTTTTTTGCCCCTAATTCCTAAAATTTTGAGGCAATTACCCCCAAAATCAATTACAGCCTTCCCTTTGTGATATGGAACCTTGTGGTACAATGTCACAGAGATCCATACACTTACACACAAGTTATTGTCTGGAAGTAACAAAAATGCTTATTTTTTGCCCCTTTTTGGCCCCTAATTCCTTAACTGTTGGTACCATAACCCCCAAAATCAATCCCTACCTTCCTTTCGTGGTATTGAACCTTATGGTAAAATTTCATGGAGATCCATTCACTTAAACTAAAGTTAGAGTGCGAAAACCAATGTGTCTTCGGACGACGCCGGACGACGCCAGACGACGACGACGACGACGCCAACGTCATACCAATATACGACCAAACATTTTTTAATTTTTGCGGTCGTATAAAAAGTGAGGAAAACTGATTATTTGCATGAATTTTCTAAGTCAACAAAAAAATCATCCAAACCAAACACTGAGCAAAATTAAAACTTGATCTATAACTTGTCATGATAAAACTATATACCAAATTTCAAATCAAAATCTTCAAGCATGACAAAAAAAAGTGTGGAAACCTGTTAACTTGCATGAATTTTCTAAGTCCAAGGATCATAACTATGCACAAGATCATCAGACTGGAACAAAATCCATACTTGATCTGTAACTTTTCATCATAAAACTATATTCCAAATATCAAACCAATATCTTCAAGCGCAAAAAAAAAAATGTGGAAAACTGATTTGCCGGACTTACAGACAGACGTAGAAAAGGAAGGAATGCACACCTACAGTCCCCACTTTGGCTTTGGGACTAAAAATGCAATGTATATTACAAGTGCCAAATATGCCTGGTTTTTGATGTTTTTAAATTTCTTTTTAGGAAGCCGTGATTTGTTGCCATTAGCTATGATGTTCTCTGTATGTTTTGTCCATTTTAAGTTTGATTGCATTATAATGACCAGATATTTAGTTAGAAGAAACGAATTCAAATTTGGGGTAATGAAGAAGGTAGTTATGTTTGTATGTTTTTTTTTTCTTTCGAGTTGTAAGAACTCTTAATTTGTCTGGATGCAAAGTCATCAACCAATCACTCTCTCACCTGGCTGCAGTTTATGAATCAGACTGTAGGTAGTCAGACATTTTGAGAGTTGGATGGTTTCGTAGACGATACATACAATTTCAAACAGTATTAAGTTTACTAGATGTCAAATTTTCTTGTAAAGCATTGATATAAATCAAAAAGAATACTGTGCCTTTGGTTACACCAGAGGTAAAAGAAGACATGTCAGAGGGCTCTCCATCCAGAACAGCTGTTTTGTGTAAGATAGGTAAGGAAAACTGAGACAAAGTTCAGTGTCTTGTTTTGTATGCCATAGTAATGAAGTTGATATAATAATCAACAGTACGGGACTATGTCAAAATTCATTATGATAAGGCCTATTTCTGTTTCTAATGTTATTTGATGCTAATTACTGTGTGAAACAAGAGTGCGTACACTGAAATGTCTCCCCTGCTTTACTGACCATTGATTTTATGTTGACACATAAACAGAACTTTTTTAAAGGTCCATGACAATGAGGTCAAGGTCAGATATATCCTGGAAGACAGACATGTACACCTTTTACCTTACAATTATTCCATACACCAAATATAGTTGACCTGCTGCTTATAGTATTTGAAAAACAGACCAAAACACAAAAACTTAACATTGACAAATGAACCATGAAAATGAGGTCAAGGTCAGATGATACCGGCTAGACCAACATGTACACCTTACAATCATTCCATACACCAAATACAGTTGACATAATGCTTATAGTATCCGAGATAGGGACTTCACAATGTAACTTTAACCTTGATCACTGATCCATGAAATGAGGTCGAGGTCAGGTGAAGCCTGTCTGATGGACATGTAGATGTTGCAAGGAACCCATATACCAAATGTAGTTATCCTGTTACTCATAATAAGTAAGAAATTACATGACAAAAAAAAACAATAATTTTTTTTCAAGCAGTCACTGAATCATGAAAATGTCGTCTAGGACAACTGACATATATATATAACAGACAGAAACTTCGTAACAAAAGGTATCTGCATAGTATGCCTGTCTTTTGGAGATGGTTTAGAATGTGTTGGATGATGTTCAATTTTTTTTAATACAGATGCTACATTTGCTTGTTTCCAATCTGTGACTGTTAGAAGTGATATTATAAGATGTGACCTTTGACCTTTATTTTGAATGTTATTGTTTGACTGAATAAAAAGAATATCAGCTTTTTGTTTTGTACCTGCTATGAGTTGTCCTTATTACAATGGTAGAATTTTCTAGGCATAATAATTTGATGAATGAGAATAGCTTTTTAGGTATTGATTGTTTGTCATTTTGTTAGTCTGGAACATTTATGAGTAAATCCAGTACCATGCTTTCAATTAAACAGTATGCTGACCTCTGTTCTTTTTGTGTCTGTTTAAAGGTGCTTGTCTCTTTCAGCATATTTTGAGTTACCAAAGTTTAGATCTTGAATAAAATGTATGAAATACTAAAAAGTAGAAAACTGGCATGAATAAGGTAATTAAAATAAATTTTAATCCTTTTTTATCAGTATGTATAACAAGTTGATGAAAATGACAATGTCACAAAAGCACTAGTGAAAATTAATCTTGATCAGGGTGATGTAATAAATCATCAGTCTTTCTCTGCAATAGCTACTAAATGTTGGTCTATTTCTTCTTCACTCAGAGTTCTAAAAAATAAAATTAAAACCTTTGTTCATATGGAACAAAATAGCTACTAGGTGTTATAATATGGCTCTTTTCCTAGAGGGACCCTCATTTAAGAGGCCAAATGTACTAATAGGTAGTAATATAAAAAAACATACTGCTACACTGACGTTCAATTTTACAATTCAACCAGTTGACAGCTGAGCTCCTTTTAAAGAAATTAGGAAACTTTCAACACTTACAAAACCCTTTTATCCTACTCTTAAACTATGACATTCATTCTTGACCTGGTGATTGATTGATTGTTGTGTGCTTAACTTCCAGTGGCAAATATTTCATTCATATTCAGGACAAGAACAAATTTTAAAACAATATAATTAACTATACAATAGGTACGTTCTACAGAGAGGTAGATTTGGATGAAGGGTTGGAAACTTGGACTGCAACTGGAAAATGAGGTTTTGTTTGATATGGACAGAAATTTTGCCTAGAACAAAGCAAACTTATTATGGACGTCTACACAAAGCAAATTGACCTTATGGCATTTTCTCTTATTCATTACTGAAAAAAAATGTTAGTTTTATTTACGCAAATGCTTTACATAATGAGACCTGCACCTTTAAAAGTTTCAACCAACATTTATTTGCATACTACATTGATATAATGTTTTTTTTTTTCATATAAATTTCGTGAAAATCTATAGAAAAGTGTAAAACAGAATACTTACAAGGCCATTTTTTTAAAAGAGCTAGAAAAATGATGACCCAGCATTTGCTTTTATCTTGATTGAGGTACTACAAGCCATAGTGTTAATTTCTGATTTAAATAATTCACAGAAACTTTAACATATTGTTTACACCCCCCCCCCCCCCCCCCCCCCCCCCCCCCCCTATTTATTCATACTGAAAGGAAATATCATTGAAATGGAGATATTGTATATAAGTGAATATGTGGCATCTACACATGTCCATACTAAAGCAAAGAAAATGTCCATAAAATGATCAACAAAACATCCTGATCATAATTACCTGAATGACTTTTTATCAGCTGAAATAACTCCAACTTCTATTTCTGATGATTTAAAATCTGCAGACAAAACAGTTGACAAACATGTGATAGCCACCTGAAAGACATTTTATAGCACTTGGTTATCAGAGTTTAATTAAAGTGACAGAATAGAAAACCAACATAAAGTAGAAATATTCTGTGTTGTGTATTTCATTCCCATAGCATTCCTTATTGCAAAAATTATGTAATTTATTTTGAATAAAATAGTTTATCTAAACCTATAATTTGAGGCTGGTTCCAAATGGATTATGCACAACATGGTAACAGGCCATTTTCTCATATTTTCGCAAAAGGTGCAATTTTATACCTCAAACAACTTTAAAAATGTCTTGAACAAGAAAAAATCTGTTACCTGTTATACCCATAAGCAATGAGACTGCACAGCTCTCAACATTTTCATGCAGCCTTAGAATATAGAAATTGAGATTTTGAAACCTTTAAGCACTATGTTACAGCTTGCATTACACACTGCATTGGTACAATCAAAATGCCTACAGGTAGATAGGTAAATAACTTATTATCCCTATAAAGATAAAAATATACCTCTATTGCTTCATTAAATGTAAAATCCTGCTTCTTTTTCACTTTCTTTTCCAGAAAACTGTTGGCTTCTAATTGTTTAACACCTGCAGCTGTAGCTTTATACCCACAGTAGTAACCGGCTGGGTCACATTTAAATATCTGTGGTCCGTTCTCATCGTCATATCCCAATATTACCATACCTTAAATAATGGAATCATTTTAATAATTATTTAGAATAAAATCTACAGGCATATTTTCTATCAATTTGTGATAAACAAAATAATATAAAACACTTGCTAGGTTAACTTATTTAAGACAGTCAAAGCCATTATATTTTTTCTACCGTAAATGTACATTTTTACCCTCTGAGTTTGTCAGATTTTCCCTTTTTCTGCTATGTGTATTATAGAGATCAGAAAATCATTTTAAGAATGGACATTGATCTGATGAGTTAAGCCATTTTCAACTAATTTTTATAGTTTGTTCATATATTGTACTGTTACACCACTGTCCCATGTTAGGGGGAAGGTTGGGCCCCAACAAACATGTTTAACCCTGCAACATTCTGTATGTGCCTGTCCCAAAGTCAGGAGCCTGTAATTCAGTGGTTGTGGTTTGTTGCTGTATATCATATTTGTTTTTTGATTATTTTGTACATAAATGAGGCTGTTAGTTTTCTTGTTTGAATTGTTTTACATTTGTCATTTCGGGCCTTTTATAGTTGACTACGCGGTATGGGTTTTACTCATTGTTGAAGGCTGTACGGTGACCTATATTTGTTAATTTCTGTGTCATTTGGTCTCTTGTGGAGAGTTCTCTCATTAGCAATCATACCACATCTTCTTATTTTTTATATCAATATTTAACATGAATCTTTCTTATACTATTTTGATAAGTAATGCACAGTTTTTATGTACTCACTAATGTGTACACCAGGAACAGATGCAGAATACAAACTTGCCTTTTTTTTCCTTTTCAGTGAATATACAAGTATAATTCACATAAGGATTTAAATCATTTTACATGAAACTTTGGTATAAACTACTGGAAAATCCCCACAATAGACCTACAACAAACATGCAAATATGAAAATTGTTAAAACCAACTTACTACATCCTAGAGGTCTCATTTCAGCACTTTGTGTATAGATCTGTGATATATCAGCTATTCTCTTACATAACATGTCTACTGGAATCTCATATCCATATGTATACTTCCATTTGGCAGCTTCATATCTTGCTCTCTGTACCTGAGATCTACTATCAGCTGTTAAAAAACCCAATTGGTTTGTATTATATATGCTTGCTATGTTAGTAACAATGACATAATAAAAATAAAGAAGCTAACAAGGTGAATCATATATTGTGCCTTTTTTTAGAGAAAATAAAAGAAGAATGTGTCCATGGGACACACATGCCCCCACTTGAAAATATACGGCAAATGCAGCAATTTTCAATTTATAAAGGGATATAACTCAAGAACAATGTAAGTTTCGCCACCTTAATTCCAACTTAATATGTGTTTGGTGGTAATAAGCATTGTGTATAAGTTTCATAACATTTGATTGAGGCAGAAAAGTAAGAGTGTGGACATACGGATGGACATACAGACAGACAAGGGTAAAACTTAATGGCATAATAGAAAAAAAACATGCTCTGAATTTGAAAATTTATATTCTATGTTACTTGTTTAAGCATTCTGTGCAGACTAAAAAGAAACTAGCAATTAGAGCACACCCTTAATCATGGATTAAATGTCTTTCCTATAAATGACTTGTTTTATTCATCCTTACCAACCATTCCAGTCATTACACATCCTATATTTTCTGTCAGTTGAAATAAATGGGTGACTGTTGAGGCATCTAGTAATTTATCCTGAAAAAATAAAGGTTCTTATCTCAAATATTTTGTTAATAAAATGCTTCGCTGGGCGCAGCTTGATACGACCGCAGAGGTCGAACCCTGAACAGTTGGGGCAAGTATGGACACAACATTCAAGCTTGATACAGCTCTGAATTTGGATTGTGATTAAATATTTGACACAGCATAGGTTTCTGACACAGAAAGAATGTGGTCTAAGAACTTCAATTTTTTTAATTTACCTATTATGGTCCAATGTCCAAAATCAAAATACATGGTTAGATTCAGCATATCAAAGAACCCCATATATTCAATTTTTGTTGAAATCAAACAAAGTTTAATTTTGGACCCCAACTTGGACAAACTTGAAAACTGGTCCCATAATCAAAAATCTAAACACATGTTTAGATTCAGCATATCAAAGAACCCCAAGAATTCAATTTTTGTTAAAATCAAACTAAGTTTAATTTTGGACCCTTTGGACCTTAATGTAGACCAATTTAAAAAACGGGACCCAAAATTAAAAATCTAAAAACACGGCTAGATTTGGCATATCAAAGAACCCCAATAATTCAATTTTTGATGAAATCAAACAAAGTTTACTTTTGGACCCTTTTGACCTCAATATGAACCAATTTGATAGTAGGCCCACAAAATAAAAAATCTAAATACATGGTAAGATTCAGCATATCAAAGAACCCCATATATTCAATTTTTGTTGAAATCAAACAAAGTTTAATTTTGGACCCCAATTTGGACCAACTTGAAAACTGGGCCAAAAATCTAAAATCTAAATACATGTTTAGATTCAGCATATCAAAGAACCCCATATATTCAATTTTTGTTGAAATCAAACAAAGTTTAATTTTGGACCCCAACTTGGACCAACTTGAAAACTGGTCCCATAATCAAAAATCTAAACACATGTTTAGATTCAGCATATCAAAGAACCCCAAAAATTCAATTTTTGTTAAAATCAAACTAAGTTTAATTTTGGACCCTTTGGACCTTAATGTAGACCAATTTAAAAAACGGGACCCAAAATTAAAAATCTAAATACACGGTTAGATTTGGCATATTAAAGAACCCCAATAATTAAATTTTTGATGAAATCAAACAAAGTTTAATTTTGGACCCTTTTGACCTCAATATGAACCAATTTGATAGCGGGCCCACAAATAAAAAATCTAAATACATGGTAAGATTCAGCATATCAAAGAACCCCATATATTCAATTTTTGTTGAAATCAAACAAAGTTTAATTTTGGACCCCAATTTGGACCAACTTGAAAACTGGGCCAAAAATCTAAAATCTAAATACATGTTTAGATTCAGCATATCAAAGAACCCCATATATTCAATTTTTGTTGAAATCAAACAAAGTTTAATTTTGGACCCCAACTTGGACCAACTTGAAAACTGGTCCCATAATCAAAAATCTAAACACATGTTTAGATTCAGCATATCAAAGAACCCCAAGAATTCAATTTTTGTTAAAATCAAACTAAGTTTAATTTTGGACCCTTTGGACCTTAATGTAGACCAATTTAAAAACGGGACCCAAAATTAAAAATCTAAATACACGGTTAGATTTGGCATATCAAAGAACCCCAATAATTCAATTTTTGATGAAATCAAACAAAGTTTAATTTTGGACCCTTTTGACCTCAATATGAACCAATTTGATAGCGGGTCCACAAATAAAAAATCTAAATACATGGTTAGATTCAGCATATCAAAGAACCCCAAGAATTCAATTTTTGATGAAATCAAACAAAGTTTAATTTTGGACCCTTTTGACCTCAATGTGGACAAAGTTGATAACGGGGCCCAAAAATCAAAAATCTAAATACATGGTTAGATTCAGCATATCAAAGAACCCCATATATTCAATTTTTGTTGAAATCAAACAAAGTTTAATTTTGGACCCCGATTTGGACCAACTTGAAAACTGGGCCCATAATCAAAAATCTAAATACATGTTTAGATTCAGCATATCAAAGTACCCTAAAAATTCATGTTTTGGTAAAATCAAACTAAGTTTAATTTTGGACCCTTTTGACCTTAATGTAGACAAATTTGAAAACGGAACCAAAAATTAAGAATCTAAATACACGGTTAGATTCGGCATATCAAAGAACCCCAATAATTCAATTTTTGATGAAATCAAACAAAGTTAAATTTTGGACCCTTTGGACCTCAATGTGGACCAATTTAAAAACGGGGCCCAAAATCCAAAAACTTAATACACGGTTAGATTCAGCATATTAAAGAACCCCAAGAATTCAAGAATAAAACCCCATTGAAATTGATCAAGAAATAAGTAATTTATACGAAGTATCTTCTTTTGCACAATACTGTGCAATTGAATATTTCTTGCTATTGTGCAATACTGTACAATTGACAATTTCTTGCTATTGCGCAATATTGTGCTATTGGATATTTCTTGCTATTGCGCAATACTGTGCAATTGAAGATTTCTTGCTATTGCGCAATACTGTGCAATTGAAGATTTCTTGCAATTGTGCAATACTGTGCAATTGAAAATTTCTTGCTATTGCACAATACTTATTATATAATAATTTACACATCCTGTTTGGTGTGTATCTTCTACCATATCATTATTATTTGCTTTTAAATATTAATCAGAAATAACCAACTTAAAATGGAAAATTTTAAAAGAAAAAAAAAAGGAAAAAAAGAAAAAAAACAGAACCCCCCCCCCCCCCCCCCCAAATTTTTTGAACCCCCTTATGATCATCACCCCCAAACTCAATCCCAGCCTTCCCTTTGTGGTATGGTACCTTGCAGTACAATTTCAGAGAGATCCATACACTTGAACACAAGTTATTGTCTGGAAACTAGAAAAATGCTTATTTTTGGCCCCTTTTTGGCCCCCAATTCCTAAACGTTTCAGGCAATTACCCCCAAACTCAATTCCAGCTTTCCCTTTGTGATATGGAACCTTGTAGTACAATTTCAGAAATATCCAAACACTTACACACAAGTTATTGTCATGAAACTAGAAAAATGCTTGTTTTTTGCCCCTTTTTTGGCCCCTAATTCCTTAAATTTTGAGGCAATTACCCCCAAAATCAATTACAGCCTTCCCTTTGTGATATGGAACCTTGTGGTACAATGTCAGAGAGATCCATACACTTACACACAAGTTATTGTCTGGAAGTTACAAAAATGCTTATTTTTGGCCCCTTTTTGGCCCCTAATTCCTTAACTGTTGGTACCATAACCCCCAAAATCAATCCCCACCTTCCTTTCGTGGTATTGAACCTTATGGTAAAATTTCATGGAGATCCATTCACTTAAACTAAAGTTAGAGTGCGAAAACCAATGTGCCTTCGGACGACGCCGGACGACGCCAGACGACGACGACGACGACGACGACGACGCCAACGTCATACCAATATACGACCAAAAAATTTTCAATTTTTGCGGTCGTATAAAAACAGGTCATAATGATAAAAAGATTAAAGTTGGTAGTGCCAAACAGATCATCTTTGGACAGCAAACGCTCAGAAAACAATTTTTTCACACACTCTAAACTCAAAATCAAACTTGATCTGCATTTCATGATAGATAGTAATGTTTCAATATCAATGGAAACTATTTTTAACTGACTGACAAAGTGGTGACTTCATGTTAATGCTCTGTTTTAAAGAACAAGAAATTATATAAAGATGTAGTATGATAATTAATGGAATAAACTATCCACCAAAAAAAAATGAACATTTAATCTTCAAAGACCTGTGACATATTCAAAATAGATAGTTAATGACCTTATTCATGATCATATCTGAAACCTATATACATCTAATGTAAGACTAATGGCCTTATATTCATTATTATTACTGAAACATATATAACGTAACTGGTATTATTCATTTATTCATTCTTTAATTTGCATTTTGCTACACATATACATTTGTATTTTATTTCCTTAATGTTTATCCTTTTTTTAAAAAGTGTCCTTCAAAAGTTACTCCGTAAAAGGAGAATGCTTTTGTAGCAGTTTTCCACTGTTTCCAACGAACAACTCATATCATATAGAAATTATTTATTGGTAGAAATCAAACCATTAAAAGTTACAATCCGAGTGTACAAGAAAGCAACAAAAATATATATATTCATGTCCTTAAAGAAAATTGCAAATATATATTTTTTGTATTGAGCAAAGGTCAATAATCTGCCAGTATACAGTATAGATGTACATTGACATCAAAATAAAGATGAATGTACTTGGATATTAATATACAAACATAAACTTAATGAAAAATTCGATTATTGGAGTTTGTAATATATGCAATATATATTTCCCCATAATCTGCAAAGTTGATATCAAATACCCAAGGACAAGGGAAATCCCCACTTGCCTTCCAGTTTATAAAACTGATATACTTACTGGAACTTTTTTCTGTGTAACACAAACAGCACTATCTTTTCCACGAATAGCAACTGATGTTAACCCTCCTTGGTTTATAGCTTTAAAGGCATACTCTGTAAAACAGATTCAAATTTTTTTTACTAATGCATGTATAAATAAATAATAACATTGACAAATATATTAACTTGTTCTGTTATCATGGTTATCAAGGAGAAAATAGTTTTTCAAAACATTAAATTCAGAAATTATTTAATGCAAAAAATGCAACAGTATCAATATCAGGTTCACTATAATAACAAGAGTGCATATGCCGAAATGTCTCGCCTGTTCTACATATCAAGGAGATGTGATTTTCATTAATGAGACAATGACACAACACAATAAATGTGGATAGTGTCCACATGTGGACACAGATGTATCTTCGCTAGCCAAGGGTTACGATCCACTTCCCCTCCTCTCCACCCTTGGCAGATTAAGCCAACATTTGTGATAACAATGTTGCGCCATCTTTCGGTAGATTAAAGTCACGCCCATTCCAAATACATTATTCTGACCAATGGTAGCACTTGAACTCTTCAATTTGGAGGTAAAAACACGGTAGCGTCTAGATTCTACACACTTGGTAAAGCAGGACACGAAAATATACGTTGACATTCATGCATTTGTGCAAGAAACATACACTTCTATAAGTTGATTAAAAACATTCAAATTGTCACTAAATATAGTCGTATGTTTAGGGATGTAAAGACTTGTAGCACAATAAGCACGTGGCAATTGTTTACATACACTTTCTTCATTTACACGTGATCATGTTATAGGCGCTTTTTGATTGGATGCAGCGAGTTTCGACTGCAACCAATGAAAATCATTATCTTGTGTCTCCGAAATTCTATCTCAATCTGCCAAGGGTGGAGAGGAGGGAAGTGGATCGTAACCCTTGGCTAGCGAAGATGACACAGATGATGCCCCCGCTTGCATATCATATAGTTATAAAGGGACATAACTGAAAAACGGTAAAAGTGACGCTACCCAAATTTGAACTTGATCTGAGTATTGTGGTAATAAGCATTGTGTGTAAGTCTCATAACATTTGGTTGAGGCTAACTTAAGTAGAGAACAGAAACGAAAAATTCAGCAATTTTTCTATTTGTAAACACGCATAACTCTAGAACTGTTGTGTATAAGTTTTATAACATTTGGTTGAGACAAATTAAAGTTAGAGAACGGAAACGAAAATTTCTGCAATTTTTATGTTTATAAAGGGACATAACTCAAGAAGGGTAAAAGTGTCGCCACCAAATTTCGTACTTAATCTGTATTATGTAGTAATAAGCATTGTGTATAAGTTTCATAACATTTGGTTGCGGCAAACTAAAGTTAGAAAACGGAAACAAAAAATTTGTACTTGATCTTAGTTTTGTGTATAGGTTTCATAATGTTTGGTTGGGGCAAACTTAAGTTACAGAATGGAAACTAAAAATTTTGCAATCTTTCGATTTATAAAGGGGCATAACTCAATAATGGTTAAAGTGACACTACCCAAATTCAACTTGATCTGTGTTTTATCAGTGGAATTCAAAATTAAACATTGCATTGTATTAAGCATTGATTGTAGTTGATTCAACTATAATCATCGACAAAGGAAGATAACTCCAATTTAAAAAAATTACTTGATATTTAGAAGAAAATAAAAATTTTGCAAATTTTCCATTTATAAAGGGGCATAACTCTAGAACGATAAAAGTGACGCCACCAAAATTCAAACTTGATCTGTGTTTTGTGGTAATAAGCATTGTGTATAAGTTTCATAACATTTGGTTGAGGAAAACTTAAGTTAGAGAACGGAAACTATAAATTTTGAAATTTTTCCATTTATAAAGAGGCATAACTCTAGAACGGTTAAAGTGATGCCACCAAAATTCAAACTTGATCTGTGTTTTGCGGTAATAAGCATTGTGTATAAGTTTCATTACATTTGGTTGAGGCAAACTCAAGTTAGAGAATGGAAACCAATTTTGGAACGCACGTACGTACAGACGGACAAGGGTTAAACTTAATGTGCCCACCGCTATGGCGGGGAAATAAAAAACTAGATGTGTTGAAAAGACACAAATTGCCCCATTTGCCAATAAAGCACAGAGCCATTTTTAGGAGTAAAAATTGGAGATTGAAAGTCAGTGTAACTGTTATTTTCACAAAATTTTGAAAGTCCAATTACCCATGATTCCAGCAAAAATCAATGGAGTAGACTCTCATACTAAAAATAAGCTCAGTATGAGAAGGAATTTAGAAAAAAAGTCTGTATAACTGCTAATTTTATGAAATTTTCAGTCCAAAGCTCGTAATTTAGGAAAAAGTCAGTGGAGCGGAACCAAATATAAACTTGATCTGTAACTCATTATAGTAGACTCACATATTAAAAATCAGCTCAACACATGAAAGTGTGTAGAAAAAAAAGTCTGTATAACTGTTATTTTCACAAAAGGAGTAGAGCTAGCAACCCCAATAAACATGATAAACGGCCCTGTAAAGGTACATTTTTTAAAATTCAATTGTTCAAATAAATTCACTGTGTATGTATTGCTTAATGTTTAATTTTTGAAAGTATGATAAGAAATAATGTATATCTGCTTCATATGTTATAAATATTTTAGCCATTAAATAGGTATAGATTTCATTTCAGTCCATTTTTCTAGAAATTTATCATCTTTTCGACTGTATTTCATGGTTTTGTATGTGGCGCCACCCTTTGCCCATTGCAATTTTAGTTAAAAAGTAAAGAATATGGCATATTTAAAATAATTCAGCAATAATAATGGTGGGAGAGTGGTGGTGCCACTGTTAACTTTTCAGGAAAATTTGTAAGGGGTTTCGCGGCATCCTGTGTCTGGCCTATGATTGCTGCTGTCAGTGTACAAGTGTTATGTTGACTTAAAAAGTAAGACAATTTATCAGTAAGATACAGAATTAAAAAAAATCAAGCTTTCACTTTGGATGCTATTTCATGGTCTTGAAGATTAGCTTCTGTCCAAGTTTCATAACAATCCAAAAAAAAAGTTTAATCCCAGACTGTCTGTTAATGTTAACTGTTAATAAAATGCTCCGCTGGGCGCAGCTTGATACGACCGCAGAGGTCTAACCCTGAACAGTTGGGGCAAGTATGGACACAACATTCAAGCTTGATACAGCTCTGAATTTGGATTGTGATTAAATATTTGACACGGAATGAATGTGGTCTAAGAACTTAAAAAATTTTAATTTACCTATTCAAACCATATCATTATTATTTGCTTTAATATATAAATCAGAAATAACCAATTTAAAATGGAAAATTTTAAAGGAAAAAAAAGAAAAAAAAATCCCCTCCCCCCAATTTTTTGAACCCCCTTAAGATTCATCACCCCCAAACTCAATCCCAGCCTTCCCTTTGTGGTATGGTACCTTGCAGTACAATTTCAGAGAGATCCATACACTTGAACACAAGTTATTGTCTGGAAACTAGAAAAATGCTTGTTTTTTGGCCCCTTTTTGGCCCCAAATTCCTAAACGTTAAGGGCAAATACCCCCAAACTCAAACCCAGCTTTCCCTTTGTGATATGGAACCTTGTAGTACAATTTCATAAAGATCCATACACTTACACACAAGTTATTGTCCTGATACAGGTCTGAATTTGGATTGTAATTAAATATTTGACACATAATAGGTTTCTGACACAGAATAACTGTAGTCAAAGAACTTAGAATTGGTTATATGATTTTAATTTATATTCAATTTTTTGCTTTTGTGCAATACACTATGCTGTTGCGAATTGACCCCCCCCCCCCCCCAAAAAAAATCCACCCCCTTTTTGCTTTTGTGCAATACACTATGCTGTTGCAAATTTGACCCCCCCCCCCCCTGAAAATTTTTTTTTGGCAAAAAAAAATATATTTGAAGAAATTTTCTTTTTAATTTCTGAAATCTGAAATGAGTAAAAAAAATTGTTCCCCCCTACCCAATTTTTTTTCACCTCCCCCCTCCCCTTTTTCCAAAAAAAAAATTCTTTCCCTCAAGATATATTCATAATCTCAATTCAAATTTCCAATGGAGTTTGCAACCACAATTACCCACTTAAATACATCATAAAAGTCTTAAAATAGAAAATGACATACATAATCATGGCTAAAATTAATATTCCTTAATCAGCATTTTTAAAATAGTAACTTCTAAAAATAAATTGACAGCTAATCACCTCAAGACAATACAACATTTCTTTATACACAATTTAAATGTAAGGGAGGTAATCCAAACATAACATTGTACTTTTTTTAATTGTCCATTAACCAGGAAACCCTTGTTTTTCCCCCTTTTTTGCCCCAAATTCCTAAACGGTTTGAGCCAAACCCCCCAAAGCAAATCATAACCATCCCTTTGTGGTATGGAAACTTGTGGTATAATTTCAGAGAGAGCCATACACCATTCCACAAGTTATTGTCTGGAAACTAGAAAAATGCTTATTTGGGCCCCTTTTTGGCCCCTAATTCCTAAACTGTTAGGACTATAACCCCCAAAATCAATCCCAACCTTTCTTTTGTGGTTATAAACCTTGCGTTTAAATTTCATAGATTTCTATTTACATTTACTAAAGTTATTGTTTAGAAACCAAATGTCTTAGGCTGACGACGACGACGTGATACCAATATACGACCGCAAAAATTTTTAAAATAAGTATAATTAAGATTTTTAGGGCCAAAATTATGAGTTAGTGAACTAACTCTTTTTCAAAGTCCAAAGGCCATAATTTCAGCAAAAATCAGTGGAGCAGAACCAAAAGTAAACTTGATCTGAAACTCATCATAGAAGATTCACATACTAAAAATCAGACACATCTAGTTTTTTCAATTCTTATGAATAAATTTTAAATTAGACCATTATTTAACATTATAATTGCTAAAAAGATCTTTTTAATAAAAGAAGGATAAGCATCAAGATTTGAATTGTTTGTTATAATTTAAATCTACTTTGTTAGCAAATAGAAGACCATTGTAGATTAAAGCAACCTGATTGGGTTTGTCTGGTTAAGAAGATAAAGTTGCTGTGTAAAATATAGCCCCCTCTATCTATCCAATATTACTGCTGTTAAATTTAGAGTACATGTATGAAGTTGTTGTTTGGAATAATAGATACATTGTACCTCGAAATAGCTTACTATAACCTAGAAGATTTTATAATCTAGTCATCTATATATCTGGCTAAATGACTGTTTCTGAACTATAATTAACTCTATAAATATGACAAGAGAGCATGTGAATTTTTTTTGGATAAGGCAGAGGAATCAAGTTTAGGAATCAATTACAGAATAAAGTGGGTCTCATTGGGGTGTAAGTTTTACACATGAAAAGTCAAATTATTTTGCGAGAAAACGAGAAAAGTCAGGGGGACACTTGAAATTACAAGCGTTATTATCCCAATGATAAGGGGGTTACAGGATTCTGACAACATTATAAGCAGGATCCTGGATCAGACCCCCTAATGGGACCCCCAATAAAATGGCAATCTATATTTGTCAATATAAAAGAAAAATCTGTTAAAATATGATAGCAAAAGTGCCCTTTTTATGGGACTGTGCCCCTCTGCCCTCAGTTTCTAGCTAGAACAGTGTATTCATACAGATGAAGTTATCTTTAAGCGGACAAATCAGACACAGAATCCCAAATTGCTAATACACAAGATTGCAATTTCATTTTAATAAACAAACTGCCCCATGGCCAGTTGACCTGGGGTCATTTACGGGAAAACTTTGTCAAAGTACATAGTGACATAAACATATTTGAATTGTGACGTCAAATTCTTCCAGAGAAAAGCAGCAATTGGAAGACCATGTATGAGGGTAGGAATGTTCTCTATCGTCAAGCAACAAATGTCTGTTTTTGCTACCAATATCGTCAGTCATCAAATCTCATTTTATAGTGACAATGTACCTTTAGTGTCAAATGGAGTAAAATGTTTATCATTAACGTTATTTTAACAAATAGTTTACTGTCAATCGTCAACTTGGGTACCCCACTGCTACAGTTCTGCCAACTTTTAATAATGCAAATGCGTGAGATTTGGCAAAATCGTAAAGATCAAAGAGAAAAAAAACAATAGATCAAAGGAAAATGCCGCCAAATAAGCATGAAAATGTGTGAGTTTCACGCTAAATGCGTGAGACTTGGCAGCCCTGCTGCTACCCTAATGTATTTTTATTATGTCTTTTTGAGATGGAAAATTTATTAAAACATTCAATTGTAGTCTAGTCAAAGATTCACATGAACTTATGAAGCCCACAATTAAAATTAGCAATAGTGATGCTTAACTTCTGAGATAATTATGTACTGAACTTTTAGAAGAATTTAAAATGTATCATTTTGTATGTGCCAATTTTAAGGTTCATCATAACAAATGGACAAATACGGCCGTATTTTCACCCCAAAAACTACTCTGTGTACAGACTTACCTGTACAGTTTAAAAAGTTTTAAGGCCTGGCATCCACTAGATATATAAAAGTTAAATGCATTTTGTGTTTCAGAAAGATGTAATCGTTTTTGGATTTTGATGGGCATTTTTTTTCCTTCCTGCAGAAGGTGTAAAAATAAACAAACACCTGAATTGCATTTGATACTGTCCACTCAGTTACTACCTTTAGCTCATCTATAGATGTGTAAATATCTATTGTCTGTCTATTGTCTATGCCAATCAAGGACAATCAATACAATACAAACCAGTTGTTACCTGAGAGGGAGCATCTCAAAGTTGTATCCCAACTTAGTTTATTTTTACACCTTCTGCAGGAACGAAAAAAAATGCCAATTAAAATGCCAAAAAGATTTTATCTTTCTGATATGCAAAATACATTTAACTTTTATATATCTAGTGGATGCCAGGCCTTAAAACTTTTCAAACTAAACAGGTAAGTCTGTACACAGAGTAGTTTTTGAGGTGAAAATACGGCCATATTTGTCCATTTGTTATGATGAACCTTAAGATTTATGTAGTTGTCACCCTCCCCCTTTTTCGTTTCTTCTTTTCGAACGACCAGTATCCCTTACCAACTTGATAAAGTCGTCCTTCCGGAGAAAATATAGTTATATGTCTGTCGAAACCTGCACTGCTACCTCGCGACATCTTTTCTATGAGGAATTGCCCATACAATATTATCAAATACCGGGTGATACAGCTCTTTCAAAAGTGCTGACTTTACTGCCTGGTTTCGTATAAAGAAAATTTCTAAAATATTATAGAGAATGTTAATAAATAAGAGCGTGATATAATTTGATTATTTTCTTTATTTTTATTTTTCATGCTTGTAAAAGTTTCAAATCAAACTGTATAATATCAGTAGAGGTAGCCTTCTTTTTTAATCACTTCGTTCGTACCGGAAGTTGAACCAAGCTGGCAGCTCGTCGATCAATCATAAAGTTTTGTTTCAAGGAAATCACAGGTAAATTGACATTTATTCATTACGGTTCACGTGTCATATACATAAATAAACTAAACAACTTTCTGCAAAACTGATACGGTTCAGATCGAGAATGAACAATAAGAGGAGTTTTATAGTAAAAAAAAAAATAAAATGAAACCTTCTCACAAAAGGTACTGTAAACTCTTTATTTACTTTAGATATTTGTGGCTGTCACATTTAGTAACATATTTTTACTGTTTGGTATAATTTTATGTGCTTCTTCACTAAAATGTCACATTTTTCAAACATATGGTGTGACATATTTTATCTTTATAGACTTGTAGCCAAAGCATAATGACTTAATGTTTTCACTTTGCCTGTTTGGATATTCATGATATTATAACCAACAACCCAAATGGATGTTAACTAATGTTCAAGATTGCTTTTGATTTTTGGGAAAATATTCAAAAAGTACAACTGTTAAAATGATGGCAACACTTTTTGGTAAGAACTTTTCTGATTTTACTTGATTGTTCAGGTTTATGATCCTTTTCTTTTAAATGGCTGTGTATAACAAAATTTCAAAGTGCAATAATAAGGGGACGAAGTCCCCTATTACGGTAGAAAAATCAATAAAAAAAAAAAAAAAAAAAAAAAAAAAATCGGGAAAATTTCCCGAAATTTTCATTGTACTAATGAACTCAAAATCGTTAACTTTTTTATTTTCAGACTTTTTTATTTTCCCGCATTTGTGCAGAAATCTACTTCCTTTTTCCGGTCTCGTTTGCATGAGTCTTTGAGTAAAATATATATTTATCAGTCTAGTAAAATATAGGAAGGAACGCAATACCAATTCCATTTTTAATAATTCCTTGAACGACTTGATATGAAAAAACGTTACCTGATAGCGTTTCTTTGTTTACATTGAATATGACGTCATAATATAAATAACGTCACAACTAAAATTACGAACAACAGAACCGAAATCGGAAACGTAAGGGTATTTCCGTTCTTTTTGAACAGATTTTGAAGTTAAAACATATGTTTGAATTAAAAAAAAATAATTCATACAGACTTCGTCCCCTTTCACAGGTAACGCCTGCCTCATATTATCAAAATAGCTAAGATTAAAGTAAAAAATAAACATGCCATGTTGAACAAATACAAAAAGAAAAAATAAATCACAGCAATAATATTTATTGTAGCATTAAATTTACGTGTAATGGAAAAAGGAGATTGTGGCATCTCAAAACTAAATTTATACAGAAAACCCATCAACTTTATCACAGGGATATTCGTTATTTTTTTTTTTAACTTACATGTACACATTGTAGATTTCTCACTTTATTTTCCATGTAATCCTTCTATATTGTTCACAGAAAGTGTTAAACTTACTTTGAAATAAATAAAAAAAACTTTAGCTGAGTCTCAAAGTTGAGCACACCCTAAAAGGTGTACTGGAATATTATGTCCATAGTTGTACTTGTTTTTAATTCAAATCTATATTTAACAATACATGTTTATCTTTTAAAAAGATATTCAGGAGCATATTTTCTAAAATTGTATTTTTTATGTTTTTTTTTTATCATACATTTTACATAATTTAAACGCCCTTAATTTGATATTTAAAGTCTGACAATATATGTATTTACACTTGCATGCAAATCTGTCATTACCGACTGTGCAAGACCCTCATGGGTAGTCAAGGTCGTAAAAAATAACTCTTGTCGTCATTGCTTAAAGTCATACAAGTGTCCACAAATATTGATATTGACATCGGGTGATTCTGAGACAATTCAGCTAAATACATGTACATTGTAGATCATTGTACCCAAAAGCATAAATACCTACGTCTATTCTGAAAATTGAGCACACAAACTTGTCTCTAATAAATAATCATATGTACTGTTAATTTACTTGTAAAGGTATCATATGTGGAGTATTTTCTTAAGTGCTTGTGATAATTAGATATCAAAGTACTGAAGAACTGAACATCGGATGACCACAAGTTTTGGTGGATGGTCTCAGAAAAAAAATCATATCTCTATACCTGAAAGTTAGGTTAAGGTACATAGATATGGTTTTTTCTGAGACAAGTTCCTGTGTGGATGATGAATAAATGACATGGAATTTAACCTAACCATAATGATTATTATATTGTAGAGATATAATCATTTTTTATCAGTATAATCTGGTTTGTTGTTATATATTATATTAATATCTGTAAAACAGTTATATATATAGCAGATCATCTCTCGAGATATTCTTCTGCATGCGTTAACACAAATTTTTGGTATTCATGATTTGTTACTGAGATATATATTTCTCACGACAAAACATTTTCATATTATTTATCTATGTTCTTAACAGATATTTTTATGAGTATTCATTGAAGAAATGAATTTATAACAAGCGATAAGGAATGTTATTTTGCACTAGATAATGTCCACGTATTTATATGAAATACATTCGGTTATCAGTCAAAAGCGCAAGGAAATTTCTGCGGCAACATAACACCGGTATGACCTCTCAAGGTCACATCCGATGTAAAAATAAAATATTTAAATAAGTTTATTTTTACCATGTTTATGTAGCATGTACATAACTTTTTGAGTGGTTTGAATTTTTATGTTCTTTAAAATCCTGTTGAATTCAAAAATTGATTCTTTCTAGTATCTATAGTCTCAACTTGTGTTGAAATTTGAAATTTTCCATTAGTAAATATGTTCTATTGTCATGATCATGATGATTGTAGTAGATTAAAGCTATTTATCCAATACATTAATTATACCATTGCTATTATAACTTATAAGTTAGTTTTTATCTCAGATACTTTCTATTTATATTTAAAACTATAACCAGCCTTAGATCCCAAAATATTCAACAAACTTAAGTTCTAAAATCAACAATGACATTTTTCTTCCAATCAAAGAGCAGATCAGCAACAACACCACACTGTAACCCTAGTTTGTAGTTGGTTCTTCCTTGGTACACACTTGCCAACAAAATATTGGCTTGCATAATATACATGAAGCCAAAGGTACTGAAAGTATCACCTGACCAAAAAACAAAAAAACTAAAGGGATTTGGGTAGAGTCTAACATAGTCATTATCCAATCTGCATCAAAACAAATGTCTTATACTTTTATACTTATAACAGATCATAAGAAAATTGAAAATAAAAGCTGTAGGTTTTAAATTTATCCAAAATTGGGAAGACCTATTGACTTAAGTTTGATTTAAAGCAAGAAAAATAAATTAAGATAAAACTCACTGCTCAAAACTTTAAGTGCAATTTCTAGTAAGATACTTGCTTATTATAAAATATAACAGAATTTTCCAATTTTATAATATCTGATGTTCACTATTCTGCAAAATGCATTTAACATCTGATTGTATTCTGTTAATGCCAGCTGTGATTCAGGATTTTGAATGTTAACATGCATCACATCCTATCAGACATTATTTTCAAACTGGATTTTTTAAGTAATCCCTTGTATACACATACTTTAATTTAAATTTACATTACCCACATGTCACAAGGCAAAAATTAAATTATTTTCCCCTTTCTTAGACATGGCTTGGCAAAGTCTTTTACTTTTCAACAATAATTATGGGGCAATATGTGTATGTACATGTATACTGCCCTTCATTTTCTTATAATCATCCTTTTTCATAAAAATAAACTTGTTAAAAGAATTTTGGATATTACATGTAGTGAACATTAGATATAGAATTGGAAATTTATGTTACTGTGAGCTACCATATTTATATTAGAGTTTTTTTCTTATTTGTTCTTAAGTAATGTAGTAAAGAAATGCTTTAAATTTGGACGAGCATGGCAAGGGAGAATTTAAATACATTACTACATACAGGGCAACCAGGTTTGGTCCCTGTGATTATGCTTATAAATCCATTGTTCATCCTGATTAAAATCACCCATCTCCCTCAATAATACAGATTAAAATTTTTACATTTTTAAAGCAGTAAAAGAATTTCAAATGAGGGTAATTATATGAATGAATAGTAAAAAAAAATACCTTTTGGAAAAATAAGTGAAGCACACTTCCTGGAAAACAAAATATCACAGATAATTAAAAACGTGAACTTTTGAAAATACGTAAGGTCAAGGTACTGAAAATGGGCTTTGTAACAGAATTTGATAGTAAAATAATGCATACACTTTTGGTTCGTTGAACTATAACAGAAAATAAAAAAAATAATGCATTTATCTCTTTCATTTTCTTGAATATTACTAAATGAATTCTTTCAAAAGAGATATTTGTTTATAAAGCACTTGAATTGGCGAAAAACGTTCATAAATTTGTCCTAAAATCATCAAATTTCCAATTTCCAATTCTTTTCTTAAAAATTGATATGTTTTTGATACACAAATTTCTGTTTTAATGATGAAAAATAATCATCGGGTCACTGGCTTTGTTTTGGTGTATTTTTGACAAGGGTGAAATTGACCTCAGTGTGTACCTCGACCTTCATCATAGCTAACTGTGTGGGTTGACTATCTGAGACATGGTAGAGTTATAAGGTTACTGGGTGGTTGGTTGAGGTTGGGCCTTGCCGTGATGGTCATCATATATATTACAACAAACACATCTTCCATTGTAAATGTTAATTATATCAACAATTTTATATATATGTACATATGTTCAATCCATTTCACAAAGTTCTGGACTTAATAAATACGTAACCATTATGTTAAGTTTTAAGTTCCTACACATCAATAAATTTGTAACCATTATGTTAAGTTTTAAGTAACTAAGTTCCTACACTGTCTACACATCAATAAATATGTAACCATTATGTTAAGTTTTAAGTTCCTATACATCATTTCAATGATACCTTAGGTAGCAATACACAGTTAGTAGTGTGGTTTCGCATTTTGGCCACAGTGGATTTTTCAAATATGAAAGTCATTGTGTAGTAAAACTCAATTTTAGAGCTGATTACTATTAAAGCCTTCAAAGTGGGTATACATGTATAGGATTATAAAGATTATTTTTTACATGTTTTCTGTGCTATATTCTGTTTGACTCTCCTTATTTTCATATCCAGACCAGCCATAGGTCCAGAAATTATTGTAATGTTTACAAACAAACAAATGTTTTTTTCACACAAACTTTTTGACGCAATTTGATGAAAAAAATGAGATGGAAGACATATAATTTTTATTTGATCTCTTGATAAATACATGTGTATATGTAAATAGTTTCTGAAAAGGTATCACTTCAAAGGATTGAAATTCTACTTTTGAATAAATTTTGGGGGATATGTGACATCTTTACACCCCTTTTTGCAATATTTTATAAACAGTAGACATAATTTGTAAGAAAGAAAGGAAAAGGGGATGGTAAAATTTATGAGGGTAATTTTTGATTTTTTTTTGCTAACTGTATATTGCTACCTTAGCTCCAATTCTCTCTCTTTTTAAAACTTTTTATATTGTTTTACGGACTATCACAAAATAAAAGACTGCCCAATGATGGGCAATCAGATTTAGTCCTTCATAAAAATATGAACAACATAAAATCTCTTGGGCTACCACACATTTATTTCAAACATAACATTACTTAAGGAATACATTTTTACTTAATCCACAACTTTTGGAAATGTCAGCTTGAACTAAAAGGTGCTCATTTAACTTATTCATCAATTTATTGTTAAAAGACCAAACTTGGATGATAACAATTACAGAAAAAATCTTAAACCTTAATCCCAGAAATGACACGAAAATCTGATCTTGACATGTTTTCAAAAGTGTAAAAACTGTCACAAAGAAGTCTTACTACTAATTCTTAAAAATTACACTGAAATCTAAATAATGAAAATAATTTGAATATCTTAAATTTAAACATAAAAACTAAAATAAATTATCATAAAAATATTGCAAGGTCACTTTTCACTGGTGATATTTGTCACCCAGTTGGCAGTAAAAAAGGTCAAAAATCTATGTTTTACAGCTTTACAAAGCGATGATGATACACTTATTTCATCATTTTGTGTGGTATTTTTGCACCTAGAACATAAGTCTGAATAATGTATATAATTGTAAGTCAACTGTAAACAAAGTCGAAAACCCTATTATTATTTTGGTGCTTTACATTTGCACATACAAATGATTACGTTTTTACTTTTGCACACAGCTTTTTATTACATTTGCACCATTTCATTTTACAGGTAACTCAGACAACATGTACAAAATAAATATACATCTTTTTCACTTTACGTACAAATGAAGGTAAATCAAGTTCTTTTTGTATGATATATATGGAATTTTGAAATTTTAAAATAATCAAAACCTCCTTGTTTGGGCATTGACAAATGACTTAACTAGTTACTAAAGCAACCAATATTCAATAAAATTAGGAAACAAAATACTGTTCACTCGTTAAAATTTGCAACTATAAATATATGCCTTAAATTCTTACAGGATTTCTTATCACTTCAAATATAATTTTAAACTCATCTGGTCCAAAGGGCCAATGTTGCAAAATTGTGTCCGATGTCCCATCCTGCCATGTTTAAATGATGAATTTTACCATTTTTTTCCATTTTTGCCAATTATCCCTAAAATTATAATAGATAGACAGAAACTTTAAATAGCCAAAATAATCAGCAAGACAAGATCTACAAATGAGTCAGCATGCTCCGAATTGTCAGTTGACACCTTATTGAAGTAATTGCCCTTTAAATTATCTCTCGCCCTGCTCGTCCGAATTTAAAGTATTTCTACTCTAAATTCAATTGGCTATAAACAAGACAAACACAGAAATAGGATTAGTTGCTCGCAGTAACATATTATTTTCTCTTGCGATACAATGTTTTATTTTACTTAATTGTACAGATTTTTTTCCATTCAAACAACATATAAATACATGTAATAAACATAGCAGCAACTATATATATACTAATGTGACTAACTTCGATTCGACGTAACTGAGAGCACCTTCTATACTAATACATTTAAATGCCAAACTTTATATATATAAAACCCCACCTGTAGAACCGCCAAAACTTTTCTCGTGACTTATGCACCTAACATCAAACTTTATGAATAGTAAGTACTGTTGCAGAACTAGTTATACTAGTTCCCATCTATATATTACAAGTCCTACAAATAGCAAACGGGAAAAACCCAATTTCAAACGAAATGAAATATATTTAATGATGACACCTTATTGAAGTTATTGCCCTTTGATGACGATTTTTCCCAATTTTTTCCATTTTTATACGACCGCAAAAAAATTTTTGGGGGGGGGATTTATTTTTTTTTCCTTTTTTTTCTTTTTTTCCTTTTTTGTTTCTTTTAAAATTTTCCATTTTAAGTTGGTTATTTCTGATTTATATTTAAAATCAAATAATAATGATATGGTAGGAGATACACACCAAACAGGATGTGTAAATTATTATATAATAAGTATTGTGCAATAGCAAGAAATTTTCAATTGCACAGTATTGCACAATAGCAAGAAATCTTCAATTGCACAGTATTGCGCAATAGCAAGAAATCTTCAATTGCACAGTATTGCGCAATAGCAAGAAATATCCAATAGCACAATATTGCGCAATAGCAAGAAATTGTCAATTGTACAGTATTGCGCAATAGCAAGAAATATTTAATAGCACAGGATTGTGCAAAAGAAGATACTTCCTATAAATTGCTTATTTCTTGACCAATTTCAATGGGGTTTTATTCTTGATTTCATGGGGTTCTTTAATATGCTGAATCTAACCGTGTATTTAGTTTTTGGATTTTGGGCCCCGTTTTTAAATTGGTCCACATTGAGGTCCAAAGGGTCCAAAATTAAACTTTGTTTGATTTCATCAAAAATTGAATTATTGGGGTTCTTTGATATGCCGAATCTAACTGTGTATTTAGATTCTTAAATTTTGGTTCCGTTTTCAAATTGGTCTACATTAAGGTCCAAAGGGTCCAAAATTAAACTTAGTTTGATTTTAACAAAAATTGAATTCTTAGGGTTCTTTGATATGCTGAATCTAAACATGTATTTAGATTTTTGATTATGGGCCCAGTTTTTAAGTTGGTCTAAATCCGGGTCCAAAATTAAACTTTGTTTGATTTCAACAAAAATTGAATATATGGGGTTCTTTGATATGCTGAATCTAACCATGTATTTAGATTTTTGATTTTTGGGCCCCGTTATCAACTTTGTCCACATTGAGGTCAAAAGGGTCCAAAATTAAATTTTGTTTGATTTCATCAAAAATTGAATTATTGGGGTTCTTTGATATGCCAAATCTAACCGTGTATTTAGATTCTTAATTTTTGGTTCCGTTTTCAAATTGGTCTACATTAAGGTCCAAAGGGTCCAAAATTAAACTTAGTTTGATTTTAACAAAAATTGAATTCTTAGGGTTCTTTGATATGCTGAATCTAAACATGTATTTAGATTTTTGATTATGGGCCCAGTTTTCAAGTTGGTCCAAATCGGGGTCCAAAATTAAACTTTGTTTGATTTCAACAAAAATTGAATATATGGGGTTCTTTGATATGCTGAATCTAACCATGTATTTTGATTTTTGATTTTTGGGCCCCGTTATCAACTTTGTCCACATTGAGGTCAAAAGGGTCCAAAATTAAACTTTGTTTGATTTCATCAAAAATTGAATTCTTGGGGTTCTTTGATATGCTGAATCTAACCATGTATTTAGATTTTGGATATTGGACCATAATAGGTGAATGTCCAATTTAAAATTTTTAAGTTCTTAGACCACATTCAATCTGTGTTAGAAACCTATGCTGTGTCAAATATTTAATCACAATCCAAATCCAAAGCTGTATCAAGCTTGAATGTTGTGTCCATACTTCCCCCAACTGTTCAGGGTTCGACCTCTGCGGTCGTATCAAGCTGCGCCCTGCGGAGCATTTTATTGCTTATTATCTTGAAAACTATAATATAGATAGATAGCAAAAATGATTAGCAAGACAAGATCTATAAATAAGCCATATGGCCAAAATCTTCTGTCAAATCATTATTGGAGATATTGCCCTATATTGATAATTTTTACCATTTTTTGTGTTTTATGCCTATTTTCTTGAAAACAACATATCCATTTTTAAGAAAAAAATCTATGGATTTAAAATTGGAGATTTGTTGATTCAAGACAAATTTGATGATGTTTTTCACCAATTTTTGTGCTTTCTATTGGTATGTTCGTCTAGTTTGAAGAATTCAATTAGTAATATTTCAGAAATTAAAATAGATTTTCAATTAAAGTTCAACTAGCCAAAGTGTATGCAAACTTTTACCAAAATCAGTGACCATGCCCATTGACTGAACCTTGACCTTAATCGATAAATTATACTTACATACTATATTATTATGCTTTTTGTCATGCATTTTATAGGTCATATATTGTTCAATTCATTGTATTGTTAGCTTATATAACATGGATAATGATAGAACATTTGAAAATTATTGTATGTACTTAAAATTTTAAATAATTATTAATTATAATTTTTATTTAATTTAAGAAAACATTTGAAGTGAAGGTTAAAGGTATTTATTAAACAAAACCACATATAAAATGTAGCACACTGTATATGTAGCAACACTTTTTTGTTTATCCTGTAAAATACTTGTCTCTTTTTAGGCCTAAGAAAAATACATGTTTCTGCTAACCTTAATGTTCAAAATTTTTGTTTTTATCTTCTTTTTTTTATATTTTTTTGGCAATATAGTTTACAGTACATTATAATGTTAATTAAAGAATAAATAAACAAAAAAACAAAAAACTTATGCAGTTTACTTTGTGTACATGGCTTTTTCACTATAGAAGTTTATACCATGCTAGCAGAAAGACAGGTATATATATATTACATGTATTATTTTTGGCCTTTCAAAGCTGGTAAGGGTCTATATTTTGGTTACTTTATTGCACCCTTTCTTTCTATTACTCTTTTGTAATCACTTCCCTTAACCTTCTTTATTTTTTAAACCCTAATTTCAAAAACACTATTTTATATCAAAAGTATGAAATTATTTTTCACTATGTAATTTTCTACTCTAGCTCTATTCCAGTGACACTTACATTAATGTCTTTGTATTGTCTTGATTATGGCTGTTTTTATTTTTATTTGTGATAATGTGGTACAAGAAGTTATATCGCTTCGTGTACATTAATAAATGATTTAAATCAAAAAGGTAAACATTCTTGTATTTGTTTTAAATACAGATTTAAAACATGACAAATGTTTTATTTGTAGGGAAAATAAATCTTTGTAAAAACAATTTTATGGTCATTTTGTTATACAATTATTGGTAAATTCCAAGACAGTCCAGGTTAATAAAATAATTATCTTCAAATTGGTATAAATTTAGGATTTGTACTATATTTTCAAAAGGTAAGTGAATAATATACAATTACTGTCTTTTGATGAGGTAAATATATGCGGTTTTATTGACTTTTGAAAAACTGATATTCACTGAGGCCAAGATAGTGATGTAACAGCATCAGAGTGAAAAATATTTTATAGTCAAACAATAATGAAATTCATTCTTCATAGATCAAGGTAAAGAGTTACAAATCATGGCCTCTTTTCACATAAAATCTTAAGGGAAAAATACTTGAAAGTCATACACATTTCAGTATAACTTACGATGAATTTTTGCAGAGCTCCTCAAGTTAGGATTTTCTAAGTAAACACTTAAGATCAGGAAACTCCACCCTTAGGTGGTATATGCAAAAGACATCTTTAAAAAAGTATTTATTTAGTAAATTCTTAGTTAGCTTTAGGTCCTGCACACTAACCTTAAAACAATTAAGATTATCCTTAATTATTAGGTACTCAAAATTTAAACCAAAAAAAAGCCTCTCAACAAATTACAAATTGTAGATAAAATCAATGGAAAGTGTGCTGAGAACATTATTGAGCCATATTGATATTGTTTTATCTCATTTGTATTGCTAAATGGAGTTTTATAAGCATTAGAATTTCTCATTTCTGTTGGGTTATTTGGTCCTGCACCATAAATCATGGTTCATTGACTTTGAATGTTTTGCATAGTTTACATGTTTAAATATTGGCATTTGGTTTCAATATTTACATTATACATATACTATCAAAATTACAAAAAGGAGAGACTACTATCTCTGTGTCAACAGTTTATTCTTTGTTCCCCTTGTATATATGTATAACTATATGAATATATTCATTTAATCAAATTGTTCAAATGAAGAATGTGTTACACCAATGGGTATCAAATAAGATTTGGAAAGAGGGCTAGGAGAATGGAACCAATTTGGAGACAGGACAAATCTGACTAATATACATGATATACAATGATTTGAAATAAGCTGAGAGGTTTAGATGTGTTAGGCACTCCTTTTGAAATATGCAGCTTGCTGAATTGCTACAATATGATTCAGAGAGTTCAGCCCAATTTATGGAAGTCCCTGGTCATGGAAGTTTTCATTGCTTTAAGATTTTTATGCTTGTGGATCATTCCAAAATGTTATCTGTATATGTTATTCTAATATGATTTCTTAAATATCCCTTTGTCTGACATGTCTGAAGAGCATTTTTGTCTCGCCTTGACGGAGTCAAAAAGCGAGACATAGGTATGCTGTTTCCGTCAACAATGTATTAGTTTGTGATTAGGTCTAGTTCATAGTGAACCACTAGTGGTAGGTTAATGATATTTGGTATGCAGTTGTATTAGCATTGGCACATCTCATTACCATGGAGATTATTTGGCCCCGCCCCCTCAGTCAAGGTCTATTGACTTTGAAACTTTTCATAGTTTACATGTATTAGTTTGTGATTAGGTCAATTTATGGGGAACCACTAGTGGTAGGTCAATGATATTTGGTATGCAGTTGTATAAGCATTGGCATATCTCATTTCCATTGAGATTATTTGGCTCTGCCCCATTAGTCATGGTCTATAGACTTAACGAGAGAAATTTATGTATTACTGAAAAATTATTACACCAGGGTTTTCGATATCACAAACTAGTCAAAACATTTACTAAATTTTATCATCGGTATAAGGACATCATTCGTAAATATAGCTCAACATGCAGACTTCTTATACGTTCAGGTATTTCACATCCATTTTTTTATGGAAATATTCTTTATAAAGCACAAAAATGTCAGTATTCACCTCTGAAACTAACAAAACCTTTAAATAGACTTATTAAGAAGGGATATAGTTACGATACTGTTGTCAGGTCATTAAAGATTGCATATTTTGGCGTTAATATTGATTCACTTATAGGGTCTTTGCATCGGCACTAAACACATTTATTTAAAAACCAGTTGTTGGCATGACACGGGTTATGTTCTTCTCATATATGTTATGATGGTATGATACTAAACCCCTAACGGGAAGGATTGTGCCTGATATTCATATGATGAAGACATAATCTTTCAATCAGTTTAATTGAAGTTTGGAGCTGGCATGTCAGTTAACTGCTAGTAGTCTGTTGTTATTTATGTATTATTGTCATTTTGTTTATTTTCTTTGGTTACATCTTCTGACATCAGACTCGGACTTCTCTTGAACTGAATTTTAATGTGCGTATTGTTATGCGTTTACTTTTCTACATTGGCTAGAGGTATAGGGGGAGGGTTGAGATCTCATAAACATGTTTAACCCCGCCGCATTTTTGCGCCTGTCCCAAGTCAGGAGCCTCTAGCCTTTGTTAGTCTTGTATTATTTTTAATTTTAGTTTCTTGTGTACAATTTGGAGTTTAGTATGGCGTTCATTATCACTGAACTAGTATATATATTTGTTTAGGGGCCAGCTGAAGGACGCCCCCGGGTGCGGGAATTTCTCGCTGCATTGAAGACCTGTTGGTGGCCTTCTGCTGTTGTCTGTTCTGTGGTCGGGTTGTTGTCTCTTTGACACATTCCCCATTTCCATTCTCAATTTTATTTGAAAATTTTGCTAAGTTAATCATGTACTAGTTTGTGATTAGGTCAGTTCAAGGGGAACCATTAGTGGTAGGCCAATGTTAATTGGTGTTCAGTTGTATAAGCATTAGCACATTTCATTTCCATGGAGAATATTTGGCCCCGCCCCCTCAGTCATGGTCTATTTACTTTGAAACTTTTGCTTAGTTTACATGTATTAGTTTGTGATTAGATCAGTTTAAGATGAACTGCTAATGTTATTAAGTCAATGATATTTGGTATGCAAATTTATTGGCATTTGCAAGTATCGTTTCAATGGAGATTATATAGCCCCATCCCCTCATCATGGTTCATTGACTTTGAAACTTTTACATAGTTTACAAGTTAATGTTTGTGTTTAGGTTTGTTTAAAGGGAAAGACTTATAATAAGTCAATGGTATTTGGTATGCAGTTGTATTAGCATTGGCACATCTCATTCCATGGAGATTGTTTAGCCATGTACCTTCAGTTATGGTTCATCGACTTTGAATATTTGCATAACTTACATGTTAAAGTATTGCTATTTTAATTTCAACATTTGCATTATCAAAATTACAAAAAGGCGAGACATATCTCTGTGATGACAGTTTATTAATTTGTTCTCATGGTGTCTAGTTCTAGTATTTAGATTTTAAAATGTTGAGATTTTTTACAATGTTGGAGATACAATATCCCTTCCAAGGTTTATTTGTCAAGATGTTACAAAAGATGTTAGATAAAACTGAAGTAACATCTGTTTCTAGTTGAATAGATTTTGATGAAATTTTTTATGATAATTAATCAGTTTTCTGTAGGAAAATAATTATTTATCAATAATAATAAGCACGCCAAGAGATTGAAAATGAAATTACAGGCATTCATATGCATATTTTTGAGATTTTATCATTTTGTGTTTTTATCAAATATTTCTTATTTTATTTAAGATCATGTGATAGCCATAAGTCAAAATAATTGTATTTGTAATATGTAGATTTTGAAATATAAGTATGTTAATGTTCAATAATTTCATATATGGCTTCACATTTTTCATTTCAGGGCCTGATAAAGCCGACAATACATTATGGGTTTTTCTCATTGTTGAAGGCCAACAGATAGATGTCTCATTGGCAATCATACCACATCTCCTTTGTTTTTATATTACATATGTACATCATCAGTACATGTATATAAATTTGGCTTAAAATTCTATTTTACAGGGCAGCTTCTGTTGCCATCATGTGGTTTGTTATCTTGGTTATTATTAACATCATATTGCCATGTGTACTGGGAGAGGAATCACAGTCAGGTGATGGCAGCCATTGGATGGATTTCTGGGTTGTTCGACTGCTGTTAAATCTCTTGGGCTATGCAACAATATTTGTGCCTGGTTACTTGTTGATGAGATACTTGAGGAATATCAGATACAATGAAACAGCTGGTAAGATTTATACTCCATTCAAATTTTCACATTTCTGGGTAGCATATATAATTTGGTCCTTTTTTGGTGGGCACTGAACATTTAGAGGTTTTTTTTTTTATATCTAACAACTTAGGGGAATTAAATGTTAGTTAAATAATGAAAAAAATTATACATTTACATGCTTTGACAAAAATCTAATCAGTTATTTGTATGACAAGACTTTTTTGGAGGAAGAACATTTGTATTTCATTAGAGCAAACTCCTTCAGGTAAAGTTGCCCTAATAAATGGTTTTATTTTTGTTATTAGTAATATAAGCCCTATTTGGTGCTGTGAACTTTTATAGTAAGTATGAATAAACAGGTAAAAGGTAGAAGAGAGGCAAGTATTTTCTGTGGATGTGTTACATACTTGTCTTCTATGCGGAAAAGTAAAACTACTTTCACAAAACTGCTGAAACGAAATAAACAATTTTTGGTAAGGTTCCACTCCTTAATACATTTTATATCTCCCTAACTTCTTGCTATGAGCATTCCAGATGAAATCAACCCAAAATTATGTACAAAAGTGTTACTTTGACACGAACAAATTGCACTGAACACATATTTTATTAACAGATTATTTACCACCTTTTGGTTTTATTCAGGAAATTCCATGCTTAATGAAGGTGAAGAAATTGAGAAAGGTAAAATTGAAAACAAATTTAATTCATTTCTCTATTCTTTTCAGTTCACTTTAACATGTTTATTTATTTTTTTTTGGAAAGATTGGAACTTGTTCATGTCAATATTAACTGACCAAACTACCATTGTCCAAACTTTTGATCTACATATTAACTTAGTTTAAGAGTTCTGATCTAGTTATTGTAAAATTTATGATGAGATTACTTCTCATCTTTGTTGATTAACAGACCCATATTCATGTTTCTCCAACAGTTTATATAATCCTGCATCTTGATCTTATTCTATAATCATTTGCCTGTAATAATAAGTATTTGTTACACAACTTTTAAACTCAATAGTTTGTTAGATGTTTGATAAAAGACTTGATAAAACTAAACAAACATAATTGAAACCTGGAAACATTGATTTTATGAGAAAAAATTGATAAAAATGTGATTCTGTTTCAAGACAATATGCAATGTATCTGTAATTAAATGGAAGATATTTTGGTACTGGTTTGTCATCCCAAATCTCTCAATTGAAGCTTGCACTATAGTCATGTATTTCATTCCCAGATTGAAGACTTAGGAACCCCATGTTAATGAAAAAACTGTGAACCAACTTAAAATTAAAAAAAATGCAAGTCATTAATTGTTCTCAAATGTTTTATTACAGATTTATTTATTTGATATTTAAGAAATTGCTCCTCATGACGAAGAAGCAGATATGTTATGTGACATTTCTCATACATGTTTTACACAGGATCTGCAAGGAAAAATCTAATCCCCTTTTTTTAAGGAATCTTTATTTGTCAATTTCTTCTGCTTAGAAAGACTGTAAACTTGGAATTTAAAAGTTAGGAATCAGTTTCACAAAAAAACTTACGACTTAGATTGATTGTAAGTATACTGAATTGTTCATGACTTACGATCAATCTTAGTCGTAAGTTTTTTTGTGAAACCGACTCCTGAATATGGTTTGATAAACACAGAAATTAACATGTTCATTCATGTGTATGTTCCATCACTGCATCAAGTGAGATACAACATTTCTATAGTGGAGGGTGTCTTAGTGCTATAGATATTTGAAATTGAACTTTCTAGAGTAGAAAAATATACTATTTGAAGAGATATAATAAATGTATCAGTTTCTCTAATGATTAAAGACAATATGTATCTTTCTGATGAATTGGTTTTTTTTTCTGTCCGAGAGGTCATCAGGAATTGTTTTCTATTTTTCATGACGATACAGAACTTTTTTGTCCAATAATGATCTGAGCAAAAGCAGACCACGTGTTGATAATAGTCAGGAAAATTTTTAATTGACCAAGGATGACAAAAATGTATCGTTAGTCTACATAAAGTGATTGAAAAAAATGTATCGTTAGTCTACATAAAGTGATTGAAAAAAATGTATCGTTAGTCTACATAAAGTGATTGAAAAAAAAATGTATTGTTAGTCTACATAAATTGAAAAAAATGAGCAGGCAGATATTAAGAATAACTACAAGTCACCATGATTGTGAACATATTTGTTAAATTCTATTACCAAACTTGTATTTGTCTTTTCAGCTCCTTCTTTTATGTCCAACCTGATAAAACATTGTGTGTTTGGAAATGATGAAAAAGTTAGCTTGGAGAGTGCAGAAGAAGGTGGAGAGAGTTCTTCAGGGACCGCAGAATCTCAAAATACAGTGAAGAGGGGTTTAACCTTGGTGTTTTGTTTAGTGGGTCTACAGGGGGCTTATCTGACATGGGGTGTTCTTCAAGAGAGAATTATGACATTTGAGTATGGAAAAAGCGATGGACCAGGTGAATTCTTCAAAAACTCTCAGTTTTTAGTTTTCATCAATAGAATTCTGGCATTTATCATTGGAATGACAGTAATATTTTTACGAAGACAACCACATCATACAACTCCACTATATAATTACTCATTCAGTTCATTTTCAAACATTATGAGTAGCTGGTGTCAGTATGAAGCATTAAAATTTGTTAGTTTTCCTACACAGATATTAGCAAAAGCTTCAAAAGTCATACCTGTTATGTTAATGGGAAAAGTTGTATCAAAAAGGACATACCAATACCATGAGTATATAACTGCTGGTATGATATCAGTTGGTGTAACATTGTTTTTACTGAATAGTGGTGACGTGACCAGGCATAAAGGAAGCGTCACAACAATATCTGGAGTTATACTACTGGCAGGTTATATGGGCTTTGACAGTTTTACATCAAACTGGCAAGGAGAGTTATTTAAACGTTACAAGGTTTCCTCTATACAGATGATGACAGGAGTCAATATGTTTTCCTGTTTACTAACTGGGGTCTCACTATTAGAACAGGGAGGGTTTTTTGACTCATTTGCATTCATGGCAAGACATCATTTATTTGTTGTCCATGCAATTATTTTAAGTCTATGTTCAGCCGGTGGGCAGCTATTTATATTTTACACAATTTCACAGTTTGGAGCTGTGACATTCACGATAATAATGACTTTAAGACAAGCCTTCGCTATCTTGTTATCATGTGTCATATATGGACATCCTGTTACATTAATAGGGATGATAGGTATAGCAGTTGTGTTTATCGCCTTATTTTTACGTATCTATGCAAATCAGAAAAAGAAATCTCAGAAGCCAAGTGGTTCAAATACATCAACTTCAAAGGTCTGAAAATCCAATATATTACTATTTGAGTGGAAGCTTTATATAGTTTTAAGGTATAGTCTTTGTAATGTAAAACTATTGACACAAAAGTTGTTACATTTTGAGTCTGTATTTATTGAGAATCTTGAGTGTGTAATGTTATACTATTGATACAAAAAGTGGTTACATTTTGAGTTTTTATTTTTATGAGAAATCTTAAGTCTTTGTAATGTTAAACTATTGATACAAAAAAGTGGTTACATTTTGAGTCTTTATTTTTATGAGAAATCTAAGTCTTTGTAATGTTAAACTATTGATACAAAAAGTGGTTACATTTTGAGTCTTTATTTTTATGAGAAATCTTAAGTCTTTGTAATGTTATACTATTGATACAAAAAAGTGGTTATATTTTGAGTCTTTTATTTTTATGAGAAATCTTAAGTCTTTGTAATGTTAAACTATTGATACAAAAGAGTGGTTACATTTTGAGTCTCTTTTTTTTATGAGAAATCTTAAGTGTTTGTAATGTTAAACTATTGATACAAAAAAGTGGTTACATTTTGAGTCTTTATTTTTATGAGAAATCTTAAGTATATGTAATGTTAAACTATTGATACAGAAAGTGGTTACATTTCAATTCTTTATTTTTATGAGAAATCAGTTGTTACATTGAATTGAGAAATCTGAAGTCTTTAGTTATGTTATAGAGTTGAGTTATTTATATAATTATTAGAGTTTAGTTATATTGTAAAGGGTTGAAAATACTCTGACGGCAAATTGCTGCATTGTTTGTTTCTTCTTTTGTTTTTTTTTTTGTAATCATTTGCTCATATTCATATATTAATCCCTAATCCAAAGTTTTTATATTCTTCTACAGATACACCATTTGTACTCTTCCTTATTTGAAAATATCATAATTCATGGAATTTTGCTGTGATATTTGATAAAAGGCATTCAAAAAGTGTCAGCTTACTGTGAACATCAATAAATAGCTACAATGTATAGTAAAACCATGACGGCAATGACTTTATAATATTTCTGTGTTCAACAGTGGGAAATTAATCAGTTTTTTGTCTCGCCTTGATGGAGTCAAAAAGCGACACATAGGTATGATGTTTCCAGCGGCGGTGGCAGCTTCAACAATGTATTAGTTAGTGATTAGGTCTGGTTTATGGTGAACCACTAGTGGTAGGTCAATGATATTTGGCATGTATTTGTATAAGCATTGGCACATCTCATTTCCATGGAGATTACTTGACCCTGCCCTCTCAGTCATGGTCTAATGACTTTGAAACTTTTGCGTATTTTACATGTACTAGTTTGTGATTAGGTCAGTTTATGGGGAACCACTAGTGGTAGGTCAATAATATTTTGTATGCAGTTGTATAAGCATTGGCATATCTTATTTCCATGGAGATTATTTGGCCCCACCCCCTCAGTCATGGTCTATTTACTTTAAAACTTTTGTATTAGTTTACATGTATTAGTTTGTGATTAGGTCAGTTGTAGGGGAACCATTAGTGGTAGGCCAATGATGATTGGTATGCAGTTGTATAAGCATTAGCACATCTCATTTCCATGGAGAATATATGGTCCTTCTCCTTAGTCATGGTCTATTGACTTTGAAACTTTTGCTTAGTTTACATGTATTAGTTTTTGATTAGATCAGTTTAAGATGAACCACTAATGTTAAGTCAATGATATTTGGTATGCAACTGTATTGGCATTTGCAAGTCTCATTTCCATGGAGATTATATAGCCCCATCCCCTCATCATGGTTCATTGACTTTGAAACTTTTACATAGTTTACAAGTTAATGTTTGTGTTGAGGTTTGTTTTGAAGGGAACAACTTATGATAAGTCAATGGTATTTGGTATGCAGTTGTATGAGCATTGACACATCTTATTTCCATGATGATTGTTTAGCCATATCCCTTCAGTCATGGTTCATTGGCTTTTGAATAATTGCATAATTTACATGTTAAAGAATTGCTATTTTAATTTCTACATTTGCATTATCAAAATAACAAAAAGGAGAGACATATCTCTGTGTTCACAGTTTATGTTCAGTTTTTATACGCCCGTTTACGGGACGTATTATGGTATACCTCTGTCCGTCTGTACGGTACGTCCGTCGTCAACATGTCGGACATTAACTCAAAAACGCTTTAACCAATTTGCATAAAACTTTGGTGAATTGTTTATATCTATTGATGTGAGCTCCCTTTCGTTTTTAATAAATTTTAGATTTTACGTTTCCGAGTTATGCGGTTTTATTCATTAAAAAAAGGGGGATTTTCCAGTTTTGGGACAATAACTCAAGAATGCTTTCACCAACTTGCAAGAAATTGTGGTGAATTGTTTTTATTTATTGACATGATCTCCCTTTCGATTTTTATATATTTTAGATTTTACGTTTCCGAGTTACAGGGTTTAATTCATAAAAAAAGGGGGATTTTCCAGTTTTCTGACAAAAAATCGAAATGCTTTCAGCTGTTCTTATGAAACTTTGGTGAATTGTTTATATCTATTGATGTAAGCACCGTTCAGAATTTTATAAATATTACATTTTACATTTCTGAGTTATGGGGTTTTATTCAATAAAAAAGGGGGGATTTTCCAGTTTTCGGACAATAACTCAAAAATGCTGTCAGCAATTCTCATGAAACTTTGGTGAATTGTTTATATCTATTGATGTAAGCTCCCTTTACATTTTCATAAATTTCTAATTTGACATTGAGAATTAATTGAACTTTAATTGTTTATAGTCTGACAACATATTTACTAAGTATTGTGCAACAGCACAGTGTATTGCACAACAGTAAGAAATCTTTAATTGAATATAAATTCAATTCATATAACCAATTTCAAGTTCTTTGACTTCATTTATTCAGAAACCTATAATATGTCAAATATTTAATACAATCCAAATTCAGACCTGTATCAAGCTTGAATATTGTGTCCATTTTTGCCCCAACTGTTCAGGGTTAGACCTCTGCAGGCTAATCCAGCTGCGCTCAGCGAAGCAGTTTATTAATCAATTGTTGAAATTTCTACATTCCTTTATAACAGACTTACATATTTATTATTAATTTGTTTGATGTGGCTATTAACTTTTGATAATTGTGAATAGAGTAGATTAACATTGATATTATTTTGTTTGGTCATCTAATTTAAGCCACCAATGATTGATTATTTGCTGCTGTTCTCTTTTAGAATGATTTGAAATTATATGATGCCATTGTTAAACTAATTAGACCAGTATGAATGAATAGATATGGACACTTTTTGTCTATTGTGGTCTGTGAACTTTTTAAAAAATGTTCATCTCAAACCTCAAATGGATCTGAAATATGTTTAGGGCATTTCCTTAGAGGACCTGGCAACCCATCACTACTGTTATAACTTAATGTTAAATTTCTGTGATTCATTATTGTACTTTAATATCATGACTGCTATTATCCGTCTTTCCATAGGTTATTTAGAAATATTTCACAATATCTATAAATTTTCTTTTCTTAAAAAAAAAACAAAAAAGAAAGTTTCATGAGTAAATTTCCTTTTGATTGTGGTATTTTTCAATTTGTCATTAGTGAGTAAAGTGACTTTGATATTTAATTATTTAACCGTTCTGGAAATTTTTTCAAATTTATTTTGATGAATCAAGTTTCTTTAACAAATTTTTATGCATGACATTTGTCATTTGTATGTGAATTTTTAAATTGGAGTCAATATTTTTCATGCAACTATTGTTGAAGGATGTTCCTGAATACTATAATGATAATGAGTCAAATTGTGATGGCAGTTGCATACATTAGTTTATAATACATGTGTTTAGTGAGTGAAACAGGTTCCTTGAAGCCTCTAGTGGATCAATAATTAGAATCTTTTTACTTGCAAATGTGATGCTATTGCATCATGTTTAAATCCATTATTATTATTGTTATACATATTTTATGAGATTATTTATACTGGATGATCTGTTATTAATACTGAGGTTTTGAATTGTAAATTATATAACTGTGGTTGATTTGAACTATAGATTTAATATTAAAATTGGGAATGATATGATTAAGTTTGCTTTCTCTCCTAAATAGTAAATAGTTGTGAATTTATGATTCTGCTAGAGTCATTTACATCGTGTTACTTTTTGTTGACTTTCTATGATTGATCCCTAAAAAAAATGCAGAAAGTTGATCTAGTGTCAATACATTTCAAACATAAACTGGCTTGATGATACCATGCTCAATGTTTTTTACCCCTTTCTCAAACATTTGGCATTTAGATGGAAGAGCAAAGATTTATTATAATGAGGGATATGTTTTAAAATAAAGGAGATGTGGCATAATTGCCAATGAGACAACTATCCACCAGAGTTCAAATGATGAAGACATAAGCAATTGTAGGTCACTGTATGGCCTTCAACAATCAGAAAAAACTAAATGGCACAGTCAGCTGTAAAAGGCCAAAACATGAAATAAGCAAATCAATTCAAACAAGAAAACTAATGGCCTAATTTATAACACTACAATTTACAAAGAAAAACGAATATGACAGACATGAACCAATGCTAACCACTGAATAACAGGCTACGGACATGGGACAGGCACACAAAGAATGTGACTTGGTTAATAAAATTGAGAATGGAAATCGGGAATGTGTCAAAGAGACAACAACTCGACCAAAGAGCAGAAAACAGCTCAAAGCCAACAATGGGTCTACAACACAGCAAGAAAATCCCACACCTGAAGGTGGGCTTTATCTGGCCCTTAAACAAAAATGTATACTGGTTCTGAGAAAATGGACTTCAAACTAAACTCAGAAACATATAAATGAACCAAAATTAAAAAATCATACAAGACTAACAAAGGCCAGAGGTTCCTGACTTGGGACAGGCGAACAAATACTGTTCAAGAAACATAAACAAGAAGGCCTTGTTATTAGAATTCCGTCTGTCTATCCATCTGTTCGTACCAACTATTTTTCCTTTGTTTGATTCACTTCCAACTTTGTAGAATAGTATGTCATGATATGAAACATCACCAAGTGAAGGAATTTTCATAATATTAGTTCTACCATTTTCAAAATGGATCTTTTCATAGCAACTCATTTTACATTGTTTATCATATCTACATGAAACTTAGAAAATTGTTTGATCCTAAAATGCAGATGTGCATGTGGATAGGATATTCTATATAAAAGTTTAGGTTTTCAGATCCAACATTGTCATCACATCTCTAACATAGTTTATACTATATCATGAAACTAAGTACAGTGTTAAGTAAAAAAATGCAAGATGTTCACACCCATTTAAAAAAAAGTTTTCCCCTTTTTCAATTTTGAAATGTTTGCCCTGTCCAGCAGACCTTGTCATTGCAACTCCTAATACATTTTTAGCTCACCTGGGCCCAAAGGGCCCCATGTGAGCTTATGCCATCACTTGGCGTCCATTGTCGTCTGTCGTCACCGTACACTTTTTCAAGAATCTTTTCCTCTGAAACTACTGGGCCAAATACCTTCAAACTTTAACTGAATGTTCCTTAGGGTATCTAGTTTATGAATTGTATCCAAAGTTTTGATCCATCAACAAACATGGTCAAATTTTGCAGTTTTTATACGACCGCAAAAAATTTTGGGGTCATATATTAATATCACGTTGTCGTCGTCGTCGTCCGAAGACAGTTGGTTTCCTGACAATAACTTAAGTATAATTAAATAGAAATATTTGAAATTCAAACACAAGGTTTATAACCACAAAAGGAAGGTTGGGATTGATTTTGGCAGTTATGGTCCCAACAGTTTAGGAATTAGGGGCCAAAAAGGGGCCCAAATAAGCATTTTTCTAGTTTCCAGACAATAACTTGTGGAACGGTGTATGGCTCTCTCTGAAATTATACCACAAGTTTCCATACCACAAAGGGATGGTTAGGATTTGCTTTGGGGGGTTACGGATCAAACCGTTTAGAAACAATGGGGAAAAACAAGGGTTTCCTGGTTAATAGACAAATAAGACAATTTCAAAGCAATGTAAGGGAGGTAATCCAAACACAACATTTTGATTACCTCCCTTACACTGCTTTTAAATTGTGTATAAAGAAATGTTGTATTGAGATGATTAGCTGTCAATTTATTTTTAGAAGTTACTATTAAGGAATATTAATTTTAGCCATGATTATGTATGTCATTTTCTATTTTAAGACTTTTATGATGTACTTAGATGGGTAATTATGGTTGAAAACTCCATTGGAAATTTGAATTGAGATTATGCCCATATTTTGAGGGAAAGAATTTTTTTTTTGGGGGGGGGGGGGTAAAAAGAAATTGTGGGGGGTCAATTTTTTCTCATTTCAGATTTCAGAAATTAAAAAGAATAATTTTTCAAATATTATTTTTTTTGCAAAAAAAAGAGTGGGGGGGGGGGGGGGGGGGGGGTTAAAATACACAACAGCATAGTGTATTGCACAAAAGCAAAAATAAAGGAGGGGGGGGTAAATTTTTTTTGTGGGGGAGGGGGGGTCAATTCGCAACAGCAAAGTGTATTGCACAAAAGCAAAAAATTGAATATAAATTCAAATCATATAACCAATTCTAAGTTCTTTGACTACAGTTATTCAGAAACCAATTATATGTCAATTATTTTATTACAATCCAAATTCAGACCTGTATCAAACGCGAATATTGTGTCCATTTTTGCCCCAACTGTTCAGGGTTGGACCTCTGCAGTTGTATCCAGCTGCGCTCGGCAAAGCAATTTATTGGTTATTATTTTGAATATTATTATAGATAGAGATAAACTGTAAACAGCAATAATGTTTTGCAAAGTAAGATCTACAAAAAGGTTAATGTGACCAAAATTGTCAATTGATCCCTTAAGGAGTTATTGCCCTTTGTTGACAATTTTACACAATTTGTTCATCATGTTTGCTAACATTTTTTCTCCTCTAAAACTACTGGGCCTAATTCTTCTAAACTTTAACTGAATGTTCCTAAGGGTATCTAGTTTATAAATTGTATCTGAAGTTTTGATCCATCAACAAACATGGCCGCCATGGCTAAAAATAGAACATAAGGCTAATATCTCAAAAACTAAAGCACTCAGAGCAAATCTGACATGGGTAAAAATGTTCAACAGGTCAAGATCTATCAGCCCTGAAATTTCAGACGAACCAAACAACCCATTATTGTGTTGCTGCCACTAAATTGGTAATTTTAAGGAAATTTTGCAGTTGTTGGTTATTATCTTGAATATTATTGAAGTTAAAGATAAACTATAAACAGCAAAAATGTTCAGCAAAGTAAGATCTAAAATAAAGTTAATATGACAAAAATTGTCAATTGACCCCTTAAGGAGTTATTGCCCTTTAAAGACAATTTTACACAATTTGTTCATCATGTTTGCTTACATTTAAAAATCTTCTATTCTGAAACTACTGGACCTAATACTTCTAAACTTTAACTGAATGTTCCTTAGGGTAACTGGTTTATAAATTGTATCCGAAGTTTTGATCCATTAACAAACAAGGCCACCTTGGCTAAAAATAGAACATAGGGGTCAAATGCAGTTTTTGGCTTTTATCTCAAAAACAATAGCAATTAGAGCAAAAGTGACATGGAGGTTAAGTGATGAATAAGTCAAAATCTATCTGCTATGAAATTTTCAGATCAATTCTATGGTTACTGGCTGAAATAGTTTATTTTTATGAAATTTTACTGTTTTTGGTTATTATCTTTAATATTATTATAGATGGAGAGAAAGTGTATTGATTGATTGATTGTTGGTGTTTTAACGCCACTTTTAAGCGCAACATTTGGGCTATTTCGTGGCGGCCAGTTTTAATTGGTGGAGGAAGCCGGAGAAAACCACGACCTTCGATAGGAAAACTGACAATCCTAGTCAATTAAGACTGGAGTCGAGTGCACCTGCACAAGCCGGGTTTGAATTCACAAACTCAGTGTTGACTGGCTAGTGATAACAGTAGTAGAACTACTTAGACCACTTGGCCACCGAGGCCCCAAGAGAAAGTGTAAATGGCAAAAATAATTATTGATGAAAGATTTAAGCAAAGAATTACAGGTGAGCAATTCAGGCTCTTGAGAGCCTCTTGTTTATGGTATCTACCACAAAACTTGGTACATGTTTATTGCTAGATCCTAATTCTAGTATATAGAAATGCATGTGAGCAGGATTCTCAAGTCTATTGAATTTATCAAAAGACATGCTTTTTTGAGCTTAGAATATTTTGTCCCTAGCCAGCACCTACCTTTCCATCGCAACTCTTCCTTCATGGTTTATCATATGTACATGAAAAACTTGTAAATTGTAACCATGGGTAGGATAATCCAGTCCATTAAATTTGTTTAGAGAAAAACAACATTGAACTTTGAAAATGTTGGCCCTGTACAGCTTCTTCCTTTTCATCACAACTCCTGGAAGATGGTCGAGTATGTCTATATGGAACCTAGTTTATTGTTAATTCTGATACGAAAATATGCATAGATGTAGGATGTAAGGGAGCTACCATTTGATTTTTATGGGGGGCTAGGATGAAAATTTTTGTCCTGCATTTTTTTTTAGTTGTAATCTCTGTCCTGCCTTTTTATTTTTCACTCTATTCGGTCCTGCCTTTTTTTTTAAAGTTTATTCTGACTTTTTTTTACCTAAATTGTCATCCTGACTTTTTTTTTTTTGCAAGTGTCTCATCCTGCCTTTTTTTTACTCAAAACTCCTGTCCTGCCTATTTTTTTCAAATTTCATCCTAGCCCCCCCATAAAAATCAAATGGTAGCTCCCTAAATGCATCTGAGAAAACATCAATAAAACACTAGAAAAAAGGCAAAATTTAAATTATCAACATCTTTGAATCCCTACAATTCAGTCTATCTACAAGAACCATCAAGAAATAAATCATGGACAGTATACCCAGAAAACAGTGATAAAATATTCTGTATCGAAGAAACAATTCCCGGTAGTTTGCAAAACTATTTTCAGATTTCTAAATCAAATGCATATATTAGGAATTAGGTTGCCAGAAATATCTGCACCATTATTTGCATGGTAGTTCATAGTTTAAATATCTTACCACATGCTACACATATTTAGATATATGGTGTGTGCATTTAAGATGGCTTGATAAAGAATAGTTTGTCATATAGCATCCTCGGGTAATAAACTAAGATATTACTGTGTTTATTTTGAAAGGTGGTTGCCATATGGAACTTTTACCTATATTTCCCAAAATATCAAACGCCAAGATTAATATGAATTTCAATATGAATTTTCATTATAAATCGAATTCAGCTTTTTTAGTTTTTATCTCAAATAGATCCTGGTATCAATGACATATTGGACCACATCATTTATATTTTAAGTTTCTAGATCAGGTACCATCTGTGGGCTTATTTCAGACCTTGGGCAGAATCCTGGTCTTACAACTGACACTCAATATAGAAAATACCATGTAATAATCTACAATTACAAGCCACCATTTAATTACACAAAGTTAAAACATAAATTGTTAAAAAAAATATGACTAAGATTTTTTTTTAATTCTAAAAACAATCTGAGCCCTCTACCGAGTACATCAAAACTATATTATTTAAAAAATGCAAAACGTTTGAAGGTGAACTTATTTTCTATCCATAATACTATATCATTGAAACATTTAACTCACACTTCGTGAAATTCATTCTTTCTGCTACTGGAATCATCTAAGACTTGGATAGTCACTTGATGGAGGAACATTGTTCATAATACATAGGAAATAAGATCAAGTCAAACCTGTATATGAAGATTACCTTCTAGAACCAGATAAAACTGACCTTACAAGAGAGGTGACCTTAATTTTGAGGTTCAAAATGCTTACATATTACTACAATGGGATAAGAAGAGGGTGACCTGGCAAGACAGGTTTTGCAGAATAGAGGTGACCTCTATAGCAGGTTTGAAATAGAGTATTAATAGGTATTTCCCACAGGGCTATTGGTAAAACTGGAATAGTTCTTACAAGTGTGCATTACTTTCAATTCCAATTTTTTGTTGGTTCTCCAAATAATTTTAGCATAAAAATAAATCATACTCTTCTTTAGAAGGTAACAATATCAATCTTTATTAGTTCCCTACCGACAAAGTCGAAGGGGACTTTAGGTTTGCACTCCGTTCATCTGTCTGTCTGTCTGTCCATCCATCAGTCCGACAAATCAGTTTTCCACACTTTTTTTCTTCGTGCTTGTTTACATGAAAACAGCTGCTCATCTACGGTATATCTATAATTAACAGAGAAACAAATTTGTTTTAAGTTCAATTGCTCTATTGCTGAAAGGTGGATTGCTCAAACTTCCCTAAATCTAAAGAGCAATGATGAGGGAAATCAATCATTAATCCAAATTTTTAATATAATCCAAAAAAATATATCTTTCAGAACAAGACTTAGTGGTGTATTAGAGTTTCAAAATAAAGTGATATAAAACTTTATCTTGGTAAATATATTGTAAATTATAACATCCACCCAAAAATTAAGAGCAGTACAAACTATTCTTTTGGCTTGTAAAATAGTTCATTTTTTTCAGTCACTTTTAAAAGGATAACAGAGTTTCAATGTCCACTGTGTCGCACATATTTTATCTGTCTCAGGTCCAAGGGTTATAACTTTAAAAAAAAATTTTTTGGTTCTTTAATATGCATAATAATTTTTTATAAATATCTTAGAGAAAGGCAATGCAATTTCCAACATAGTTAATATTTCCAAGCAGCATAACTCGTAAAAAATATTTGATCAGGAGTTATTTTTGAAATTGTCTGAGACTTTGCTGATATAAACCTATTATATAAGTTTCATAAAAATCTGGCAAGAATTGTACACATGAAGCGCAAACAATGCAATTTTCCATATAAACATATTTCCAAGGGGCATAACTCTTTTAAAAATAATTCAACTCATTTTAAAATAATTATTCCGCACTGATTTTCAAACTTGTCCGAGACATTGTTAATTTAAACCTATGATATAGCTTCTTTAAAATCTGGCAAGATTTGCAAACATGAGAGTGCTAACGATGCAATTTTCCATATAATTAATGTTTCCAAGGGGCGTAACTCTTTTTTAAAAAGTTCAATCGCACTGATTTTCAAACTCGTCTGAGACATTGCTGATTTAAACCTACAATGTAAGTTTCATAAAAATCTGTCAAGAATTGTACATGAGAGAGCGTTAACAAGACCCAATGGACGGGCGCCCGCCCGTTAATTCTATGTCCCCAACAACGTGTTGTGCGAGGGACAAAAATACCTTTTAAAAGTGGCTCTGTGACGATGTTAGTACAACAGCCTTTATTGTTGCACTGTTCACAATTTTTTTAAATATTTTGGACCTATTTTAAGGTGTAATACCACCACTGATTTTCCCCTATTATTCTTTGTTAAATTTGCACTTTTCAAAAAATTGTGCAGAATTTATCTTTGTTTCAAATAAAGAAATACTTGGCATGAGTAAAGTTTTAACCTCTCCAGTACTACAGACAAAATTTCATATAACACTTTATTGAATATAAGAAAATAACCATCACTGGAAGTTAACCAATCAAATTTTCACCCCTTCTTTTTCTGTGTACAAGCTTTAGAAACCATGTAACCTCAAGTTTCCAAAATATTCTATAGAAACACCAAATAAAAAAGGAATGGTGCTTTGAAACACCCAGGATATATGTTTATGACTCAGAATTTTTTTACTGCAATGAAATGTAAGATTAATTTCCTACAACTGTCAAATTCAAGGGAATATATTTATGCGACCCTTTTTCGTATGCAACCAGATGTGACGTACTATGATTTGGTGGTATTACACCTAAAAGGTCACCTCTTTTAGAATACTTCTCGTCTGGTCACCCTCTTTTTGTCCCACTGTAGTAATATCTATGCATTTTGAAACTTTTTTTAAGGTTTGATTGTACACAATTTATTTCTCCTAATCACACAATAGGTCTGTGATATGATAAAAACACAAAAATATAAACCTTTGATTACAGCTCTTTATAATGTGTAAAAAGAGTATAATTCAATTTATGATCATACATTTTATTTGTTATGTTTAAGTTAAATCCCATGTCATTCATTTTATTTCTAGCTTCTTTGCACATAATAAGCAAGCTCACATGCACCATGCTCTCACAGTAATGAAAACATCTGTCTCCCTCTGAAGAAAAATGTCTCCTTTTTTTCTGATGAGTGAACTGCTCTTCCATAAAAATAAAACATCAACCTTACAAAACAAAACAAAATACAAAAAAAATGCACTATCTCATTGAGGTATACATCTACCTTAATTCATAAAGATGATGTCTAGAGGTCATCATAATTGGGCTTCAACCATGACAATTGTCTAAATAGCCTGAGTGAAGACAAGACAAGTAATGAACAGTAGTACTACAAAAAACTATATATATACTGATTTTTTCAATATTAAATTTGGTAATAGAAAAGGACAGGATGTTCTCCTGTCATTTTCCTTTGTATATGGTATGATTGATTGATTGTTTGGTTTTTAACACCACTTTCAGCACTATAGGCTATTTTGTGGTGGTAAGTTTTTATTGGTGGAGGAAGCAGGAGTGCCTGGAGAGAACCATGACCTTGAGTAGGAAAACTGACAATCCTAGTGAATTAAGATTGGAGTCGAACGCAGGGGCCACCTGTGGGATTCAAACTCCCAACCTCTGTGTTGACGGGCTAGTGATACAGTAGTTGGACTGCTTAGACCACTTGGCCACAGAGGCCCTGCTGTATATGGTATGTGTAAAACCCTAATCATACATAATACATCTTTATAAAACTGATTTATTTAATATTAAATTTTGCACACAGGAAAGTTGTTGGAGTTTCATAAGATGTTCTTCTGTCATTTTCACTCCTAAAAGGTATGTGTAAAACACCATCATCTGTCATCTGTGCTCTTGGATCATAAGTTCTTGGCCACTGAAGAAAGAAAATAACTTCTGTTATAGTTTTTACAGGAATAACATTGTAAGATGACACTTTTATCTAAGCAATATCATTTCTTTAAATGAACATATTTATGAACCAAGCACAAGTACAGTATTGGTACACATTTCAAAAAATATAAACCCTCTTCTTCAAAGGTTAAGTTAAAAAAAAAAAGTTATTCACAGCCGTTTTCTTATTCCTCTTCCTAATAAGGAACCAGATTCAAAATTTGTATTACTTGGTTCTTCGCTTGGGTTGTCAACTGTTTTTTTGATGTCTTTGTTATGAACAAGAATGTTTAATACATAATAATAAAAAAACCATTGGCAATACTAATTAAATGCAAAGGATAATGATGGGCATTCAGGGCCTCATTTGGGACACATTTGAAAATTAAATATACACTGTATAGATGATTCAATAGATTTTGTTTTAGCATTTAAATAACTACTCATTAAAAAAAATTAGACGATTTTAATAGAAAAATCTATTGCTCTACCTGCAGCCTCATTATTAAATATACATTTTGTGGAAGCATTACAAATAAAGTCTGGATAAGTACAAAGCCATAAATTGGTGAAAAGTCAGTCATACCATAACTCATCACTCACAAACACAGACTAGTAGTTATCATCATTAAAAATGTACAAAAACTCAGATCAATATCTGCAGACATAAAGAAAAAGTCTGAAAAACTACCTGACAAAATTACTGACATTGCTAAAACAATGTGCCATGGTCATTTAGTGGTTTTGATAAAATGGTATTGTTGTTTAAACAACAGGGAGATATTTACTATGTTAATTATAAATCTTTGCTCAAATAAAATAAAAATATTGAATATTGCAAACTGAACATTTGTTCCTGCATCCTACTAAACTTCATTTTTAATATTCACTTTTTGAAATACATACCAGAACAGTAAAGTGATCGCTGTTAGCTTTTGTTAGCAAGCTGACCTGCCTAGATCTCTGCCATTTTTGGAAAATCTCTCCATGTTTGCTTCCTAGCCTATGCTTACTGTCACGAAAATAATCTTTGGACATAAACATACAGGAATAACCACTAAACAATGCACCAAATAACATATAAGAGTCATCATGTGTACTGAAAAAAATAAAGATATTCACGTCACTATTAAAATACTAGAAATCTGTCTGTTTCTTTTGTCAAACTGGAACCATAATATTAATTTCATGGTTTTTATAATAAGCCATGTAAAATACATTAATATAGCAAAAATCATTGGTATTACATGCACATGCATTTCCAAAGTAACTACACATACAGTACTTGGGTCAAGATTTGATTGTAGACAGATTTTCCTTTTGAATTAAGCATAAATTGAGATATGTTAAATGTTATTGTCAAATAGGACATAGATAATAGAAACATTTGAAAATGTATTACATAGCAGCTTATAAACATAAAGTGATCTGCAATTGTTGAGGAAAATATGATTGAAAGAATGAAACAAATTGATTTATTGACAGATCAAACCAATACATGCTCTTTTTTATACACTGGGAATAAATGACAGCTGTACCATAGGAACTGAATGTCACATTCTTGACACAGTGAGCAACTGCTCTCCTTAACCCAATATCTTTATTACCAAAACTAATACATAAGAATGTAAGAAGCCTTCTACTCTTCCTCCACTTGTCCAAGATTTATCATACAATTAAAACATAATTCAAATTAATATCCAAATTTAACTCTATTCAAGGTTCAAGAACAAGTTATGACAGATGTTTTATTTTTGGATAAAAATGACTGAAATAAATGCATTGTATTAGAACTCAGATGCTAACAATTACAAAGATCAGCCACGTTGTAATAATTATTTAATCACCAGTTTATCATGAATAAAATTAGCCAGCTAACATTTTAAAAATACCATTCAGGAAATAAAACAGACATTTTGAGTGTATCCTGAAATACACAAGTAAATTGGCATGTTCATAAAAGCATTGTCCTTCTTTATTTGCCATTTACAAGCAAATTATTAATAATCAATAAAACTTGAAGAATTTTTTTGGATAAAAAAAAGGGGAGGAAAAACTAGCTCTACTTATGCAAACCAGTATTTGAGGATCAAAATAGTGTCCATTTTATAATGTAATTTGTACACAAACAGTTTTATTTTTTTCTGTCACGACCAAAGTTGTTCAGATAATGATAACTTTGACAACATTGCAGAATAATTGAAACTGTCTTTCTTACCTCCAAGGTTACCTGAATGTCATGCTTTGAAAAATGACTGACATTGCATGAAAAATGTTCAGACCCTTGAATCTATCGTAAATCTTTTTTTCAAATGTATATAAACAGAATTTACCTTCGATGAACTTTAAATGTTTTAGCATTTTTGTATTCTCTAGGGAAAGTTTTTCTTGTTACAATCAAAACTCTCTTTCCTTTATGTGCAAAATAATCCACTGCCTCTTGACACTGCAAAATAATTTTCATAAGTTTTAAAACAATCTTTTCCTTTTGACAAAAAAGCTTTTTAAGGATCAAGAAAGCCGAGCATCGGTCATAAATTCAAAACCAAACTAACACACATTTGAATAGATAAGGCAAATTCCATCATATGCTATGTGAAACCCTCTTATAGGATTGTGAGGATGCTTTATTTTATCACCTTGCACTTTCACAACTTGACTGTGGTTTTCTACAGCAGTTTGTTCAAATTTCTGACCAGCTGAACAGTTTGGTTTTATAAAACAAATTGCAGTTTGGTCAGAATTTTGAATAAGTTGCAACAGGTGGAGAGCAACACTAACAGTCAAGTCACAGTAAGTACAAGTACTTATTAGAGGTATAAAAGCTATAAAACTTTGCTTAATATTTAATATGTATTGGTCTATCTGAGACACTAGTATACAGTCTAGGTTTCAAAAAATTAACATTATAATAACCTTCTGAAATGTACTTCCTTGTTGGTTAGGCCTTGTGAAGTGAGAGAATATCAAATTCAGATTATCTATCACTATGTCAAATGGACCATTCTTTTCTAGAAAATCCAGGAATGTCTTCAACTCTTCTGGTGATGTCCAATAAAACGTGTCACCCTCATACAAGGTACGATCAAGAAATACACTTCTTAATTCCTGAAATTCTTCTTTAGTTAATTCAGCTTGATCCATTTTTCTCATACACGATTTACACTCTCCTCTGTAAAAAAAAAACAATTTTCTGAAAGTTAATTTACCTTTAAAAGTCTTGAATGCTGTAACTTTCCAAGCTTTTATTTAAACATTAAGCATTGTTAAGTACAAATCATACATTGATCAAAACCATCAAAAAAACTTTGTCTAGTCAAATCTTCATAAAACTTTTAGCACTCAATTCTTATGGTAATGTCCTTAAAAGTATAAAACTTGATTCATTTTGCATTTACAAATTTGATTTAGACTTAAAATTCGATATTTAATCATGATAATAATTGTGTAGAATGGATAAAAATATCTGAATCTCAAATAACTATTAGAATATGTGTATACCTGTAATTAACAACAGTTTTCTTTACTTTACAACCATAAATACTGAAAAAAAGAGAAATAAACTACAAGTCAATGTATTCCACATTATTATTTACAAATGGAAAATAATACCACATTGATGGAGATACATTGTCAAAATATTTGTGCATCATACAGTTATTGCAAATTTCATGTATTTTGAAAAATAGAGGGGAAGGATACCAAAGGGACATTCAAACTCATAAGTCGAAAATAAACGGACAACGCCATGGCTAAAAAAAGAAAAGAGATACAACAGTACACAAAACACAACATAGAAAACCAAACACTAAGCAACACGAACCCCACCAAAAACTGGGGGTGATCTCTGGTGCTCTGGAAGGGCAAGCAGATCCTGCTCCACATGTGGCACCCGTCGTGTTGCTCATGTTAGTACAAACCCGGTGATAAGTCTATTTCAGTAGGTCACATTTGGGGAAAACGGGACAGGATTGTAGTTAGAACAATTGGAACATATTCGATGTCATTTGTGAAACGGATATTCCATAACAGTCAACCAACTCGTGATGGTGTCCGTAAAATTTATGAAGGGACGATTTTTTCAGAGTGCATATATATACCAAAATTGCTTTGTGTTTTTATCTCAATGAAAAATCAACATAAGATCACTTTTGTATCCAATTGGTGTAACAACCAAACATAAGAACAACTAGTAGAAATTAGAATTTAAAATTACACTAGGATTCTAGATCTGTGCTTTTTCAGTTTTGGCATAAAATAATCTAACAGCTTAAAATACAAACTTTTCCAAGTAGTTTTGTATGTCGTTTGCTGTTTCTTCAGTTGGAAATACATAATACTTTTGAAGCATGTTGAGAAGATGGTCAAATGTTGCACTTTCTGGATACTTTTTACATACATCTACAGTTTTCTCAAGGACTTCTTGAATGATTTTTTCATGGGTCTCGTGTGAAGGTCTGTTATTGTATGCCATGTCAAAGGTAGAAGTGAAGTACTCTAAATCTTGATTGTTCAAAGCAGCCTCTAAAATAGGTACATAAAATGAGAACGGTAAACCTTTAGGAGATTCAACCTTGTCAATAAATTCCAGGCTTTTCTTCCATTTTGCAGTTGTTGAAAAAGCAGAAATTAATTTTTGTAACAACCTTCTGTCTAGGATATCTAGAAAATCTTCACATTCCTTGTACTGTGAGTAAATAAGTTCATCATGCTCTTGATTACAGTTAGTTTTCCCTAATAACTCTATGTACTCAACTCTTGGAATAATTCCAAGCTTTCTTCCTTTCTGGGACAAATACTCTAAAAAAACATTGGCTCCATCTAAATTATTATTTTCTTCAAATTCTATCATAACAATATTGTCAAACAATTTGGATTTATGATGGTTCTCTTCCTTAACTCTTGATTCAAGCTCTTCAAAATATGGAATAGTGAATTGAGTGTTTGACTTTGTTACAGCTAAATGAAACTCCTTTAAAACTGTTCCAAATCCATCCCACTTGTCTGTACTTTCTACTTCATCATTTGTAGAACTTTCAGTCTCTTTCTTGAAATAATGGCTTCTTGTGTTTAATTGTCTACATTGTTGAACTATGATAGTAGTATAAAAATATCTTATTTTGCTATATGTTGGTTTATCATATAGACAAATACTGTTTGAGGAGTGGAAGTTTGATCTTGTCAAAGCAACTCCACATCTCCATGAGAGCTTTATCAATTGCCGAAATGTCATCATAACTGAATATCTGTATCAAAAGAAATCTTTTCTATTCCACAAAAATCAAGTCCATAATCTTTACTTCTGAAAAATAAGTAAAACTATGAACATGTATGTTGCATAAAATGTTATACAATGTAAATGTATGGTGTATAAAATGTTATATCATGTAAATGTATTTTGCATCAAATGTTTATCTGGATTCAGATATATATATGTAAGACTCAGATCGACGTCCGGTCTCTAATCCACATCCGTTCCTCAAATTGACGTCCAAATCTGACGTCACAATAAAATATCTTCAAATCGACGGCCAATTTTATGCATATCTAATCGACGTCCAATTTTTGGCTTCTCTATCGACGTCCAATTTTTAGCTTCTTTAATCAACGTACGTTTTGGACACAAAATACAAAATTGAACTGAACCAATATCAGCTGAAACCTTAAGACTTTTAAACATATTATGACCGTACTTTGACCTATAATGGTTTTTCTTTTACAAATTGTGACTTGGATGGAGAGTTGTCTCATAGGCACTCATACCACATCTTCTTATATCTATGTGTGACAAATAAAATCTATTTACGTTTTTTTTAATTTATTACCTTCTACATGTAGTATGCAAACAGGATGTTATATCAATTTTTAGATTTTAGAGATTACATAAAAATAAGATGTGATATGATTACCAATAGGACAACTAATACTATCCATCAGAGTTCAAATAAAGTGAATGTGAGCAATTATAGCCTTATTATAGGCAACCGTACGGCTTTCAACAATGATAAAACCCATACCGTAAAGTCGGCTTAAAAAGGCCACGACAGGAATAATGTCAACAATTCAAATTAGAAAACTAACGGTCTTATTTATAACTAAACAATTCAGAAACACAAATATGACAGAGTTCCTGCGTATATGTTTCACTCCAGGTGTAATAATTTATAATACTCTCAAAACAATTGGCTGTACTTCTTTATTTTGTGTATTGTTGAAGACTGACTTATGCCCTCCGAGTAGATGTTGTTTGGTTTTCTTTGTCATTGGGTTGTTTTCTCATTGACTTACACTTACATGCATGTCATTTATTAATATGAATATGAAAGACACATTACAATGTACTATGTAGATCGATTGGACAAAACTTTTGTTAAGATAAATATAAATATGCATGTTAGAGTGAGTGACCCATATTCGCCACATAATTCGTTCATTTCCACTTACTTTTTATGTAGGTTTCAGAAATTTTACTATATGAAAAAAATGTTTGATAAAGGAATTATCTTCAAAACATTGGTAAATTGTTCTAAAAATGAACGCAAACTCAAGAGGAAATCAATTTGTTAGTGTACCATTGGGGACACATTTTCGCTGCAATGTATGATATGACCATCCTCATTATCCTGGTATATTATAAAAACGAATGTTTGCAATTACATGAATTACCTTGAGATATCATTCCTATACGATTTTTCTCACAAATATTTACTTTAAGACTGTGCATGATTGCCATATAAATCTTACATAATTGCCAAAATCGTTTAAAAACACCTGCGTATTTCTTTATATGTGCGAATAACCTTGGAAATGGTGTAAAGAGGAATATTAACAGTTCGAACATTACAAACAGCCTTTGACATATTTAGGCAAGAATTGGGTAAAGGCACACGAATTTTACAGAAAAAATAGCAAAACAGCAAAAATGTGTCCACGGCGAATATGCGCCACCCACTCTACCTATTTCGGGTTGAAAAAATCTATATGGAAAGTATGTATAAATGTTTGAAAATTTAGTTGTCATAATCTTGAACCCTACAAAACATGTACATGATGTACATGTATAGGTGTAAGTCCACTAATAAATCAGACGTCGTTTTGGCAATACATGACAACGTGGAATACTACAATGTAGATCGATTGGACTAACCTTTTTATCAAGATAAATATCAATATGCATGTTACCTATTTGGGGGTTAAAAAAATCTATATGGAAAGTATGTATAAATGTTTGAAAATTGAGTTGTCATAATCTTGAACCCTACAAAACATGTACATGTATAGGTGTTAGTCCAGTAATCAATCAGACGTCGTTTTGGCAATACATGATCTAACATTGGACGTTGATTAGAGTATACAAATATTGGACGTCAATTTGAGAATGTGACGTCAGAATTGGACGTCGATTTGAGGAACGGACGTGGATTAGAGTCCGGATGTTGATCTGAGTCTAACATATATATATTTACTTTTGAAAGAAAATTTAAAGATGTATACAATTTATTTCCATCAGATACATCTAAAAACTGGGGAATAATGTCAAAAGTTCTCTATTTCTTTACTTTAGGCTTAACTAGTTTGCTCTAACAAAACAATTTAAGAAAAAAAAATATGACAGACATGAACCAACAACAACCACTGAACTACAGGCTCCTGACTTGGGACAGGCACATATAGAATGTGCCGGGGTTAAACTACATGATAGAACTAGTTGTCTTCCAACTTTAGTGCTTGGAAAGGAACCTTTATTTTTTGTACTTTTTGAGACCAATGTTTTTTAGTGTATGTCTTAAAAGTTTGAATTTGTGCTAAAAACATATGTTTATTATATAAATGACTTATGTATGTTACAAAATGTACCTGACTGGAAATACTTGATGAAATAAAGACATGAAAGATATGTATGGACATATTTCAGTTATTGTATCATTTAAAGATTTGAATATTTTAAAAGGGATTCAGACTTATAGCACATTACCTTGAAATAATTGAGGATAAAATATTTATATCAAGTAAAAAGAAATCTACTCAAAGTATCAAAAACCAAACGCACATATATATATGAATGCAAGCATCGAAACAAAAGAAATAAAAACATTGAAAAAAAGAGGTTAATAATAGAGATACATGTTTATAGAAAATGTCAAGCTCTAAATTGTCCCGAGTCTAAAATTTGTTAATAAATTCAACCGAAACAAAAGTTTCCTCAATTCACTGTTCCAGAATCTAATGCATTCTGCCAGGGTAATATTTTGAAAAGCTTATACCAAAACATAGTGATTGGCTAACAACGTCCTAAACAATAGAAATTCAACAAATTGCATGACATTGTTTTCATTTTGGGGTACAAACAATGAAATTACCCTGAATCCTTTAGATTCTAACAGGCAAATTGGGGAAAGCACATGAAAAATTATGTATGGTCGGAGATTGCAAGTTCGTTATGCTTGCAAGTTCGTGACATTTGGGGATTTCCACTTTATTTGTGATGTCATGCATAAGTATTTATCATCAGCAACGTGCTACTTCAAAAAAACTTATAACCGGATATTTTGCATTGCATTTTTACTAATATCGGCTTGAAAAAGAGAAGTTGTGTATGTTCTTGCATATCATTTGTTTAAACGTCTATTTCCACTACATGTATGACGGTTTTACTCCTATCCTAGAATTTCGTTGAATTCTTGGGAGAATCCTTTCAGCAATGTTTTGGACATCTCAACAATGAGTCATCATCTATTTTTAGGTTATGTGGCGCTCTTTTTCTTTTTTTTAAGGCCAAGGGTATTATTTTTCAAAGTTTGTATGTGAGCGGATTTATTAAGATCAGAAAATGATTTGATTTATTTTGATAAAACAAAACCTATGGAATATTGGCTCGTAAAATAAATTTAATCATATGGTATTGAGTGCAAATTGAATGAAAAAATACTTTGATGCATTAATCACATTGTGACATCATTGTAGTTATCTTAAATGTGTTTAAATTGTTTAATTCTGGACTTTCTAATTGACCATTGAAAGTCACATGTAAAAATTAGAATATTTGTTGTAGGGAGAATACAAAAGTTAGTATGCCCCAATTTCTCTTTTTTTCGAGATATTCATTTGTTATTTGATCTCAAATTTATTATGTAATGCTCAAATACATAATACAATAGGCCTGACCTATATATTGTTGCACAAGCGCAAAAGCCAAGGTCCAAGACAAAGGTCACGAACTTACAAGCATGTCTACTTATTTTACGGAATCGGGTCACAATACGAAACATAGACATATTGACCATGTTTCTGAAGCTTTTCATCAATAAAGTGTATCAGATTGTTTGCAAATAAGTAAAGAATATTTACATTCATAGTGGATAATAGTTGCTCCAAGGTTGTGATTTTTTTCTTCCGTTTCGAGGTAGGGTAACGAACTTCCAATCATCGAGGATAACTAATAGACTATTTTCATATTACTGACTTTTGACTCCGGATTATATAATTTGTCGACTGGTTACCTTGGACATCATGGTACTTGGTCAAGTAAGAGCAACCAAAATAAGTAAAATCAAACATATAATCGGTGTAATTTGAGGGGAAAGTTTATTGTTTTCCGATGATTTTGTAGTGAAAAAAAAATGTTAAGCAGGTAATTTTCCCCCAAAATTGTACCGATTGAACGCTTGGTTTTACTTCTTTAGCTTGCTCTTACCTGACTTGGTACCATGATGTCCAAGGTAACCAGTCAACAAATTATATAATCCGGAGTCAAAAGTCGGTAATATGAAAATAGACTATTGGGGAGTGCATATGACAAGTGGTGTTCCCAACACACAAGGTTTTTACAAGCAAAGTTTTGCAAAGGACAAACACAATTTTGGTATTCTGCAATAGAAATAATAGTATGGATCAGCAGATTTCTTCAAATTCCACCAGGGAAAAAAAATTTCGAGAATTGTTTATGCAAATTTTAACTTGTAACTTAGACTTCTTTCTAAAAAAAATGAAATCGTCCTCTTACCAAACTTTAAAAAAACATCATAGTTGTATATCGAGTGTTATTCCATTTGCAAGAAACTGTTGACTGCACAGCTGCATGTCTCATTTTTTCGTTGTTTTTTTCCCCGTGCATGGGTGGAAGAGAGATCATCAGGGGATGGGAGAGAAACGTTAATTAAATGTCCAATCTCGTTTATTCTTGTAAGGAAGTTCGTCCTATTTAGGACCACCTCCCGGATGCGAATAAGCATATCAATTGACTTTTTGAAAACACTTATTTCCAATACGCTTTTCAAATGTTGAACAGCTGTACAGCTTTTTAAAATATATTTTTAATATGGTTATTAAAATCTAACATGTAATTAATATAAAGACAAAAAAATAAAAAAATAAATCAGCACAAGAGTATATGTCTAGAAATAGAAACACTTTGGACCGTCTTATAACTAACTGTCCTAGTAAAATGATGAGACTTGATGTCATTCCAGGAATTTCAGACCATGATATTGTTTATGCAGAAATGAACACCAATCCAATGACAAACAAACAAAAGCCAAGAAAAATCCAACTGTATAGAAGAGCTAAATGGGACAGCATAAAAGAGGATATGAATTTGCTTTATATCAAAATTCAAAAAGAAAGCATGAACAAGAAGACAAACATCAATATACTCTGGAACAAGTTCAAAGAAGACCTAGAAAGCAGTACTAACCAGCATATACCTTCCAAAGTATGCAAGACTAAGGACAAAAACCCATGGATAACCCAGGAAATCAAAAAACTTATGAGGCGAAGAGACCGAGCCTATAAAAAGAAAAAGAAATCAAACCATGCTGCTGATGTTAAAAGATTTAAACAACTGAAACAAACCATCCAAAAAAAATCAAGACAAGCCTATTGGAAGTATAAAGAAGACATAATAACTCCAGAAGATAACGAGGACATCCGTTCACCAACAAAAAGATTCTGGACCTATATCAAACACAAAAAAAGTGATAAAAATGAAGTAGCACCACTTAGAAGAAATGGGAAATTAGAAACTGACCCAATAAATAAAGCAAATATTCTAAATGATCAATTTCAGTCAGTATTCTCTGCTGCATGTCCAATCAGTAAACGAGATTTTGAAAAGAAAAAAAACTCATGTCAGATCTACCAGAAAATTATCCAGACAGCGAACAAATAATCATCACAAATAATGGAGTGGAAAAACAACTGAAAAATCTAAAACCACACAAGGCTGCTGGACCAGACAACATCAAGCCAATGATTCTGAAAGAACTAGCCAGTGAAATTGTTCCAATCTTAACCATTATATACAATTTTTCAATGGAGAAAGGAAAGATACCCGATGACTGGCGAACTGCAAATGTCACTCCAGCATATAAGAAAGGCTAGAAATACATAGCAGCTAACTATAGGCCAATATCCCTAACATGTATTTGCTGCAAAATAATAGAACACATAGTCACCAGTAACGTCATGAAACATGCAGAGGTAAATAAAATACTATACCCACTACAATACGGCTTCATAAGTAAAAGATCATGCGAAACACAACTCCTTGAATGTATCGATGACATCACAAAAAACCTGGAAAACGGAAAACAATCAGATCTGCTAATACTTGACTTTTCAAAAAAGCTTTTGATAAGGTTTCCCACAGCTTACTCCTCCATAAATTACACCATTATGGCATCCGAAGTAAAACAAATAAATGGATAAAGGAATTTCTCACCAGCAGAACCCAGGTAGTATAGTTGTTAAAGGCGAAACATCTGACAAAGTAAAAGTAGAATCCGGAGTACCGCAAGACCAGTATTAGGACCCAGTCTTTTTCTGTTTTACATCAACGACCTACCAGAAGGCCTACACTCCACAGTGAGACTGTTTGCGGACGATACTGTGGTCTATTTGACAATTACATCAGACAGCGACTGCCATACACTCCAAGAAGACCTGGACAAACTGGCAAAATAAGAAGAACTCTGGAAAATGGAGTTCCATCCTGAAAAATGCAGTGTCCTCACAGTCACAAAAAAGAAAAAGCCAATCAAGTGGGACTATAAACTCCACGGCCATACTCTGGTGCATGAAACATCAACTAAATACCTAGGCTGCACCATTGCAAATATTCTAGATTGGGGAGAACATATAAACAACATCACAGGAAAAGCCAGCCGAAGCCTTGGTTTCCTACATCGAAACCTCCACATTAGCTCAAAATCCATCAAAGAGCATGCCTATAAAATATTAGTAAGACCGCAAATGGAATACGCCACGACAGTATGGGACCCGTACCAGCAAAACCACAGAGAAAATTGAAAAGGTACAAAGACGAGCTGCACGATATGTAACCAGCAGACATAGAAATAGATCAAGTGTCAGCAACATGATAACTGAATTAGGATGGAAAAGCTTACAAACAAGACGAAAATAAGCTCGACTCATCATGTGTTACAAAATAACAAACGACCTTGTAGCCATAGACAAGTATAAATATCTACAAAAACCAACAAGAAGCTCAAACCGGACAGGACAACATACTCACCTATTACAGCCAGCCACCAAAGACTGTAGGAAATGGCCCTTCTTCATTAACACCATCGAGGATTGGAACAAACTGCCACCAGATGCCGTCACAGCAAAGTCTCTTGAAATATTCAAGTCTCAAGTGACCAAAACTACAAACTAAATCAACAGAACAATTTGTTTTTATCCTGTTTATAACCTGTTTTTAATCATGCGCAACTTGCCAGAATATTCATCATGTTGAATGTGGGCAGTATTTGGATGATGAAGAAGAAGAAGATGTCTATGACACAATCAATAGTAAAAACAAGGGGTTGTTCAGCAGACCTTTTTGCAACAGTAAATATACCTTATACTTTTCAGGATTCACATACATACTGTTTAAATGAAACTAATCAATTAAAAACTAACACTCTGTTTGAATAGAGACATATATACACATGTGTATATATGTCTCTGGTTTGAGTACTTTTGATAGAGTGTTGTCACCTGTCTAATTATAAGGACATCCCATTTCAATGAAGAAGTACAATATATTGTGTATAAAACATTTTAAAAGTAAAGCTCCCTAAATGAGGCCTTGTGGGGCACCTTTTTGGATACCTTCCAAGCTAATATTGATACGCATATTTTTATGCAGGAACGAAAAAAAAATGCCCATCAAAATCCCAAAAAAATTTATCTTTCTGAAACTCCAAAATGCATTTAACTTTTATATATCTAGTGGATGCCAGGCCTTAAAACTTTACAGACTGGACAGGTTAGTATGTACTCAGAGTAGTTTTTTAGTTGTAAATACAGCCATTTTTCTCCATTTGTTATGATGAACCTTAAATCAAAACATTTTCAAAAGGTTGGTGAACATATTTAGAAATGTACATGCTATTGCTAAGAATAGACGCCCATTCACAGATTTTCTTTAGATGTGTGAACTTGACGAGATGAAAGGTGTAGATAATGGACAGACATACCGGAATGACAAGAAACTTTTGTAATTTTTGTTAATTTCATTGCAAAAGTGGAACGTCAAAAAAATGTACATTATATAAATGAAAGTAAATTTATTTCAATTATTTGTGATGGTTCTACTGATAGTGGAATTCTTGAGGAAGAAATTATTTATGTTCGGACTTGTAACAAAGGCATAATCAAAAGTTCTTTTCTAGCAGTTGGTAACCCAAGTCGATTTTTGCAGGACCAGTAGATTTGGAGCCGGACCAGTAGATTTTTCAGTCCACTGGTCCGGCTGGTCAGTACACAACAAAGCTTAAATTCGACCCCTGATCACAAAGTATATAATCGAAAGCATGGTGACATTCAATGATCAGATAGACCGAGGAAGACATTTCATCAATCTAATTAAAATTAAATCTCCGCACTTGCTCCTCGTTGTTTATATGTCGCGCGACATATAAACAACGAGGAGCAAGTGCGGAGATTTAATTTTAATTAGATTGACATTTCATATTATTATGGGTGAAACAATTGAAGGTGGGTCCATATAAGAATAGCAGCCAAATATTCAATGGAGTGTGAAGCAATCTTCAAATCTTCAATAAAGTAGTTTGGCATCCACGATCCTTTCTATTTTCAGGAAAGGATTACTCATTTTTATGCTTCCTTAAACCTACCTGGAAAATATATCATTCAATATGCATGTTGATCAGTTTTGTAATTGGTGGTACTAGTGATGGTTTACCATATTTTATCAATTTTAGATATCTTGTCAATAACAATTGATTTTTTTAAATAAAATTTATCAATATTTTTTCATACCATACATTTTCTTCGCTTAATTTGTGGGTTTATTAAAACTAAAGAAAGTTTCTCGATTACTCGCATAAAAATTATAATTTTTAGCCAATATCGTTGGCAACGTTTATAAAACATGTATTAAACACTTGTGCAACTTCCTCATTCTTTGAAAACAATGTTATTATTCTCCTGTAACATCATTTTTGATCGGGAAGTTGATGACTTTGAAAAAAAAACATTGTAGTTTAAAAAAAACCACAACTTTTTGCCACCACCAGTGCATAGATATCTCCTTAAAATTATTATTCTCTGATTAACCTTTCAATGTATTTACCAAAGTTCTCCTGATTCTTTATTGCACCCATAATTTGTTATTTTTATTCTTCAGATATTTTGAATAGTATTTCCATATCTGGTGTCGGGTTGGGTTGCTTTTTGTATATAGTTTTCAATGGCATTTAGGTTTATCAAAGGTCTTAATTACACCTGTTTCAAATTACTAAAATCATATACCCAATTGATATAACCATTACATCTAAGCATATTCATATGAATTAAAGATTTTGATTCAGAGCTGCAATATTATTCTTTAAAACCTCAATTATAGTATTTAATTATTCGCATTCCATGCACCGGAATTGTATCATTGATAACAGTGCTTTTCATATACCTTTTCCCTAATTTTCAATGGAAACAAATCATTTTTTCCCTTCCTTCTAAACAGATTTCAAGAAATTTGGAATAAAACAATTTCTTAATCCCCCACCCCCCCCCCCCCCCCCCCAAAAAAAGACGAATGGTTGGTGCTTTGATTTTATATTTAACAGGTATGCAAAATGAAAGAATTCTACCAAAAGCGGCATCGATGTCCTTAAAATGAATAAAATCAACTTGTTGGTGTAAGTAAATGAGACGTACTCAAAGACAAGAAAAAAACAAAAGACAACCTGTAACATAAAGTCCATTAGATTAAATGGACAATTTCTAGCTTCGTAATAATAACAGTATTCTATAATTCCCATATTCTTTCTCCATACAAATATCTATATTTGCTACTTAAAAAAATTATGAATTTAACCGTTCTTTTAGTTTGAGACGTCAAGTGTATATAAGCAGTGCTTTTAACGAATACAAATTTGAATATCTTTGAATGAAACAAAATTCAAAGGTCTTGGAAATAGCTTTTCTTGAAGTTGGCTATATTTTTGTGAGGGTTTTTTTTTTAATAACGTCTTTTAGAATTACGCGCAAAGTGCAAACAAATGTGAAAAAAATTATACGAAGTAATTAAACCCCGACAGTAATCAGAAGCATTAAAATCTATATTGTTCCTGATTGAGAGACATATTCTCTGTTTTCACATGCATTATCTGCAGCTTTACCAAATTCTCGCAGAATGATCGATTACCACACATCTATAGTACGCCTCTATTGATCTGTTCACGATTCCAATAATTTATTCATAACAGCCGCCATTTGAAATAGTAAATGGAATTTTGTATTGATTATGCTAACCATGTGTATTTGTAACAGTAAATAATGTCGCGTTATATGAAAGCAGAGAAGAAACAATTTTCCAAAAATGTTCATGACTTTATTATTCGCCCATTGTTGAGGCAGCGACAGACAGGAGAGCTATGCGACATTACATTGATAATCAACGGGAAGAAATTCAGTGCTCATCGTTCAATTCTTGGATTATGGAGTCCATATTTTCTTTCAATGTTTACATGCGAGATGAGAGAAAAGTCTCTAGAGGAAATTGATCTGACGGAATCTCTTGTATTAGACGATGACGAAGTGTTTGGTTTGGTTTTAGATTACATGTATACTGGTTCGTTAACAATCTGCATAGAGAATGTAGAAGCGGTATTAAGAATTTCAGACTTTCTTCTTCTGGATGATGTGAAGGAATACTGCAGACAATTCTACATCGACTTAGGTAATTTGGACTTGTCCAATTGTCTCCGTGTCAGGTTCTTAACTGAAACACATAATTTACTTGATGTTTGTAATGCCTGTCAGAAGATGATTGAGTCACGCTTTCATGACTATCTAATTTTTCACCATGATATCATAGAATTACCGCCACAGTATTTTTTTCAGCTACTGGAGGATCCAAGAAACGTGATCCATTCCAATTATTCTGACCTCAAGAAACTTATACAAAAATGGGTCGACTTCGATCGAGCTTCGCGAATAGATTTTCATGAAGACTTGAGCGCTTGCATCAAACTTTGGGTATGTGATTCGACAGACACACCGAGTACTATGCTGTCCTTCGGTTGCATGGATTTCTATAAAAGTGAAATATCTATGCAATCTTCACTTACGGACGTCAATCGCAAGGCCAAAGGGTATGTTCTTCTATCTCAGGTGCGAGACAATGTCATGCACGGTTCGTTTGGAATGCAGGAAGATCCAAAACCAGTATTATATAGTGTAGTCTGTAATCAAGGTATGAAATATATTAAGATGCTTGTTTACAGTATTTTTGACAGAAAATGGTACAGTTTCCCTATACCGGGAGAGAAATTATCACATTTAATTCCAACAAGACAGACCGTGTGTAGTCTTGTATCTTACAGAAGTTGCTTATATATGTATTTATGTTCTAGTTTTCCGTACCCCACTGATATGTTGAAGATAAACATACTGATGATCGACATGCTGAAAGGAGCTCCCGTCCTCTATTCTTTTCGTACTACCGATTTCTACAACCCTAGCTACCGGACTACATTAACGAACTACAGATCCGTCCCTCCAGCTATTGTGGCATGTAATCACCACATATACATTGTTGGCAACAGAGAAGGAACAGGAAATATATTCATGTGTAATACAACTAATCAGCAGTATAAATGTTTTCAGATTCCTGGTGCTCGTTTTATAAGTCTAGCCAGAGCTGTTGTTAAGAATGATCGATTCATATTTCTTTGGTTTAGACATAGAACTGGTCCATCGGAAGAATTCTGTATCAAGAAATCTATTGGCTTCGTTATGTTTGATTCTAAAAATAGAATTTTTAATTCCTGGGAAATATCTCCTCCGGAAATTTCTTATGATGATTTTTCATCTCCATTCACTTTGTGTGTAAGAGACGAGACAGTTTTAATTTACCACCCTGGTAAACCGGCACTTGTTCTTGACGAAGTAAGATACAAATGGATTACATCGTTAAGAAAAGTTCCATCTTTAGAGTTAACCAAATATGCAGACGCATATGGCTTCCATCTACACGTGGCAACAAACAATGGGATATTTGTTTTAGAAAACGATGCACCATTTACAACCTCAATGTACGAAATAAATGAAACGTTTCCTCACCCGATCGTTCACGTTCCTCCACCAATAGATAACTTATCGTTAGTTGCGGCTGGATGTTTATCAAGTCAAGATTTAAACGGACTTGAATTATTCGATAAATACGACGAATGCTATGCAAACGCTCTTCATGTAACAATGAAACTGTCCGAACCAGAAACCGAAGATAGTGGAACCTCTCCTTCGGATCGTGACTCGGAGAACGATTTTGAGTATGATGAGGATATATATGATTATGACTACGATCTTACGGGTGAATACGGGTTCTGAACTTAATTTACACTAATGTTTCATGTATAGTATATTACCAATATTTAATCTAAATCGTTACATTTGAAAATTATATATATACTTCTACTATACGTTTTATTGTTTTTTTTAAAGAAACATCCAATTTGATTCTCTTTTACAAATTCTGAAAAATCACATTATTTCCTAAACGTAATTCGTACTCTTGAGAAAACAGAGATACTAAAACATCTGTCATCAATACCAAATTCCCTAATAGACAAACACATAATCATTAAGATTTTAAATTAAAACAACCACTGACAGGATTCCTGAATCATTACAAGCATGTGTACATTTAACGGAGTATAACCAGTTTTTCATCTTTATATCTTCGCCTTCGGTCCTCTGGCTGATATTGGTTACTCGGGCTGATACAGCATGTGATGCGGATTTTACTATGTATTATTCTCTATATAATACTAATTTGTTCATTTATCGTTTTTCTGCTTTAGATTAATTTATTTTCCTGATCCAAATATTATAATCTTTTTAATTGGCGGTATAACCATATGAAAAAGGACATGTATGAAGTAAGCACTATTCTGTGTGTAAAGATTTTCGGATTTTTTAAAACTTGAATACGATGAACCCGTCTCTGTTTTAGTTCATCTGAACCAAAGGACCATGTGAGCTTTTGTCATCACTTTGCGTCCGTTGTCCGCCATTCTGTTATCCGTCGTTCGTGGTCGTTCTTTAACCACCCAATAAAAAGTGACCCCTTCTCAAACCGCTCAATGGAATGGAATCAAAGTTTGTCTACTTCATCTATAAGATGGCTATACAGAAGTTTGTGTCCAGGTTGATTAACCAACATTGCGACCGTGGCTAAAATTAGAACATAGGGGTCAAACTGTCGTGTGTGGCTTATGTCTACAAAAAAAAACTATAATAATAAGAGTAAAACTAAGGGAGTAAAAATGGTTCGTACAACAAACTTTATCTACCTTGAACATTTTTTAAAAATCTGTGTAACTGTTTGGAGTTTTTGCCCCTGAAATGTTGATTTTAACCTTTTTAGGCGTTTTTGACTATTGTTTAGAAACCTTTAGGAGCTAGGTTAAAAGTTTAGTTTGCAAAAATGAACAACATGGCAAGTTTTATCTAGCCAAAAAATATCAGAAAAATCTGGAACCTTTGTGGAGTTATTGTCCCTGAAATGTAAGTTTTTACCAATTTTCATAGTTTTTACTGTAAAAACTGTAGAAGCTAGGATAAAAAGTTTAAATTTCAAAAATAGTCAGCACGAGAAGAGTTGTATACTCTGAAAAATGAAGAGAAATCTGTCAACGCGTTTTGGAGTAATATTCCTATTTTCCAGGATTTGCAATTTTTGCTTTCATTTTGAAAACTTATAGATATATTTATGTACCGAAGCTAATGGAAAAACACTACACGAGCCAGACAAACCAAAAGCAATGGGAAAATGATTTTATTGTTGCTCTTCATCTCAAAGTCACAATGAGATGGTCAAAACAGAGTAAAAGCTCTCACTTCACTGCATGTTCAAGAAATGGTTTGCACATATAATTTTTTCTCTCTATGTCTACCACGATACAACTGTGTATTGAAGGTCACAACTTCATAGTAATACCAAAAACATTATAAACTATATCGATCTAAGAAATCTAATAAATATACTGCAATAAATCAAATGCCCGACATCACTGCAAAATACAGAATACAAATATAAAAATGAGAAGATGTGGTATGATTGCCAATGAGACAACTCTCCACAAGAGACCAAATGACACAGAAACATGCACATTTAGACAACCACGTGTACATTTTCAAAATGTAGATATGTAAGATAACTTCTATGAAAAGGGCAAATAATTCCAGTGGATTTCATAACATTATCGAAAAGCAAACTGACCGAAATAGAGAAAATGAAGTAGTACACAGTAAGAGAAGTAATCTCTCTATAGAACTGTAAAAACATAAGAGAATACATCTCAAGCATGCACGAGGAAATTTTGTACGGCACCCACACAGCACAAGAAAAAAAACTTAATGTAATGGAAATGAAAGGACATGGTATATTGATTCATGCTATAAAATCCCTAAACGCACTAGATCAAGGCAAAGGAACATTGCTGTTATTGCTGAGTTTTATCGCAAAGTCAAAACGAACACGGACCAAAGGCTCGAACAAAAATCGAAGCTGCTCTTTTTGACAATATTTTTTGAAACATGTACACCAACTATTACATTTGCTATCGAGTACATCATCTATTACATTTGCTATCGAGTACATCATCTATTACATTTGCTAACAAAAAGCTTGGAATTTTTTTTTACAAATGTGTCAAAATTTAAACGACTTTAACTAGAACTGAATATCTGTATAAAAATTAAGCATTTGACTAGTAAATTGAAGGCGTCATGTTGGCGGTAATATGTCATACATAAGTTCGATTTTTATGACGTGGTTAATAAAAAAACGTCACTGAACGTAAAGAAAGGTAAGAGGACTATATTTACGGTTTCTATAGCCCCGTAAACATTTTTTTTTTGGGGGGGGGGGGGGAGGGGTATATATAAAAAAAAATCTGTCTGTCCGGTCCTACTCCTATCTTTATCGTTTATTTGATTCAGTTCAGACTTTGTAAAATGATAGATCATGATATACAAACATCACCATGTGCATGATTTTTATGCTGTATAGTTTATCGAAAATTCGCCCCTTTCACCGTGCTTTCACCATAGACATTTTTGCCCTGTCCAGCACCGATCTTGTTATCTCAACTCCTCCTAAATGTTTGATTGTATCTTCACGCATTTTGCTAAATTATAATATCCTAAGATACAGATGTGCATGTGGGTATAGGATGCTCCAGTCCATTGACTTTTTCTCAAAGACATGCCTTTTGGGATTAGAAATGTATGGCCCTGTCAAGCACTTACCTATTCATAGTAACTTCTTCTACATGGATTATAATATATACATGGAATGGAAGTTGATGCATTGTTAGATCATGATATTAAAGAGTTTTAATTTTTTTCTAGAGAAACGCCTCGTTGAACGTAGAAGATATTGGTCAGCCCTACCGGGATAACTGCAGTTATATAATGTCGATCTAATGGTCTACTAACCAATAAAATGTTTGACTCTTTTCATACTGGAACAATTATTTGCTGGATATAAATTTGATTTTTTATTTTTTACCAAAAAAATGTAAAAGTCTCGATCTGTTGTTGGTTTGATATAGTAATCCAGTGAAATGGAGCTGAAATGGGGGACCTACATAAAAAAAAAAGATTTAAGAGGAGCGGTTCTGAGATTCTGAGGTGTGAGAGGGATGGTATCTAAGCATGTAGAAATACTATTTTCATTTAGGGTTAATATCCAGAAAGGTACTTGAAAGATGACAAAAACTGATACCCAGAGTGATGAAAAAATAAGATTTTTACAGTCTGTGTCTACAAATAAGGAAGTTCTCCCTTTACCAGAGAAAATGCTTCCTACCAATATTATTCAACACGAATCCTTACCAAAAGCAACAGAGAGAAAAGGTATATAGAAGTTTTAAACAACAGAAAATCAAGAATGCCTTTATTGACATATTTTTAAGGATTTTTTGTAGCATACATGTACATGTTATATGGTTGCAGACACAAATACGAAGAACATTATCAATAAGATACGGCAAAATATCTTTTACGACAATATAGGATCTTATGGAAGGCACATACGGACGAACACGATTTAGAATGGGGTTCGTGTGAGAATTTAATATCTTCAGTTTTACGTTCATGTCTTTATTAGTGTCAACCTTATTCAGTCTTAAATGTCGATGCACATATTGCATGTCATTTGTTGGTCGTTGAGGGTTGATGGTCATTTGACGACCTCTAGATGCACATGTTTGGAAAGATATTGATTGGCTGTTATTCCATCGACGCTTACCTTCAAATTTTATATTTTCATATTCATTTTGAACTAAACTAAATATGCTGCCATAGCTGTGTCGAAGCTTTTTATATGAGTGAAAAATCTTGTCAAAATCGACAAAACAGCGGGGAAACTGTTGGGTGCATTGACTTAAAGATTATACAGATTTACTAACATGATTGTAGGAAAAGAAAGAAAAGTGAATATAACATGTTGTTTTCTTGTTTCTATAAGTCTGAAGGAGTGACAAAATCGATGAGATATTTAATAAAACGAAAAGGAATGGAGGGGATAATAATAAATTGTCAACTTCGTATTCTAGGTAGACCTCAGGGGTACACAAATAAAAAGATATACAACTTTTGATTGTAATATTATATAAAAAGCCAACAAGTTAAATAAATGTTCCTTCAAATCTTTCTCTTTTGGGGGATTTTTATACTTCTTGATAGTGTATAATTATACTCTTGTTATTATAATACTGTGTCGGATATTTTAGGGGGATACATATTTGCTTTCAAATAGGACAAACATGCTTTGCTATTTTTTTCTGTACGATTTTGCTTTCGAAGATACAAAGATTTAGTTTGAGAGTTTGGCAGTACCTAGTACCTGTAGAAACCTTATTACAAACGGGGTATCACATCCTAATTTTTACGGTTATGTTACTTTTGGAGCCCATATTATCAGATATGATCCATGCAAACTTATCGATCCTTTGAATAAACCTTTTCTAAAGGTTATCAATCCAACATTGCAGTTAAATCTTTGAATATTGGCTTCATACATACTAAGATTGATTTTTTTTTTTCAATTAATTAAAACATAACTTAATTTGTATTTATATACAATTATGAACACTTATGGTCCTACACGCTGTCGACACAATGTACTTATATTTTCAGGAGTCTGTAAATCAGTGGTTGTTGTTTGTTACTGTTTATCGTTTTAGCAAAAACCAGGCCGTTGGTTTTCTCGTTTGAATTGTTTCACATTGTGTTATGTTGGGGCCTGCTATATCTTACTAAACCGTATGGGTTTGCTTACTGTAGACCTATAAATGCTTACAACCATAGCCTTTTGGAAATTTGTGGATATTTGTATCATTGTCAATCATACCACATCTCCTTATTTTATATTAATGGGGTTTTTATAAGAAAATTTTTGGTTTGTGGCGATTTATGATTTTTGAATTCATTTATGTACTATTTGACTAAAATCGAATGTTTTGTTTTTACCGTTGATTAAGGTAAACGGCCAGCACCAAATCCTAGCGTTTATGACTTTCCCAAGGAATACTGGCCATCGTCAGACACAGAATTAGTACCTGCAGACATGAGTGCAAATCAGGTAGTCATTGTTGAACATATGCGTATATACTAATTAATAAAAAAAATATTATTTTCATAATAATTGCACATCTGTAGATTTTAAACTAGTCATCACGTGTCATATAGACCATCGCACGTCAGCGTGACCAGCGCACTGCACATTCGAGTCCTATAAGTAGATATATATATATTTATCGGTAGTGTAATAAAGACTGCACTTAGTTTCACCACTTTAGGTACGGATGGCACAAAGTGACAGCTTGAATGACACCGAGACGTTTCTGGTCTTTCAACGCCAATATTGGCTTACAGTTATGCTTGTCATAGACATACACTTCAAACTACTTTGATGACAATTTACCTATTTAAAAATAAATATTCTTCAAAGTAATGCAAGACCCAATTCCAATAACTCAGGTTTAAAAATCTTTTGTAATTTGTGAACCCAATTTTATATTAGTGGTAAAAATCATGTCATGAGTTCTTCATATAAAGCTTGTTATAAGCTAAATAAGATCATGCTCAATGGTGGTCGTTAAATACCAGTTTAGTTATAAAAGTAATTTAAAGACATATTCAAAATATTGTTATTTCATTTCATACTTTTATTATACATAAATGACTGATAGTAATTATAGATATATATAGTTTAACGATGATAAGAAAACCAAAGGGACAATCAAATTTCACAAAACGAAGGACAAACATTAGCTTGGCCAAAAGAAAAAAAAAACGAAATGTCCTCCAACGCCACAACACTGCAACTACATAATGCAAATTTATTAATCAAGAAAGAAACTAAAAGTACATTAATTTTGACATCAAATTCAATAAACGTGTCTAGCAAAAATATTGTTATTAAAAAATCATTAAAAAAATGATTCAAGTAAGATGTTTGTTGCGAAAAGATTCGAGCACTGAAAACAAAGGTAATTTTATTTCAAAAAGTTTTTTTTATCTACTACTGAACAAAAATAGATGGATCTATATTTAGCTTTAAGAATAGACAGACAAACAAGTACTATTTAAAAAAAAGATATCTGACGCATTCAATGAATCTTTATCATAGTTAATTTTTTTTTACACAATTTGACTATATGTCAGGCACAACTTTAACAATTAAAGATACAACCTATTTCGGAGTGTATATCGGGGACGGACGGACGCTAAAGGGAGATGATCTATATAATACAGCTTTTGACAAAAAATTAAATTTGCGATATATGTATTTTGACATTCTGTATTTCAAGTATAAAATTTTGACTCTTTGAGATTATTATTACGCCTTGTAAATTTTAGACTGCGCTTGTAAGGACGCAACATCGATAAGATATATTTATAGCACTCGAGCGGTTAAGAGCCTAATTGACCTGGTAGATCTAATGAAACTGTCGGTGATATTTACCTACTCATGTATTAAAGGCTAAGCCTACACAATCCAAACAATTTGACAGTGGTGATAATGACACCTTCTTTACCTGAATTTATTTTTATTTATCTGGATAATTTCATTTTTTAAGTTTGATTTTATGTCCATAATGTTTTCATTTTACTGTAGCATATATCTTTTTTTGTTGGTTTTTGTTCAAATCCGTAATTTCGCCCGATCAGAGTAAAGATTTGTGACATCATGCATGCCGTTACCATAGTTAAGGGTCCTTTTTAAATAGGCCACACACCGAAATTATTACTGACTGCGTCAGTAAAAAGATGAAATAGTTTATTGATGTAACTACGACAAATGACTAAATCGATTTTAATGTTAATCTTCAGCTATTGATGGAGTGTAGCAGAGAAAAAAGAAGGAAAAAAGAAAACCATTCTAATAGCGCTGTAGAACCTCATTTGTAAGTATGTCCTCAGTATGTTCTTGTACTTAGCATTATTTACTGATTGAAATATACCAACAATTCTCAAAAAAGAATTTGCCAGTAAAGATTTTTTTTAATGGTTACGTTTAGCTGGGAATAGTTCTTTAAATGTCCCAACGTTAAGTAATGTAATATCTAGGGCACTTTCAGATCACACAAGCTCGAGAAAAACTTGACTTGTGAACCATTTGCAGGAATGGAACACGCACAATTTCGGCTGCTTCTGGATATAAGGAAAAGCTGAGGTGATTACAATCGACTGTTTTCCCCATAATTACAAAAGGGGAATCTTTATCGCACAGGGAGCTGAATCTTTAAACGCCGTATTATAACCAGATAAATCCAAACCCTGTTTGCACTGAATTTGGATTGTAATAAAATATTTGACACAGCATAGGTTTCTGACACAGAATGAATGTGGTCTAAGAACTTAAAATTTTTTAATTTATCTATTCAAACCATATCATTATTATTTGCTTTTATATATAAATCAGAAATAACCAATTTAAAAAGGAAAATTTTAAAGAAAAAAAAGGAAAAAAAAATCCCCCCACCCAAATTTTTTGAACCCCCTTATGATTCATCACCCCCAAACTCAATCTTAGCCTTTCCTTTGTGGTATGGTACCTTGCAGTACAATTTCAGAGAGATCCATACACTTGAACACAAGTTATTGTCTGGAAACTAGAAAAATGCTTGTTTTTTTGCCCCTTTTTGGCCCCAAATTCCTAAACGTTTAGGGCAATTACCCCCAAACTCAAACCCAGCTTTTCCTTTGTGATATGGAACCTTGTAGTACAATTTCATAAAGATCCATACACTTACACACAAGTTCTTGTCCTGAAACTAGAAAAATGCTTGGTTTTTTTTGCCCCTTTATAGCCCCTAATTCCTAAAATTTAGAGGCAATTACCCCCAAAATCAATCCCAGCATTCCCTTTGTGATATGGAACCTTGTGGTACAATGTCAGAGAGATCCATACACTTACAAACAAGTTATTGTCATGAAACTAGAAAATTTTTTGTTTTTTGCCCCTTTTTTGCCCCTAATTCCTAAAATTTGGAGGCAATTACCCCCCAAAATCAATCCCAGCATTCCCTTTGTGATATGGAACCTTGTGGTACAATGTCAGAGAGATCCATACACTAACACACAAGTTATGTCTGGAAGTTACAAAAATGCTTATTTTTGGCCCCTAATTCCTTAACTGTTGGTACCATAACCCCCAAAATCAATCCCCACCTTCCTTTTGTGGTAGTGAACCTTATGGTAAAATTTCATAGAGATCCATTCACTTAAACTAAAGTTAGAGTGCGAAAACCAATGTGTCTTCGGACGACGACGACGACGACGACGACGCCAACGTCATACCAATATACGGACTGCAAAATTTTTTTTGCGGTCGTATAAAAAGCAGTGGTAATTAAGGATTTGTCGAATTATATATATATATATATATACATATTTCAAAAACTGAGTAAAACCAGAGACAGTATGTATACTAAAGAAATTTATCCTGTTGAACCTACTTTAAATAAAGCTAATACTAACAATGACCACTGTTCTTTCCTCGATCTTGATATCTATATCATTAACGGGAAGCTTAATACAAAAATTTATGATAAAAGAGATGATTTTTTTATTTCCTATCGTTAATTATCCATTTTTAGATGGTGATGTTCCCTTGTCACCATCTTATGGTGTTTATATATCTCAACTTGTACGATTCGCTCGGGTATGTAACAACGTATTAGATTTTAGCGAGAGAAATTTATGTATTACTGAAAAATTATTACACCAGGGTTTTCGATATCATAAACTAGTCAAAACATTTACTAAATTTTATCATCGGTATAAGGACATCATTCGTAAATATAACTCAACATGCAGATATCTTATACGTTCGGGTATTTCACATCCAATCTTTTATGGTAATATTCTTTACAAAGCACAAAAATGTCAGTATTCACCTCAAAAGCTAACAAAACCTTTAAACAGACTTATTAAGAAGGGATATAGTCACGATACTGTTGTCAGGTCATTAAAGATTGTATATTTTGGCTTTAATATTAATTCACTTATAGGGTCTTTGCATCGGAATTAAACACATTTATTCTAAAACCAGTTGTTGGCATGACACGGGTTATGTTCTTCTCATATATTTTATGACGGTATAATACTAAACCTCTAACAGTAGGGATTGTGCCTGATATTCATATGATGAAGACATAATATTTTAATCAGTTTAATTGAGGTCTGGAGCTGGCATGTCAGTAACTGCTAGTAGTCTGTTGTTATTTATGTATTATTGTCATTTTGTTTATTTTCTTTTGTTTCCTATTCTGACATCGGACTCGGACTTCTCATATACTGAGTGTTACTGTACGTACTGTTGTGCGTTTGTTTTATCTACATTGGCTAGAGGTATAGGGGGAGGATTGAGATCTCAAAAAACATGTTTAACCCCGCCGCATTTTTGCGCCTGTCCCAAGTCAGGAGCCTCTGGCCTTTGTTAGTCTTGTATCATTTTTAATTTTAGTTTCCTGTGTATAATTTGGAGTTTAGTATGACGTCCATTATCACTGAACTAGTATACATATTTGTTTAGGGGCCAGCTGAAGGACACCTTCGGGTGCGGGAGTTTCTCGCTGCATTGAAGACCCATTGGTGACTTTCGGCTGTTGTCTGCTCTATGGTCGGGTTGTTGTCTCTTTGACACATTCCCCATTTCCATTCTCAATTTTACATATATACATGTGTATATATGTCTCTGGTTAAACACATGCATAGGTTGCAACCATCGACTAGTGTTGATTAACATCTATTCTGCAAAATGGAATCCGAAATTGCTTCTTTTCTCGTTATTATTCATAATTTGATAAATATTGAAGAACGAAAAAACACTGAATTTATAACTTCTACAGATCGTCTTTGGACTTAGTAAATGCCCTGAGAAGAACTGAACGTTTGCCGATTGTCTTCCTAAAACAGAATCTTTCCATTGTAAAACAAGCACTTAGTTATCCTGATAGTACAATATTTGAACAGAAAATCACAGAGAAGAGAAAGACTTTTGTCGAGGTATTTAACTGATGATGTACGAGTACAGGTTTCAAACTGATTGATGGTTCGATGTAAATACTTAAGTCGATGCCACAGCATAAATATGTAAATCATTAATCAAACAGTTTTCTTTTTCATGCACAAATTGGTTTTTATCCCCCGAATCATCATAGTATAAAGTAAAGGATTAGGTCCACAAAAAATCTATTTTGATCATTTATTTCGATTGAAACTGCTACTTTTCTCCCCGACTTGTTCCTTTGTTCGTGTTAGCCAGACACCAAACAGACTTCCCACGAAGAGTGGAAAAATAGCAATACTATCCTTTAACTTCACGTACCGCTATAAAGATCTATGATAACCTGTCTATACCTTAGAACTTGACATAAAAAGCACCTCGAATACAGGATCATACAATTTTTAACCAATGCTATTATCATACAGTTAGGTCTGCTTCATATTTTGACTGTTTAAATATGTTTATCTTTATTTTAGACTTTGAAAGATGTTTTTGCTGAACGAAATATTGGAGACTCCCCCGATATAGACTGTCCCGAGCAGCTGACTAGGGAGATAGGTAGACGATTGAGACTTTGTTTAATGGGCACAAGAACATTCAAATCCATACCATATACAATCGATCTAACAAATGTTAAGATCAAGTCTGACGTTACTGAAACAAGAACTACAAACATATACCAACAATCAAGTTCAGAAGTGGGTGTATAATTACTACCATTTGTTGTCAAATTGACTGATCTTTATGCTGGCTAAACTTCAATAAAATATTTGGCGATTTTTTATTGTCGATTTCTTGTTTATGATAGTTTTATTTTGTATTTGCCGTTTCTGCCATTCTGCTGGAAAATAGAAAAAAAAATCCGTATAATACTGAGTACCGATAACACTAGGAGGAGCTCTGAAAAAAATTATTTGTAAAGAGTGCTTCTTGCATTATTCTTTCAACATATAAAAATATTTCGAACGAGGAAATATATTTAATAAAATATGTTAATCAAATTAGCATCAGCAATGTTGCAATTAATCTGAACGAAACAAACGTTCTTTGTAAACAAAAATTCGTATTGAAACCGTTAATAAAAGGAGACATGGCATAAACGCCAATGGAAGAAAGCAAACCAACAACACGCCACACGCACATACACATACCAATTGGCAAAAAAGGGAAACCCATCTTGAACAATAGACGTGTATATAGCTGTCTTTCATATTTTTATTTTGTTTCTTGTTTCGTCATCAGTTCGACCGCTGTTTTTTTTTTTCTTATTTGAATTGTACGGTATGGGTTTTGCTCTTTGTTGAATGCCTTACGTTGACCAATAGTTGCTTAAATCCACAGTCATTTGGACTCTGTTGGATAGTTGTCTCACTTGGCAATCATACCATATCTCCTTATTTTATAATCAACAGCAATATATGTAGTTATAAATAACGTTTCTTCGGAAAATACCTGTACCAATATGACAACTAATTTCCATTCGTTCATTTTAATTGGTTGATATATAATAGTCGAGCGTTTGATTTTGTCAGGTTTCATGGACTTTTCCCCTTTTTGAATTTGCCTTGGAGTTCTGTATTTATTTATGTTAATACCTTTTTATAGATATATCTAAACTCGATGAGATCTTGCCGAATGTTATTATGTTAGCTCTGGAATATTCAAATGTCCGTAGCTTCAAAAGCCATACGAGTGAAAAACAATGCAGAAGAAATTGACCGCACTCCTTTGTTAAACTACGAATCTCAAAGGTTTGTCGTCAACACCAAATTTGTTTTGAGAACAAATAAAACGAACACTTTTAAAAATACGAATAAAGACATTTACTGACGCTTTTTACGGCCATATTACTAGTAGTATATGAAATAAAATGTAGTATACTATAAAAACCGGAAGTGTAATGCTAACCTTCTTCCTACGAGGGGATCATAGGAATCATACTTCCACAATAAATACCCTTTTTGATGATCTAATTTGCAAAAGTTTTCTAATGACAAAAAATTCAATGAATACAAATGCCATTTGCCATATTCATATCTATGATTTAAACCCATCATGCTGTTGATGGTCCCAACATGTACAGAGAACACAATTTTCTCAAAACGTGATATCCCTCCAGGACGTAATGAATTTTCTAATTCAACCTATAGGGCGAGTTTTATATAAAGTCTCTAATTTCTCTGAAAATCTTAAAAATCAACTATCTTCCAGTGAATGAATCCAAAATCTATATGACAATTCGTTTCAAAATGGTTGCTTTAAGATTAAAGATGGTAAATTGACTACTAGTCTTCCAGATAAAACTTGGGCTATCAAAATTTAAGAATCTCAAATTAAAGAACAAACAAATAGAAAAAGAAAAAGGCATGTTTTTCAGAACATTCATCAAATAGTTCTATAAAAAGTAAGATTAGCCCCAGATTGAATCAAATAGGGTAAACATATTTTCGTATGACCTAAAGAGCAGTGTATTTGGACAGTCTGTATAAATTTTGATATTTATTTGACTTATAACTTTCAATCGAGCACATCCTTTATCCAATGATCTGCTGTCCTGTAACGGCCCTGAAAAAGATAAGCAATTTCAATCATTTCAATTGAAGAAAAAAAAGATGGATTGTAAACAACTAAACCACTTTACTTTATCAGTATATTTTTTAAGATCGATTTAAAAAAAAAGCTTTCAAATTAAGAAGAACAACAAAATGAATTCCAAAACTTACGGTCGTTCGCAAAGGAAATTTGCATGCACATCACAGCGTTGGTCATTCCAGTTATAACTTTCGTGGTGAAGGAGATCCATGCAATCTTCTCCGAGTGCACCACTCGAGTTTGGTTCTCCTGGCCACCAATGACGGTATTCCTGTTGGTTGATGGACACGCCAGTTTTTATCCATTGCCATTCTCCTTCTACTAAGGCATCTGTACCTCCTATCCACACACCATCTGACATACCTTTATATATTCATAATAAACGTAAGTGTACTTTTACATGAATTTTAACAACTTGTGATTTTCACTAATTTGTGGACCTGAATTTCTGCTCTGACCTAGTTAAAAGCAAATGCAAAATAATAGATTTTTTTCGAAATAAAAGAAGTTCGTGAAGTTAATCAATTTTGTTGACAGAGTTATCATAAAAGTAAAATGATCAGAGGAAAAATTAGTTGATTCTTTTCCTTCAAATAATACAGGATCGCATTCTTCACCATATCAAAATTACTATGCAAAAGGTGAATCAGATATTTTTCTTATCACTTCTACAATGAAGGTTAAATTCTCAACCCTGGACCGGAGAAACGTTAGTACGGGAAAATGTTTGAAAATATCATAATTTTATTTTTATCAGGATTAAAACTATAATGATTGATTGATTGATTGGTGGTTGCTATCATATAATTTTCATTATAATTTTGATGTCGAAATTTCTAGATGCTACAAACGTTCATTATATATATAAACACCCTTCAAAGAAGAAGACAGATATTTAGAGAGCTACCTTTCTTGAATTCCCTTCTAAGAAAACCTTCTATAAAGTTTTGTTCTCTTGCTGTTTCAATGACTGCCAAATCAGAACCAAACACTTGACAATACATCTGTGATAAAACAATAGACATATATAAGCATCTTACATATCCGATTTTTTTCTTTTTTTAAGATTTGACCTAATGTTATCATATAAATGGTAATTAAAGCATAACAGGAGAAGGACTTACCATATCACAGCGAGTCAAAGTGTCAAGTTTGAGACTTTGTTTTTCTGTTATTGTAGTGCTCGATATTTTCAGACAAAAAAAACCTTTGAAATAATACTAAGGAAACGTTAAAACTAAAAATCATTCATATATGTAAAATAAGTATATAGGTATTAAGACTGAAAAACATTTTAAAATTTGTCTCGCGCCTTTAATGAACATTAGACAGACCTCTTTAACAAGTGGTCATCATCAACTTGACAAGGTATTTAAAAAAAATGAAATTAAGATTATGCAGTAGTTCATATGAATATTTAGCATCGGTTACATAACAATAAATTAACATATATATATATTATGTATCTTCAAACTTACAAATGCCTCGGCCCATGTTGCTTTAGTAGAAGCATACAATTTATAACAGGAATCGTCATGCCTCATATAGCCATTAGGACAATCGCAAACACCTACAAGTTTACAACATAACAAATACACTTATATATAATATCTTTTAATAACTATGTAATTAAATGTTATTTATTTTTTGTTTTGTTTCTTGGCAAATTTATTTCATGTTATTTTGCTTTGTTCACATTCAATTCCATTTACTAGTTCAGAAAAAGCGAGATTCCTATCCCTTAAAGACGAACTAACACAATCCCTCTTTTTACACGTAAAACAATACTAAACTAGACAAAGTGATGCCCCCGCACTCCACTCTGAAGTAACTGTATTATAACAGTCAATGTAGGACTTTCTTTGAGATATTGTTGTGTCTGAGAGACACAAATGATGCCCCCGCAGATGCAAAGTGTTATTTTAAAATACACAAAGTTGAGCATGGGAGCACATAGGTCTATGGTTCACTTTAGGAGGAGTTATCCGGAAACGCTATGCACCTCTTATGCAAGTAAATACTAAAAAAAATGACAAAGTTCAGCTATCTCCCAAAAGAGCAAATATTAATAAAAATCAAAACCCTGACCACATGCACACCTTCAATATATGTACAAACAGCCAGCAAAGTGAAAACTTCCTAGCATTCAAACTGGGGGGGGGGGGGGGGGGGGGGGGGGTTATCTGGAAACGTTATGCACCTCTTATGCAAGTAAATACTCCAAAATGACAAAGTTCAACTATCTCCCAAAAGAGCAAATATCAATAAATATCAAAACCCTGACCACATGCACACCTTCAATATATGTACAAACAGCCAACACAGTGAAAACTTCCTGCATTAAAACTGTAAGAGGAGTTATCTGGAATAACTATATACCCATAATGAGTCGGACGGACGGACAGGGGTAAAACAATGTGCCCCCCCAACTTTCAGTTGCGCAGTTCGATCTGATATGTAAAAAAACAGAAGGTAAATAATGCCAGCCAGTTAATATTTAATAATCTCTGAAAATTTGACTTAATTTCGTTGACAGGCCTTAAAGGAGTAGTTGATAGATATATGGACGCTCTAATGTATACTTTTAAAACATGTATTCCTCTACGAGAATTTATTATGTTATATTACAATGATAAAACTTTCAAACAAATATCTAGCACATTTATATTCCAGCATGTCAATTATTTGAACATATTTTTCATCACGAAAATATTTTTGAGATTTGTTCAATTTCAGTTGTTCGAGGTTTGGTATTTTATAGAAACAGAGATGATATGATGTATCTATTCATCTCACAAAATCATTGGAGGCACGTGAAAACCGCCAAAGAAAAGGAACGGCGCTTTAATTCCCGTTCTGCATCTATAAGTCACAATGTGGCCTTCAACATGAAGCAAAACCTAACACCTAACTGGAAGTTCAAGACGGTCCATGTCATCGGTTCGAGGGGATTCCTTACAAGATGTCGAACACGCTTCATCTGTTCATTAAAGAACACAGGTGCGGGATAATATTTAAGAACTAACAACAGTTCCTTGGGAAGAAAGATGTGAAGAGGCATACCAGCGGAAGAAGGAGAAGTATACAGAGCTGATGACAACATGTAGAAAGAGAGGTTGGAAAGCGTGACTGTTTCCAGTAGAAGTAAGCTGCAGAGGATTTCATGCACAGTCAGTATGGAGGATGCTACAGGCAATGTGAATAGTTGGAAATGCAAGGAAGACAGCAGTAAGACAGCTAGGGGAAGCAGCAGAGCGTTCATCTTGCTGGTTATGGCATCGCCGAGATGATCTGAGCTGGAAGCCGAGTGCTGATGAGTGGAGGTTTGGCCACCTCTACTGACCCACCAACCGGAGGATGTAATGGTACAGGGTCGAAACATCTGGTGAAGGTTGGAACCATCTGAAGACATCAAAACACCGGCAGAGAGCGACAGAGATTCAGAGATGAGGGAAGATGAGCAGTCAAATGAATATGACAGCAGATAAGCAGAATACCACCATCTGTAAATAATAACCAATTATAATTTATATCTGGCAAAGAAATCTATCAAATACGGTCATTAATTGTAAAATACAGAAACAATACAAGCATTTAGATACCGATCGGCCACATCAAGATATTTACTTGGCAGGAAATATTGTACGAATAAGGTAAACAATTATGGTGAACTACATCAAATACTACACAGAAAAGTAATAAATACAATAAACAAACTGACCAGAAGCGATAAAAATAAGATAGCAGACGTAAGAGAACGAAAGATAAGTCAACGATACGAACGACTCAGAAATAATTTATCGCTTTAAAGGAAATGATTATTTTTTTCGGTCACTTTTGACCAATAAAACCACAATTTCACCATTTCTGTGAACACGTGGCATTTCTCCAAATGCAATAAGGTATGTCTAGAAAATTATATTTCAGAAAAATGGGCCTTTGGGACATAACAGACCCCAAAAATTGTAAACTGGAAACCGTTCTTCCTGGTGTTTTTTTTAACATAGTTTACCATATGCACGTACACATTGAAACATGTATATTAGTATACTACGACAGCTACTGGTCACAAATTGCTCTGAATACACCACTTGTTTGTTACATTTAATATATTCAATACAAGGAGTTTGAAGTAAACGATGTGAAAAACAAGTTTAAACGTTAAGACTAATATAAAAAAAAAAAAAACATAATAAACTTAAATCTCCAGTACATAGTTTTAAAAATCTTACCATTCCCAATAAATAATCCAAGTATTGCAAGCGTGGCAATCGTTTTCATGTTCAGTTCCATAATGTGGAAATAAAGTAGACTATACAAGAAGATAACCTATGACCTTGGACATAGACAGACCGATCTTAAAGTAAACTGTTCCTTCATTTTGGCCAGGAATCGTAACAGAGAAAAATAACTGCGTTCTCAAATACATTTCACAATACTTGTTGGACGTTTAGTGTGGATATTTCGAGAGATTTATCCATATTTCAGCATAAATCACCGAACGACAAAAAATTGTAATCGTCTGGATCCATCAAAATGTTGTGGAAATGTTTTTCGTATTTTATCACCGTACTTGTCCTCGGATCTCCACTAGGTAAGTAAAATTTGTGTATATATACAAAACATTTTTAAATTACTTATCTGAACTGTCGACCATGTATGAAACTGAATTCCTATTTATTGACATGTAAAAGGCGTAATTGGAGGCACTCTTAGTAAACATGCACTATACACACCAGGTAACCTTGAAGTACTTTTGACCAATGGATTATACATATAGTCTACCGTTATAAGAGCAGCAATACAATCATTCCGTCATCGGTAAAGGAAACGCTGGGGAAAAATATGAAAATATCATATAAATGCATTCGTCATGTCGATTTATATATGTAATAAATGCACGGTTCAATGTTCAACTTTATGTCGGATGAAAAAAAAAAGTCTTTAAAAAAGAGAGTAACGTTAACAAACAAAAAAATGGAAGCACACAAGGAACTTGTAACATTTGGTTTAAGCTCCATATCACTTGAGAGCAAGTGATCAGAGCAAATCCTTTGATAAGAACATAAATACCACCGAACATATTTGTCTTGGCATAGTTTATAAGCATTAGCATTATTCAATCGCACAATCTCGCTGTATCATACATATCACCACAAAGGAGGTGCTTTTGTCAATAATCAAAAACTAACCATCACCATAGCCAAATGAAAAACGACGAAGAGACGAAAGTCCCAAAAACACTACACAGAAAAGTGATACTAGTAATTGAGCAACCATAACCACGCCACCATCAAAGACATAATCTTAGGTGCTCCGAAAGTGTAAGCAAAAGAAAAAATAACGAGGAGTCACAATCGAGAAAAAGAGAACGGTCACAATATCGTGGCTACAACAAGTGGAGTAAAACCGTGGTCATTGGTGACACAGACATATTATAACGGTCAACCAAATCATGATGGCTTCCGTAAAACCTTACAAGGGATGACATCAATTTAACCATTAGGAATTTGTTTATTTAGCTTCCTTCATTATAACTCTTCAATTTTTACTTTGTAGTACTTTCTGAATGTCCAGATGGTTTTGTCCATAATGGAGAATCTTGTTACTTGTTTTCAATTCTCCAAGTCTCCTGGATACAAGCCATGGTAATATATAATGTACATGATCTAAAAACAAGAATCATGCCATTACTTAAAAATTTGGTCTTTTCTCGTATTCTATATACTATATCTAGTAGTTGGGCGGTTGTATTTGTGAACCGGCGTCACATCTTTATTACTTAGTATATCAATTTTTATCATGCCATGACTAGAAGACTTTTGGTATTTCTTCTCTGATTTTAAAATACGATTGATATACAAGGTAAATGTTTTTATTTCTTATGCAGCAAAAATCCTGCAATCTTATTGGTTAATTAGTCCGGTGTAAATAACTACCCACCCTTGTTCCCCCCGGGGTAAATAAAATTTTGCCAAAAAGTCCAAAAAATAAAATTTTGCCAAAATAAAGAAATAAAAAATTAAATGTAAAAAAAAAAATTAAAATATAAATAAAAAAATTAATAAATTTGAGGACAAAAATTTTTCATTAGCATTTTTCAATTTGACATCCCTTTTTAAAAATGAGTAAAGGAATTGTTCGTAAGAAATAAATTCGTTATCTTGTTGTAATCAGGGGTGTACGGAATTTTACACCGGTGTTGAAAATGCATACACCCTTCGGCTGCGCCTCAGAGTGTATGAATTTTCCACAGGTGTAAAATTCTGTACTCCCCTTATTACACCAAGATAACTAATAATGTCTTGCGAGCAAGTGGGTGTATGTGAGAGAGTTTGCGACCATATTCTTCAAGCCAATTATTATTCACTGTTTTCCTCTTTAAACAACACTTAAAAAACAGTGTATTCAGCAATAACTATGGATGAAAATAACCAGAGAAAAAAATAAATTGTTATCATTAAAAAACATTTCATCTATTAATTCCATATATCAATGACATACTACAAATGACTGTCGCTGTTTAAAAAAATTTCAATATATTTAATTGAATTCTCAGATAATGACGGTTCAGAAGAAGTTACATCCCTGTACCTAAAACGTACTGACAGTTGCTAAGTTAATGGATTTTAGAACACTGAAATACATTTTTTTTATTTAAAACTGTAAAAAACGAAACAATATGATTAATAATTTCAGAAATTTTGTGAAATTTACCAGGGAGAATTAGCAGTTATCGAGACAGAAGCAGAACAACTCTTCCTTGAAAATTATCTTAATTCAACCTGGAGAAATGGTATTTTTAATATGTCCTGACTTTCAAGTTAACGACAATGAGCATGATCTAACACGTATAAGAAGCTCTTTTTTTGAATACAGTAAATAATCGTAATATTTGATATAAATATAAATTTTTAATAACTTGCTATTTTTTTAATGAGATTTTAGTTTTGTTTATGCTCCCAATGTTTCTTTCAAAATTCCGGCCTAATCGTGCCTGATGAATGTTGATTTGGAAAAAAGATTGTTTTGTCAAATATATAAGATGTTTGGAATTTCGCAATAAAAAAGGTTAAATAAGGATTACATCTATAAGAAAACTTAAAACATATTGTTAAACTTAAACGCTATGTAAAACTTAAACGCTATGTATTTAAATACTTGTACTTAAATATCGTTCTATGAAACAGCTAATCAGACTGATGGTGTTTGGATAAGTGGTACTGACTTGCTAGTGGACGGCGAGTGGATCTGGGCTAAGAAAGGCAGGTCAATCGATTATTTTCGATGGGCTCCAGGACAACCCGACAGTTCAAACATGAACATTGGTGGAGAAGACTGTATCGATTTAATTCGTAGTAAAAACTTCATGTGGAATGATGCTCCTTGCGAAAGTCATATCAACTTTGTCTGTGAACGTCCGTAAGTTTCCTTTGCTCTTATAATTTCAATTATAAAGTTTGTTCTATTTTGTAAAGCATGTTAATTGCTTTGACTACGATATTTCTTCGATTGTTGAACATCGTTATATTCATAAGTTCATTCACTATGACACGTTATAGAATCTATGAACTTATTTGTTTGGGAAGAATTGAGGTATTTAGATATTGCTGTGAAAACTGCAAAGATTTCCACAATATTTTTCGTTCGGAATAACAAATAAACTTATATTCAAGGTACTAGTTATCCTTATTAGATGTAGATGGTTTACGGTTAATAATTATGAAATTAGTACCAATCAAGTACTTATGTACTCCATTACTAATTTGCGTATCACAATTATTTTTGCATCTTTGTCAGATGGAATGTACCTTGTATTACATCAAATGCACAGTCGAATTTTCAATAAACGTGCATTTTATCATATTGTTTCACGTCTGTTATGGATAAATTGATAAAAAAAATGGTAATGAGACACATAATACTGGAGATAAATCTTACAGCCAAAATTCATTTATACATATAGTCCTTGTGATAATTTGCTTCCAATTAAACAGTGTTGTACATGTTATTTCCAGATTTATGGTATCTGCCGACTCATAACTTATCACTGGATACTGTAATGCATTGATATAGACTGAAAGTTTGAGCCTGTATAGCATGTGAAAGAAATGAAATATTAAAATAAAAGTTTGAATACACAAAGTATATCAGTGGTTGTACCATTAGGTAATGTCACGAGTCTAGTGTACTTAGAGCTATTTTCCTATTGCTTGTAGTTTAAAGGTTTTGTAAGCTTGCTTGCTTTGTTTGTATAAATGTTTGCTCAAGCATTGTAATTAAGATTGACATCTGCAATTAATAGATAGGCGGGGCTTCAGCTTGTAACAATAACATTTAAGTATAATGTATACAAGCTGAAGCCCCGTCTATCTATTGATTGCAGATGTCAATCTTAATTACAATGCTTGAGCAAACATTTATACAAACAAAGCAAGCAAGCCAATCAAACCTTTAAACTACAAGCATTAGGAAAATAGTTCTAACTGTAAAATTTCACTAGTATAAGCAATATTTTTAGGTGAAATAATGCTAGAAGTGTATTTTCTCCTAATGCTTAACCTCTGCATTAGAAGAATACAGCATTATCCTCCTCGCAGTAACAATTGGCAACTGATTTTAAGAACTCATTACAACCATAACAGGCCAAAATTTTGGGGACCTCGGAGCGGCAAGGGCCCTAGAGATGCAGTGTGTATGATGGGTTCTAGTACTCATCAACCTAGTCCAAGCAATGTTTAGATTACCGACCTAATGGGGATGATAAGCCAGAAATGTTTGCCCATCTAAGAAAAACAAATATGAACAGTAACATGGTCAGATTATGGTTCATTGTAAGGGACGGTAACTGATCTAACGCAAGAAAACCTTGATAGAAAATCTTCTGGTCAGAAGACCAATTATCTTATTTAACAGAAACGGAAATAGTGACAAGAAACTGAACTCATCAAGGACACTCAGAGTAATAAGGCACCGACAAGTATGAAAACCGAGATTGAAGCAGTATTAGTATTTTTTTTTGTTTTTTGTAAACAAGGACAAATCTTACACATGGTATTGGCATATGTATATAGTTGAAGCCCGAATCTCTAGATGTCTTGCTTTATTATTTTTTGTTTTTGTTAGCATCAAGCAGAAAAGAAAGTCACAACTGTTCTATAAAACTCTGCAAGATGAGATGAGATTAATCCAAAAACACATTTGATTTGACAATCGTAATGAGCGATTTCTACTTAAAAGTGGGCAGTGACAACACAGGAAATAAAAGAGTAATTGGTATGGATGTGATAAAATGAACGAAAATGGAGTTTCTACTTAACTTCTGTGGAATTAAAAAAAACGTAGAAAATAAAGACTTTAACAAATTAATTTTGAATTCACCTAATGGTAGAGACAAATTAGGGCAACAGTAGTTTGTCGATGTTCAAATTAAGAAGACAAATCAAGGTAACAAACAAAAACTGAGGTATCGCATGAACTCAAATTCTGACCCTAGGTAATAGTTTGAAGTCCTTAACCTCAAGTTCATAAAGATATGTTAGATGCAATCACTCACTGAAATCTGGGCTATTTAGTGATAGGACATCATCAATATATCTGAACGAAAACTAAAGAACTTTGCAAGATGCTTTCTCTTTTGTCCTTGAGAAGGTTTTTTTTATGAATTCTGCTTCATGTGAGTACTAACAATAAGACGACCTGTAGTGGTGTACAATTAGTACCCATCGGAATACAGACTTTCTGTTGAAATATCAATCCACCAAACTTATCAAATGTGTTGTCGTTAAAAGACCAGCATTTTGATAATATGTCGATCAGAAAGACCAGCATTTTGATCATATCACCTCGGTGTATTTGTTTGTTGATTCAGTGTGGTTTTTTCACAAAGTAAGATTTTTCATGACAAACAACAAAGATTTTTATACCCCACGCAACAAAGTTGCGGAGGATATAATGTTTTTGACCCGTCCGTCCGTCCGTCCGTCCGTCCGTCAGTCCTGTTCTTGTCATCGCAACTCCTCTGAAACCACACAACAGAATTTCATGAAACTTTGAAGTTAATGAGGGCATAATATGTAAATGTGTATATCCACAAGAAAATTTTTATCAGTTGACTTTTGTAGAGTTATGACTCTTTGAACTTAGGAATCTGGTGAGATTTTGTTTGTCCAGTGACAATGTGGGGGCGTGGGGTATGTTTAAGTGTTCACAAAGGTTCTTTAATTTTGTATATATATACAATATAGAAATAATGAGATGTGATTATGATTGCCAATGAACCAACTATCCATCAGAGTTCAAATGACGAAATACCCATTTCCGTAGAAAAATCAAATATCTCTGTTTAATAAGACGATGTATTCGATCTTTCAAACTGTAAAATAACAAAAATACCGAACTCCAAGGGAAATTCAAAACGGAAAATCTTTTATCAAATGGCAAAATCAAAAACTGAAACACATCAAACGAATGGAAAACAACTGCCATATTCCCGACTTGGTACAGGCATTTCCTAATGTAGAAAATGGTAGATTAAACCTGGTTTCATAGCTAGCTAAACCCCTCACTTGTATGACAGTCGCATAGAATTCCATTATATTGACAACTATGCATGTGTGAGCAAAGCAAACGGACATAATAGGTAAAAATCTAAAAAATTGGGGTACAGTTGTCAACATAATATTTTGTGTTATAGTCTTAATCACGATAAAAACAAATAACTATTTCAACAAAGAAAAACAAAATGACATATAGACACTATATAGACAAAGTACATAAGCAAAAAAGAAAGATAAGAATACAAAAATGACCTTAGCACAATAAAACATTGGTGGGATGTATAAGTACCGATCCACGCAAAAAGTATTTTCCCAAAAATGAACTAAACAGTAAAAGTTAAAAGTATACAAATACAATTAAAAGGTTTTAAGATGATAAACAACGCCAGTACCTAGAATGTCTACTTCAAGACCATCAATTGAGCATGAGGAATAGCAGTGTAAAGCGTAGATTTTTTTCCAGTATTACTGCAAAATTGTAAAGATTGTGAATAAGTATTTTGCAGTAGAAGTATCAAACAGACCATAAAAACGATCAATACAAGAGGTACGAGTAAACAGAGGAACTGACATTGCAACTGACTTTGAAATTACACTCAACATAAAAATTTTAAATTAAAAAGATGCCAACCTCCGTGAACATAAAAAGAAAATTTGAAATAAATAAACTACATCCTAAGGTGAAACAAGACTTAAATTTGGAATAATAAAAAGATTTCAGCTTTTAGAAGACACAATACGTACCAATAACTATCAATAGAATATGGCTGAAAATTGAGAGAAAATTACATACAAAGAGACCAGTGAAATGGTTCTTTGCTATAAGAGGTAAGTACTCAAAAAATGGATAAAATGAGAAACACATTTCAAATACGACCCATGTTAACTTATTGACCCTTTTAACACAGTTTTCGGTCCTAACATTGATGTTTTTTAAATAAGTTAGAACATTACTAACTATGTATTGATATGCAGTTATGATCACATCCTGTTAATATCTCAAACTGTTTATGAGGTTTTTACACTAAATCTGTTGGATGTGTACTGATTGATATAGTCTAATAGACATGGTTTATTTATAAGGTGTAATGGGATTTAAACTTGGTTTCAGTAACTGCAAGTTCTCTTACTTCGGTACTTTTTGTCTTGTTATTAGGTTTTTTTGTTGCTTCGTGCCGATCTGATGAGTCAAGTCACTTCCAACGGATTATTACAGTATTTTTGCAGTGACACCATTGTCCAAGACTAGGGAGAGGGTTAAGCACTAACACCGCCACATTCTTTAAGTGCCTTTCCACTTTCCGGAGCCAGTAATTCAGTTCTTGTCGTTGGCTGGAATATTTGTTTTTCTTTAATTGTTTTAGAACATATTGTTTATAACTTACTATAGGTATGGGATTGGCTCATTGTTGAAAGCCTTACCTTTAATTTGTACTCACCATGAGCACCACAACAGGTGTCACTAGTTGAAAAAGTTTGTTTACCCTTTCAGAGCACCTAATATCACCCCCAGTTTCAGCAGGGTTTGAGTTTCTCAGTCGTTCTTTGCCATGGCGTTGTCAGTTTCTCTGCTACTTATGAGTTTTGAATTTCCCCTTAGTCATCCGCCTCTATTGTAGTTGCTTTAACCCACGTTCTTCGGTCCATGTTGCGCTATTGTCTCATTGACAATCATACCAAGTCTGATTACTTTTAAATGGAGATTATTAAGTGAAAGATAGAGATGAATAATAAACTATGTCAACCTATTAAGTGAGGATAAAATATAAGATACAAAAGCAATACTCAGAATGTTAAGTGACAAAAGAAAATAATCAGTAGACCTAAAAAAAGAGTAACTAGCATCTAATCACCATATTGGTCATGTGTACCAAGTTGAACAACTATGCAATTAGTAGGCTAACATAAACATGCCAGTCAACGATAAAAACAACAACACATTTAAAAAAGAGACAGAAGATACCAAAGGGATAAAATTAACATCTGAAAAAAATCCAAGATAGAAAGAACATTTTCGAAAAGACCTGAATATAAAAGAAACAGACGAAAAATTCACATCATAAAAACATCAGTAGAAAAGGATGATACTATAGATCTACCTACCATGATAAATATCCAGAAAGGATTAAAATGTTCAAAGAATAGAAAAGTATCAGGTACATACTAATTAAACGCAGAACTTTAGAAAGCTGACCAAAAACTAACAGGGGATCCCCCACTTTGGGAGAGAACGTTATCTTCAGGTTACATCGTAATGAAACCCCAAAAAGAGCGATCTTAATAATAGTTACAAACGAAGAGGTATCACCATTCGTCTTTTCTAAGCAAACGTATTCTTAAAGCTCACAATTTCTTGAATCAAAACAGCAAAAGACAGAATATATGTGTCGGGTTTGAGACAAGGTGAAAGCGTACGAACCACACATTTGTCAACCAGAAACATCTTTGAGCATCAAAATCATAATTTCGAAAGGCTTTTGACGGCTTATGCAAATATTGTATTTATGGTAGAGCTTATGGTATACCTAACACAATTTTCTAACTTAGCATATCCTTCTACGTCAACTTGAAATAATTACATTACATGAATGTTTCATTAGAATCCGTTATTTTAATTGGATGACAACAATCGCGAGGCACTTCACTATCATATGTTATTTCCGTATAAAATACAACAGTTATGACAGCACGTGCTATCCGTGACAATTTTAAAATATTGCATTGAAAAACAAACGAAAAGCTTGACATAACTCTTCATTTCATTGTTGTGTAGTATAAAAATGTAATTAAAAGAATTGAATGCTTCTTTCTATGATTTTGATTTTATAGGGTTAAAAACTTTGTAAAAGCGTTGATCGTGCGCACATTTTTAATATGAAGCGCGGAATACAAACTGTGCTTCGGTTAACGCCTTTACATCCCAATAAAATAATAAAAAGAAGCATTCAATTCTTAAATAATTACATTAAATGTATGTTTCATTAGGATCTGTAGTTTTGATTGGCTGACAACAATCGTGAAGGCACTCCAATATCATTTTTTATTTCCTTAAGAAATACACCAGCTATGACTGCACGTGCTATCCGTGACAATGTGGACATAATGCGTTGAAAAAATAAACCAAAATTTTGATAGAACACTTAATTTCATGTTTGTTACATAAAAATGTAATCATAAGAATTGAATGCTTCTTTTTATCATTTTATGTGGCTGTAAAAGCGTTGATCGTGCTCACATTTTAATATGAAGCGCGAAAACAAAATGTGCTTCGGTCAACGCTTACCCCGATCAAATTATAAAAAGAAGCATTCAACAAAGACCCATCGAAACAACATCTGATACACAAATTTAATAATACTTTTAGATATTTGGATGATATTTTGGCTCTCAATAATGACGACTTCAGTATGTATACTAAAGAAATTTATCCTGTTGAACTTACTTTAAATAAAGCTAATACTAACAATGACCACTGCCCTTTCCTCGATCTTGATATCTATATCATTAACGGAAAGCTTAATACTAAAATATATGATAAAAGAGATGATTTTTCATTTCCTATCGTTAATTATCCATTTTTAGATGGTGACGTTCCCTTGTCACCATCTTACGGTGTTTATATATCTCAACTTGTACGATTCGCTCGTGTATGTAATAATGTTTTAGATTTTAACGAGAGAAATTTATGTATTACTGAAAAATTATTACACCAGGGTTTTCGATATCACAAACTAGTCAAAACATTTACTAAATTTTTCATCGGTATAAGGACACCATTCGTAAATATAGCTCAACATGCAGACTTCTTATACGTTCGGGTATTTCACATCCAATTTTTTATGGAAATATTCTTTATAAAGCACAAAAATGTCAGTATTCACCTCTGAAGCTAACAAAACCTTTAAATAGACTTATTAAGAAGGGATATAGTTACGATACTGTTGTCAGGTCATTAAAGATTGCATATTTTGGCGTTAATATTGATTCACTTATAGGGTCTTTGCATCGGCACTAAACACATTTATTTAAAAACCAGTTGTTGGCATGACACGGGTTATGTTCTTCTCATATATGTTATGATGATATGATACTAAACCCCTAACGGGAAGGATTGTGCCTGATATTCATATGATGAAGACATAATCTTTTAATCAGTTTAATTGAAGTCTGGAGCTGGCATGTCAGTTAACTGCTAGTAGTCTGTTGTTATTTATGTATTATTGTCATTTTGTTTATTTTCTTTGGTTACATCTTCTGACATCAGACTCGGACTTCTCTTGAACTGAATTTTAATGTGCGTATTGTTATGCGTTTACTTTTCTACATTGGCTAGAGGTATAGGGGGAGGGTTGAGATCTCATAAACATGTTTAACCCCGCCGCATTTTTGCGCCTGTCCCAAGTCAGGAGCCTCTAGCCTTTGTCAGTCTTGTATTATTTTTAATTTTAGTTTCTTGTGTACAATTTGGAGTTTAGTATGGCGTTCATTATCACTGAACTAGTATTTATATTTGTTTAGGGGCCAGCTGAAGGACGCCTCCGGGTGCGGGAATTTCTCGCTGCATTGAAGACCTGTTGGTGACCTTCTGCTGTTGTCTGTTCTATAGTCGGGTTGTTGTCTCTTTGACACATTCCCCATTTCCATTCTCAATTTTAATTCTTAAAAAAAAACCACAACAACAGCTATGACTGCACGTGCTGTCCGTGACAATGTTAAAACAATGCATAGAAAAACAAACGAAAAGCTTGATGTTATGGATGTAACTTCCGCGCTTCATACAATACAAATACAAATACAAATATTTTATTGGCACAAATACAATTACAATAATTGGCAAAGGTCCATATTTCAATACAATATTACAATGTATATGACGGGATATTTGAAGATTATGCCAATGAGACAAACAAGCAAAGCAATCCATCAACAAAAAATAAAATGCAACCAGACATCTATCTATAAATATATTTGACTAGCCTGATGCAACTTTTAAATCAATGAACGTATTTACATGTAGCCATGTATTCACATTGGTGATGTAAGTATTTTACGTCTCAACGAAAGTGAAACAAGAAGTAACGGCATATAGGAGAGTTATAAAAGGAAGACCCGTTTTACATACTAGTATTCCATATATTTTTATTTAATTTCATGTAATAACCTGTTCCAAGATTGTTTTCCCAATCCTTTCCTTATATTGTATATTCTGTATTAGTGTTGATATTAATTTCGAATTTGTTTCCTCTGACTTTTTAGTTTTTATTTGGCAAAGTGAAATGTGAATAAAAAAAGATTGAGGTAAACGTCATTGAGACAGCAACCAATCGACAAAGCTAACAACAAGACGTCTTGAGGGCAACACACAGTCTTCAACAATAGACATGCGTCTAAAAAATTTCTCCGGCTCTAAATCACCAAAATCCTAAAAGATGTGAAAAAATTGAATAGAAGCAAATTAAGATTTGCCATTAACAACAATTGTTACTTTGATTCAGTTCAAATGTACGAAACTGCAAAAGTGTCATCTGCCATTATATTGAATCTACGCCAGTTACTTTAGAATCTGTTCCGAACAAACTTGAATTGTGACCTTGATGTTAGTGTTTATATACACAACTTATACTATATAAATAGTTAATGCAATGAAATTAAACATTCCATGTAAACATTATCTGTAAACATTTGATAAACAAATAGGCCAATTTCACATGCTTTGGTTTCGCAATTAAAAACAGACGGTGACAAAGAATTTTCATTATAGCACTTAATATTGAAATCCGGTTCAATATATATGAAAATAGTTTAAGGAAGAAAACCCGCGGAAGTTTATATATATTATCAAGTATTTGGAAATTCATAGTTTTTATCGACCATATCAGTTATATCACATGATCTTAAGTCACCTGAATGTTACAAGTGTGAGGGGGTGTGTACGTGTACTTTAGTATATACATATATAGTTTGTTCATCATTTACCGGTGAAATATCTGTAAAGATGGCTTATGCAGGATCTGTTGTCAATCCAGTGAGTACATTATTCATATTTTTAAAAATTATGAGTCCTTGTATGAATAGATTTAATGAATCACGACATCTCCTTTTTTCGTTCATAAAGAGTTCATTTTTATACTTCTACAACTTACATATTTTCCAAGGTTAGCGGTCTATTAAAAAGAGCTTATAAACATCTAATGGGCTTTAATGTACATGTAAACAAATGTCACATGAAGCAGACGTCGAAATATACATATATACTAGGTAATTTTCCCCCTTTTTTCATTTATGAAAAGTACAAGCACAAAAATGTGGCAGAGTATAACATGTTTGTGAGCGCGTAACTCTTCCCTAACCTGGGACACTGGTATAAAAGCACAACATAAGTGTTAAAATCAACAAGAAAGGGCTTCATTCAACAGATTGTGTACGAAGAACACAAAACAACTTGTTGTCTCATTGGCACTCATACCACATCATCTTATGTCTATATATAAAACAAGACAACATATTGATCTAAGAGCACATGCAGTTATTGAAGAAAAAATTAAATAAGAATTAAACAGGTACACTCAAAATTCCAAACCAAATATTTTTATCTATGAAAAAAATAGTAAAAGTTTAAATACTCTTTGATATACAGATATGAAAAGGTCACAGACATATACAACAAATCAAAACTAGTTTATTATTAACACATATATTATTTCTTTTCTCCAGCCTCTGCCATATATCGGGGGAATACCCGGTGGTATGACAGATGGTCGACAGATCATTGTACAAGGAACTGTACCATTTCATGAAAATGCGTAAGTCTTAAAGACTACAATTTCCTTAAGCATTGAAAAATATTATTTCATTTAGTGATTCATGCTAGAACTTTTCGTGTTGGAAACTGTTAAATTGATGTATTACAAATACATAACCAAAAGAAACAGCAAACTATGAATGGATGGGTTCCAGATGATTTACCAGCTTATAAGTTTGCACGCAATTTTAATTTATAAATATGTCAGTTTTTGTAAACAGGGGAGTCTCAACCACAGCAACGGAAAGCAGCTTGCCTCTTTTTATACGTCATTTGTAAACCAATTTCTTATTGTTTCCGATGTTCTTTTTTCCTATTACGTTAAAAAAGAAAACAAAACGTTATATAAATTTCATGCATACGAAGCGCTTTTCTGGATTTACCATCATCAGGAACGATCAAAGCAGAATATTTGAAAAGCAAGAATGTATAAGAACCGAAACAGTTTATGGGCTATATAGATTAGAACGTTGGTTTTCCTGTTTGAATTGTTTTACACTAGTCATTTTGTGGCCCTTTATAGCTTGCTGTTCGGTGTGAGCCAAGGCTCCGTATTGAAGGCCGTACTTTGACCTATAATTGTTTACTTTTTACACATTGTGACTTGGATGGAGAGTTGTCTCATTGGCACTCCTACCTCATCTTCTTATTTATATATATGACCAAAAAGGACCTATAAAAATAGCCAAATCCATCTAAGGTCAACTTAGCCTGATGGAGTTGAAACCTTAGTAATTGTCGTTGTAAGAATTTATGAAAGCCAAGCGATTGAATCTTTTTTGAATATCATTTTTCTTTAAATTTTTAGATTTACAGTTAATTTACAGTGTGGTTCAAGTCTAAATCCTCAATCAGACACAGCTTTACATTTTAACATAAGATTTAATGAGAATTGTGCAGTAAGAAACTCTCTGCAGAATGGATCATGGGGATCAGAGGAGAGAACCGGTGGGATGCCATTTCAGAAAAATTACCCTTTCGAAATAATCATTTTATGTCAGCATCACCATTACAAGGTATTTATCATGTAACAGGAAGAGTTGAATAATTAAATCTACTTTTTTAAAACAACAGGAAATTACAAGTAACGACACATCGGTATCCTGGATGTATAATGCGGAGAAACAGTTATACGTCTTAGGTATTTACGATGATATAATATGTAGGTAGAAGAGAGAATCCTCATTTGAAAATACAATGGAAAACCCTCTTTATATTAATCAAATGGGGTTATCTTGGGTAAAGTTCATGGCCAGATTAAAGTCTGGAGATCGATAAAATATCTATTATACAAATATGACCGATAACATTTATGTAGGGAATTTTTAAGCTATATTTCTACTCAGAATGTTTTCCTTTTCCTGTTAACTTTGATTTGCATTAAAACAACAGTACTGTGATTTTGTATTACAAACTTGACCAGTTTCACTTTTAAAATGTTATCATCAAGATGAATTTTACAGATGAGTTGTTGTATTTTCTCCATTAATATGTTTATCATCTAGAAAAAAATATAATGGTATAAATTTGATTGCCGGTAAATTTAAAATTGCATGGCTGTTTTCGAAAGCAAACTATAATAAGTAGTGCTACATGTACTGGCTATACCATTCACTTGCCTTATCTAAAAGACGTAAGTCGTAAATATTAGTATAATAATGATACTTCGAATTGTTATAAATTAGATAAATGGGGTTATCACGGGTAAAGTTCATTGCCAGATTGAAGTCGGGAGATTAATGAAATAACTATGCAAATATGACCGATAACATTTGTTAAGTGTTTTGAGAATCCACACGCTTGTCAAATGTTATGTATTTTTTTGTAGACTGTTATCTTTTCGTCGTTTTTCTTATTTTTACCATGATTTTGTCTGCCTCTCTTCAACTTATGAATTTTGTTTCTCTCTTTGGTATATTATGCCTCTTTTTCGAATTCTTTAATTTATTTCACACCAGGGCCATTTTCAAAAAAAGTCTTTCAATCTTTACTTTATAGATTCACAGTATCACAGATTCATGTGTGTAATTTCAAGCTCTAACGCAGTCTAAGGCACGCCTTAAGCTAGCCCAAACCTGCAATTTGCAGTTTTTTGAATTTTTTGAGCATTAAAAAATTTTACAAGGAAGGACGATATACTATATCAAAACCAGAACTCTGCTAGAAATAAAGCTATATACAGTATTTTACAAAACATGTAAAAGTTGTAATTAAAATGCCTTCATATGAAACATGTACCTCTGAATAACATTATATTTGTTACGTAAAAACTATTGAAATTTTGTTTTATATAGACTCTTTATTATCAAAATTTCCGTAGGATTTGACAACTTTTAGATTTTGACCCTGTGAGTGAAACATATACAGGTGAATATAGCACTACCTCTTTAACATGTTTTATGACAATCTGTTTCGAAAAAATCGAAAATTTAGATCGTGATATATAAGATGTGACCGTTAATGAGATGATTTCAGAACAACATGGTTTTTTTTTCAAATGAAGCAATACAACTCCGCTATCATATCTGTTTTATTGTTCAATTACCAAAACCTTCAAATTATCTTGATAAAAGAAGCTATTTCATCCAGCATAACATTATGAAAATTATCGTATTTATCATATTATTCCCTTGTTGTACAAAATAGAGTAGACTATTGTTGTTAATATTTCTAAATATGAATAAAAAGGTGCATGGGATGTAAGAGTACATGGGACAGTAACCAAACGACACAAAACACAAAAATACTACAGGACATCTATAGGTCAACAATAGGCAGGTGTCTATACAATAAACGAGCCCTAAATCCGAGACCTGCCTTCAGCATCAAACTCTACGAATGAAACAAAACATAAGATATGACAAAAGACAATATAAATTTCTATGGAAATAATTTTGAAGTATGATAAAAGGCAATTATGGAAACAGTTCAACACAGATTATTTCTTGTAGTTAAAACCTTTCCAGCATAAACCAAGCTTAAGAATTAACCTTTTTCCGTTCATTTTCCCTTTAATTTGATGCTACCAATGTATTACAAGGAAGAGTTTATAATTTAAAAACAGTACAAACCTATAATGGAACGACCAGCACGTAATTAATTATATGCTTAGGCAATAACGGTTCTTATATAAGAAGCGATAGAAATATACAATAAATCGCGAGTCAAAGAATATATGTGCTGCATGCAATATCAGTAATAAAGTTAGTAATATCCGATCTTAAGCCCATAAGAAACGGGATGTTTTTTTACCTTAAACATTTATTTCTTATTACATACATATTTCGATTAAACATAATTTGATTTGTGTATTCAGGTAGCCGTTAATGGAAAACATTTCTGTGAATTTCGCCATCGAATTGCTAAACACCAAGTGAACACTTTGGCTGTCATTAGTCCAGCAGGGCAAGTCAGTTCAATCAGATTTGATGGCCCAGGAGCAGGCGTAAGTATTCTGAAGAACTTTTTGCAAATTTTTGGTTTTCATGGCTACTGCCATGTATGTTTTTAATATATATCTAATTATGCAATATCTGCTTAAACTTTGAGCTATCTCTAGGTAAATAGATTATCGATTTCAATAATAGATTTTTAAAGATATGTATTTTCAAAGACATTGTGCACATTAAACATTGCTTAATTGATTTGATTTTAATTCACACGAAAATTTATTGATTCTTCTAATGTCTTATATGTTTATATGTAACTACCTTCATTTTAAAGAATAATGAAAACACAACTTTACTATTTGAATTTTGTTGAATCTCAAACTAAATTTGTCATTCAGAATTGAATTAGATTTGCAGACTTTTTCGAACCCAAATATCGAATACTTAAAAAAATCGGCAATGTAAAACCATCAAAGAATATTCAAATTAGCTATAGCGCGTGTAGGAATTATGGAAAACATAATCGGTTAGTGGGACCAAGCTTATGAAAATGCATGTAATAATTGTATACTGTAAACTTAGTTTAGTCATAGAATTTTCTTATGTAACAGATTTCAGAAAGTAGCCAACGGAAATTGCATTTTATGTTACTTTATGTTTGACTTGTTAAATATGTTTCATACAGGGAGGTCAACATGCAAAGATCAAGCTTGGTCCCTTTTCATTTGAATTTGGAAATCATGGCCCCCAACATCACAATCCACCACCGGTAAGTCGAGATACAACTAGAAACCCATGTAACCACGTGATTTTAACCAGAACCATGCAAATATGTTACCAAAAGATTTTTTTGTCATTACTTTGTGTTTTACGTTTTGGAGTTTGTTTTTTTTTTACATTTTTTACATTGACCCTTCGGCAATTTCATTATTATTTTGAAACAGACAAATCTTAAAAAAATATTTAAAAAAAAACGTAAATAAAACATACCAATAGCTTTTTGATAAACATTTTGCATATGATTTTACTTTTAGATGCCACAACCTGCAGGAGGATTTCCACAAGCTGGTGGCTTTCCACCAGCTGGGGCCTTCCAACCTCCACCCCAACAGCCTGCAGGATATCCTGGCGCACCAATGATGAACCCGGTATGTGAGACGTTTACTTTTCGATTATTATTTTTCCTTGGAATTCAACAATGTGGACTTATTATGCATACTAAAATAATTATCACACTTTGTTCAAGTTTTGGTGCAATCTAGCATGATTTCATTATTGACTATTAAAAAAAATCAATTCAACCAAGAAAACCCAATACCATTATTTGATTGTATAAATAAAAAAGGGACATAATTAGATCGGTACTTTGTGTCTTATCCTTTTTTAGTTGTTTTTGTGCTTTGTGTCAATCTGATGCGTTAAGCCTTTTTGAACTGATTAAAGCGCTCGCATGATGTTAATCCCCGCCACATTTTATATGTACATGTCCCAAGTCAGGAACCAGTATTTCAGTGATTGTCGTTGCTTGCTGTTTATCATTTTTGTTTTTATACCGTAGCGGAGGGGGCATTACGTTTTACCCTTGTCCGTCCCGTACGTCCGTCCGTCCCCAAAATTTCCGTTCTCTAACTTTAGTTTGCCTCAACTAAATGTTATGAAACTTATACACAAAGCTATAACCACAAAAAAAAAACAGATCAAGTTTGAATTTGGTGGCGTCACTTTTACCGTTCCAGAGTTCTGCCCCTTTACAAGTGGACAAATTGCTGAATTTTTTGTTTCCCTTCTCTAACTTAAGTTTGCCTCGACCAAATGTTATTAATCTTATACACAATGCTTATTGATACAAAACACAGATCAAGTTTGAATTTTGGTGTTCTCACTTTTACCGTTCTAGAGTTGTGCCCCTTTACAAATGGAAAACTTGCTGAATTTTTCGTTTCCGTTTTCTAACTTAAGTTTGCCTCAACCAAATGTTATGAAACTTATACACAATGCTTATTATCACAAAACTCAGATCAAGTACGAATTTGGGTAGCGTCACTTTTACTGTTCTTAAGTTATGTCACTGTATAACGTTATATGCAAGCGGGGGCATCATCTGTGTACCATGGACACATTCCCCATTTATTTGTTAATTGTTTTGTACATAAACCAGACTGTTAGTTTTTTCGGCTTTCACGATACTATACCTTTTCGTTTTCAAATCATCCCAAGAATGTTAGAACGGGTTTTTGTATACTTGAAAATAGTTCGTCCCTTCAGCCTGATTCGAAATCGAGATATTGGTACATCAATGGCAAAACCAGTTGCACTGTATATAAACGTTCTGTTGAATATTTTTCAGCCTGTACCACTTGTTACACCAATCCAAGGGGGAATATATCCCGGGAAAATGATAAACATAAGCGGTGTACCAAATCCTACAGCAACTAGGTAAGAATATGCAAGAAAAGTACAAATGATAAGTAAATATATTGTCATATGATCAACTTAAAATAGATCAATACAGTCGAATTTCTGTTCGATGGAAAATTTATAAAATTACGTGGTCAAATAACCTTCAGGCTTCCATATTATATATTCCAAACTTGAAATGAATGCATTATGTAAATTTCTTTCTCAGTATATCGTAAGATTATTATCGTGACGAATATTTGTACCTCCTATATCCCTCCTATCTACAGGTTTACAGTAAATCTACAGTGTGGTGCCTATGAAGGATCAGACATAGCTCTTCATTTTGATGTTCGATTTCAAGCTGGTGCAGATTACAACGTAGTTGTACGTAATTCCTGTCAGAACGGAAGTTGGGGTGCGGAAGAAAAACAACTACCATATTTCCCTTTCATGCCAAATGCTAGCTTTGATATGATAGTTCTTGTAGAACAGAACCAATTCAAGGTGAGTTTAAGAATGGGATATGACCATGGAACCATTTGTTTAAGTATTGATATGCAATGAATAGAACAGCACTACAGTGGAATATTAACTCAGAAATAGACATGATCATATATTAAAACTATGATTAACTTACGGATAGAGTTCAGACTAACTGATTTTTCTATCCTTTCTAAATACAGGTATCCAGTTTAAACGTGTTGAAATATAAATTCTTGCTTTAAGAGAGTTTCCAAAACCGGTGTCCTTTTGTACATTTGAATCTAAAGTTACTCTTCATAGCCCCCGAGTACACTTTCAACGTAAATTAACTATTAAACAGAACACAGCTAACTACACGATACCGCTAACATAGTCTGCTAGTTGCTGTAATTGTATAAGACAATAGGAAATATAACAACGATTTGTTATATGTACTAGTAGTGTGCTTACAAAAGAAGTTCCGAACAACTAACGCCGTTCGTGTCCCTTCTCAATCTGCATAAGTGGAGGTACGCTGACAAACTAAGCACGATCATAGTTGACATAACAAACTGCTAAAGTAATTGCTCCGTATGCCATCAGTTTATACTTGTAAATTTGTGTTACAATGCAATTAATAAGGAAATAACTATTTGTTTTACAGGTAGCCGTAAATAATCAACATCTATTCGCCTTCAGTCATCGTATTCCATTTCAAAGAGTGGACTCCTTAATCGTAAAAGGAGACGTGCGTCTTAGTCAAGTACGCTTCCAGTAAAGGAAGATTGCACGGAGTTATTTGGTCTAATTGGAAAACTGTTGGCGCTTATTTTGTAAAAACTTAGTTTCACACTTTTCAGTCAGAATTTTGGAAATCATATTTGTTTTTGCTGTACTAAAGTATTTATCAACGTTTCTTTTTTTTATACCAAATACGTGTACTGTCAGCAATGTTTTTTTAATAAAATTTGTTATTCTTTCATTGCGTAATTGTTCATTTATTATATTGCCTTTATAACTTCCAACAGAAATATCGTTGACAAGACATGCACAGTTCGTATAAGTACCAAAAAACTTAAATATCTAATTAGTATCGCATCGTTTGATGATATTCTAAGTCTTCTAGTTTTTATGGTAGAATCACGCTGTCTATATAAATATGTATATGTCCCTTTGAATGATTGTTTGTGTTAGTCTTTATTCCATTGACTCTTTTTTTTAGGTTGGAAAATTTCATAGAAATTATGATATTTTTTACACAGTCATATTGGTTATTTTTCAAGTGTTTTTATATATTGTACAAAAGCTTCGGACCACGAACAAACATGATAAAATGAATTAAATATGATGAACAATGTAATCCAGGACCAAATCTAATATGCTCTTATGAATATTAATAAAGTCAATATGCCAACAAGAGAGTATTTAAAAAATAAAAAATGCCCTCCCCGCACCCCCGGTTAAAAAACCAAACAAACAAACAAAACAACAAAGTCTTTTAAGGTGAAAATACCGGAATCATCATACACAATCTGAATATCAAAACGACATATTCCCAAAAAGAAGAAACAGACAACACAAACCACTGAAAAAGTAATAAATAATGATAATTAGAAAATAACTGTAATGTATTTTTGGCTCTGCCTACGTTAAATGTATGTTTGACTGTCGCAAATTAAGTTAATCTAGCAACGCAAAGTTCAATGAAGAATTGCTCTAAAAAGAACCCAATAGAATGGAATATCCTACCCACATGTACAATTGCATGTACCAACTTACACGAAGATATAATAAATCATAAAGGAGAAGTTTCGCAGACAAGGTAGGTACTAGACAGGGCCAACATTTTCTAAGCTCAAAGAGGCGTTTCAGGGAAAACTAAATGGACTCGCAAGCTCTTGCAATATGATATACTATACATACAGCAGGCTGCTCGGAATTTTTTTCGATATATGTTCAATAACCTTATAATATTTGAACAGGCTTGGTGAACTAGGACTGCAATTTGTTTGGAAAGTTGTGAACTTTTTTCCGTAACTTTTGTACAAAACTATAATTGTTTAGGGTTGTTGTTTCGTGGCTTTATATATATATATATACATTATGAAAAAAATATATTTAGGAGAAGACTACCTAAGTTGTGATAATTTTTGTCTGTTCCTTTTTGCTAAACGTAAAAGCGACTACAATATGCTTAAATGAAAATAAAGCATATGGAGGGGTTAAACATGTTTGTGAGCGCTCAACCCACTTGACCTAACTCAAAGTACTCGCAATTACTGACAGCTAGTTCCAAAAGCCCAGTTTCAATATTAGATATACCATGTGTTTCCAGACTAACATCGTAATCATCAAACCTCCAAAAGTGTAAATACAATGTACGTCATAAACAATGAGGAAAATTTGGCCTTGTACAATGCCAAAATGTAAGTATCGACAGGATGTAGGACCATATGTAAGTATTGAAAATAAAATCAATATTAGCACCGATAAAAACACTATTTAGATATCTTACTACAATGTTATGAATTGATAACCTTTACGAATAAATATATTCAAAAGAATATTTATGTTACATGGATAGTATTGTAATTTACGAGTTCTATAAACAACATTAACTAGAAATCAGGATGTAATATCCATGTTGTAAAAAAAGATGTCTACAGAGACAGCTAAACTCTAAACCAATTCCTTAAATTTGTACATTTAAATGCACACTTTAAAAAAACTTTGTTAATTAGTATGTCTCTATATTAAATAAAATCAAAAGATGCCTTCGCGTCTTAACTATTTAATGCAAACGAGTTAAAATGTTATACTGGTTACAGAATTTGTTTCGATATGACTAATCATGGGAGTGTAAATGTAAAGATAGAGATAGAGATATCAGACTATATTTAGTAGACTGATACCTTCCGCATTTAAATTTATAACATTGTCTTTCTTAAAATAAACATATAATTTTAATGACATCCTCATTTAAAAGGGGGAAAATGCATACAGTTTAAAAATAATTTGGATAATACTAGATCTCTAAGCCGAACGAGTTGGTTTTTCCTTCGGTTAAGTTTATATCACACTGAATTTCACAAAAACGCACGTGGATATCCACAGATATTTCCATGCAAGGCCAGAAAATGACAAACCTGCTCCAGATTATCTTCAGATTATTGTCCGGTTATCAGTGAACGGAAGAATATTTCCTCTCTTCTTTTCATATGACATTACTTGAAAAACCCAAAGCCTCATATATCTTGTAACATGAACTAAACCGAAATGTAGTATTCAATGATATAGGGAGGGCAAACTGATTTTTTCAAACAAATACAAGAACATCTATACTATTTCCGCAGACCTAAGAAATCCATAAGTTTAATTTACCAACATTTAAAAAAACACAAACATAATATTAAATTTAAAAAATAAAACCACTTCAAACCGTCCAGAAACAACCAAGACAATCACAAACAACTTGAAGGTAAAATTTTCAAACTGTCTTTGATTAAACAACTACTGACAGCGTATCCCATAGGTCCAAATGACAATATCATGGGCCAAGGGAACAGATCTAAAACTTCCTCTATTGATTTCATGACTATTTTTGATAAAAGACAACGAAATCATAGGTCTCATGGCAATCGCGTTAATCGCAATCAACGAAACAAACATCGTTCTTATTTACACTTGATGATCTTTTATCTATATTTAAAAACAATGATAGACATAAATTATTATGCAAACTGGGTCAAATGCCAATAAGTTAGAAACATAATATTTATAACGAATGTGATGCAATATCGTTTTTCAGTCCAAAATATGAGTGTACACGTATTATTAAAGCTTTTTGTCGCCATAGACTGTTCCGTCGAATTGACAAACCTGAAGATCATAAAAATAAAATACATTAATAGAGGTTATACTTTTATTAATTTGTCTAGCATTTTTAATGACTCTATCGTTCAAAACTTTATATCTTCGTATTGTGATAACATAGAGCCACCTATAATTTCTTATTCGTATAAAATAACCAGAAGAATTTTAATATTTAACTATACTTCAGTTACATCAGACGTCAGTATAGAAAATAATGCTCCTTCAACATACGACTGTGAAACATCGAAGTTTAGATATGAACCCTATGGCCATATAATTACAGGGGACCTCGACATCCTTCAAGACCGAGAGGTTTAAAACTTTCTGAAAAAAAGGACCAAAATATCGTCCACCGTCGAAAATAAATTTGAAAGAGTGTCGTCAGGTCATTGAAGATGCTCTTTCATCCTATTGTAAAAATTGGTGTAAACGGGAGAAATCTGACAAAAAGTCACTGGATTCCTATTTGAATAAATGTCTTGATATTGTTGATATTCGCATCAAATTTCGAAAATAATTTTTACCTATTGTGTCTGTTTGTTTTGTTCACGCATCGTTGTCAATATAATGGAATTTGATGCGACTGTCATACAAGTGAGAGGTTTAGCTAGCTATAAAACCAGGTTCAATCCACCATTCTACATAAGAAAATGCCTGTACCAAGTCAGGAATATGACAGTTGTTATCCATTCGTTTGATGCGTTTGAGCTTTTGATTTTGCCATTTGATTAGGGACTTTCCTTTTTGAATTTTCCTCGGAGTTCAGTATTTTTGTGATTTTACTTTTTAGAAATAAATAAAAGAGTAAATTATACGCCCATTTCTAGGATTAAAAACAAAATTCAAGTACTCGCAAAGCGTTTTTTGTTCGTACCGGCCGACAGAGCAGCCAACAATGTCGTGGTGGTATGATGTAAATACTAAACGGAAGTCCTTAAGAATGAAATTATACGTTCAACTACATCCAAGGCTGTATGCTCAACAGAGAGTTAAATAGTACATAATGATGCCACTACCACAGCTCAGCTTAAAGGCCCCTCTGAACATTTGAAGGTCACACTATGTATTGGTTACCTAAACTGCACCAAAAAAAACCCGTAAATATCGTTTCATTTTGGCCTGTAGTAAATATTCTACTACTTATCTTTCAGTGATTTTAACGAGTTCCTTAACTACTTAGAACTTGTCATTAACTATGTAATAACACATAAGAAAATAGTGGAATTAACTATTTTTGGAGTGTAAAATATTCTTTGTATGTTTTAGATGAATTAAGTGCTTTTGATGGTCCTTTTGATTCGGTTGACAGTATTGACTTTTCCACTCTTTATACTACATTTCCACACAATCCTATCAAGCAAAAGTTTTCCTATTTAATTAAATGGTCGTTTAATAAATCTGATTGCAAATTTATTTGCTGCAACTCATGTAAATATAAATAAGAAGATGTGATATGAGTGCCAATGAGACAACTATCCATCCAAGTCACAATGTGTAAAACAGGAAAACCAACGGTCTAATCTATATAAAAAACGAGAAACGAGAAACACTTATGAACCACACCAACAAACGACAACCACTGAACAACAGGCTCCTGACTTAGGACAGCCCTTTTCTCTAAAGAGAAAGGTAAATATGCTAGATATCCTTACTGGAGGTGTGATGACATGATTAAAGCTGTAAATTTTCTCCTCGACAACATTTATGTACTTTTCGGCATTAACGTTTATCGACAGGTTGTAGGTATTCCTATGGGCACCAATTGTGTCCCTTTAATAGCAGACTTGTTCCTGTACTTTTATGAATCATAGTTTATGGCCAAACTCAATAAAGACCTGCCTTAATTCGATTTAATTAATAAATTAAACAACACTTACCGTTATCTTGATGATATTTTTTCGTTAAATAATCAAGAATTCTCTAAATATACTGCCGGAATTTATCCAAAAGAACTTACTTTAAATAAATCAAATATTAACAGCAATAACTGTCCTTTCTAGATTTAGATATTTCAGTTTTACACGGGAAACTCTACACAAAAATTTACGATAAAAGGGACGATTTTTCTTTCTCTATTGGTAATTTTCCTTTTTTGGACGATGATGTTCATTTGACACAGTCTTACGGTGTTTATATATCCCAACTCGTGACGTTTTGGATTTCAATGAGCGTAATCCATGAATTACTGGCAAATCATTACGTCTGGGATTTCGTGACCACAAATTACTTAAAACCTTTACTAAATTCTTCCATAGATTCAAAATTTGGTTTGCAAGTTTGGCTGTTCCTGTAGAAAACTTAAGCACATCCTAATTTTTACGGGAATGATGTTTACCGATCCCGGAAATTTAGATAAGATCCGGGTGAACTTATCAATCATCCTAAAAGGTTACCAAATCAACACTGTAATTAGATAGATATAAATAATTGATTTTGTTATCAGTAAATTAAAACCATACTAAATATTATTGTTATACACCTATACACATTCACGGTACTACAATCTGTCGATACCTATATTTTGACATTGCTCAAGGTCATGTTTTTCTCTGACTTTTAATGACGTCTAAAATTACACTAAATCCAATGGATTTTGGGTGTGTACTGATTGATACTTTAGTCTTAGATACATGATTTTTTATTAGTTGTTATTGGCTTTGAACTAGCTGTCAGTAACTGCGAGTACTCTCAGATCTTTACTTAGTGTCTTTTTGTAGTTCAGTGGTTGTCGTTGGTTCATGTTTGTTTTTCTTAAATTGTTTTCTCAATTGAATGGTTTCATTTTTTTCATATCGGGGCCTTTTATATCCGACTATACGGTATGGGTTTTTCTCATTGCTGAGGGCCGTACGGTTGCCTATAATTGTTTAGATCCACTTCATTTGAACTTTGGTGGATAGTTGTCTCATTGGCAATCATACCACATCTCCCCATTTTCATATTTATACATCAATTTTTACTAAATTTTTCGTTAATAACTCATCTTATTCTACAAATGTTAAGGTTTTAATGCGCACAGAAAACGGCAGTAGTATCCCTAGACTTTGTCTTAGTCAGTAGCATGCATGGAATAAATCATTAAAGATTTGTTTACCTTTTACACGATAATTAAACACCCGGTACAAAATACCATGTAACAATGAATAGTAAATGAATATTATGGTCTTGTATTTCTCAAGTGTATTCGTAAATATCTTCCTGGGATTCTTTAAGTGTTGTAAAATCTTTACTTACCGTGATAAACAGTGGTAATATTTATTTAATTATTTAAAACGTTTTTCTTTCTTGACCCGAGCATAACTACTTCCAAAATTAAAACACTATTATGGAATTAAAGATAACCCTCTTTTTGTTCCGGAGTTGTGACTTTATTCATTAAAACCATTCAACTTTATTATCCATTATAGTGAAAGGGAATTTAAAAGTATTTCAACCATTATGTAAGATTATTGTCGAAAAAAGAAAGGAAATTGACTGGATTTATGAGATAAAGAGTTATTCCTTGAGCGATCTAACAATTTTAATTTAAACTTGTATAAAGTTAAGGATTAAAAATGAACAAATACGTGGTGGGGACTAGCAAGGTAAGAGCAGATTTTATTTATGTTATGGTTGACTTTGACATTTTAATTTTTAACCCCTTTACTTACTTCTTGCAACGACTTTTGCTTAAAGTTCCACACCTTGATATTCTGTCAATTATTATTCGTACCAAAATAACGCGCTAGTGATATCTATTTTGCAATGAACAATGATACAAACAAAAATGAATGATTGAATTCATCTCTTTACATTATATATTTTACCCAACTGTCATACCATACGAAAATTTCAAGCATTTTGTTCTTCATTTTGGATTGAAGTCTTAGTGTTGTTGTCCGTTAAATGCAGGAATAACTTGTTCATACTCAGTTCAATTTAAAATTTGTGAAAAGTTGATGCCGCTTGTCCATCTTTTGAATATCCCTAGAGGTCTAGTTCTGTTGATTTGTACTGTTATGTTGCTGTTACATTCCCATTTAAACCTATAACCTATTATCTTTTTGAAGTTTTTATTCTAGTAAGCGCAGCGCAGCAGTTGTTTATAGAGCCCGTAAATATATATATGATTCATGTAAACTTTGCATAAAATTATCCTGAAAGGTTATCAATTAAACACTGTAAAAAACATTGTTTTTATCTGGACTTACCTTGATTTTGTTAATTCAAATATGACTATAAATGTATCCTAAATAGTTATGAACACTTACAGTCCTGCATCATATCCATACTTGTATTTTGGCATTATTTTCTGAGACTGTATAGCGTTTTACACTAATTTCATTGGATGTGTACTGATTGATATTTAAGCCTGCGAAAGGTGACTAAAGATTTTATTCATTAGTTGTAATTGGACATCACTGTCCCAGGTTATACGGAGGATTTGGCGCAATCATCTTTAACCCCGCCACGTTCTGTATGTGTCTGTCCCAAGCCTGAAGAGCCTGTTATTCAGAGGTTGTCGTTTGTTGCTGTATATCATATTACTTAAGTAGTTTTTCGTTTATTGTTTTGCACATAACTCAGGCCGTTAGTTTTCTCGTTTGAATTGTTTTACATTTGTCATTTTGGGCCTTTTATAGCTTACTATTCGGTATGGGTTTTGCTCATTGTTGAAGGCCATACGGTGACCTTTAGTTGTTAACTTCTATGTCATTTTGTCAAAGCACATCTTTAACTGCGATTACTCATCGATCGGTACTTTGTGTCTTGAGTCTTTTTGATAGTTTTTTTACTGATTTGTGCCGATCTGATGAGTCGAGCTTTTTTCAACACAGTTTGTTCCAATATTGTGCTGTTATACCACTGTCCGGTTTTGGGAGGGTTAACCTCTCGCAGTCATGTTAACCTATGATAGTTACTTAGATCTGCTTCATTTGGACTCTGTTAGGTAGTTGTCTCATTTTTTATAAATTAACCCCTCCACAACCTGTATGGGTCTGACGAAAGTCTGGATCATACATGTCAGTAGATGTCTTTGTGCTTATCTATTATATGTATTTTTTTTATTTCGTACACAAATCAGGCAATTGGGTGGTAACACCGGGTCAAAGTTATTAATAAACCATGCATTATACAAATAAGGCGATGTGGCATGATTGCCAATGAAACAACTCTCCACCAGAGTCTAAAATGATGGGGATGTAAGTAACTAATATGTCGCCATACAACAATAAGCAAAACCAAAACCGCATAGTCAGCTATAAAAGGCTCCAGCATGATTAAATGTTAAACAACGGCCTGATTTATGACAAAACAATAAATGAAAAACAAATATGACAGACAGCAAGCATCGTTCGCTAAATATAACTTTGACGACTTACACCTCTCCTTGAACGATATTGATAACCATAAGTATTTACTTTATGGATTTTTTTTTCTCACAACAGAATCCAGCTCGAATTAGACAAAGAAGGGCCATCCAGATGGCACCTATGGAAAGACTTCAACAGAAGAAAAAAGTCTCCTTTAAAATGAAAGAGGTATATGTATGTTAATAAAACGTTTTTCCGCGCATGAACCTTCATCATAATCGACAAAATTCAAGACAAGAAAACCTGATTCGTTAGAAATTAACAAAATTCCCGTAACTGAAAGAAGAGCCACTTTTTGGACCCTGAAAGCGCAAAATGAGTAAGATTATTCAATTCTTTCAATTCATGTTATTTTCACGATAATTGAATGGATAATATTTTGGTCAGTGTGTGCACAATAGTAGTTACAGTAATAGTAGTTGGTGCATATCTTAAGTATGATCAACACCTTATTGTGTCAAAAATATTTTTTCAATAAGACTGTTGCTTATAATTATTATAAAAAGAAAAATCTGAAAATGGTGTTTTTTAATTGGCGGATATTGCCGTGTTCTTGAAATGCATATATTTTTAAGGCCAAAATTAAAAAAAATATTACTGATTTGATATATTAATTTTCATATGCAAGTAGCCAAAAGAAAAACAAAAATCAACAACGCGGCCTTGATGTACAATCTCCTTTTAATAGACTGGTCCAATATAAATAATGTTCACAAAACCTTTTTCAATTAAAATAAGTTATCAACAATGTTTAATAAAAATATTGTTAATACTTATACCCTTTATTAACTATTAGTATATTTATTTTCATAGTCCGCTATGGAAGATATCCATGTTGTTGAAGAATGCCGCGAAATGTTCAGAAAGGAAATATATGTTCTTGGACAGGAGATTCTAAAATTCAGAGAAAGCTGTGAAAAAGAGGTAATTTTAAGTTTTCTTTATTCCAATTCAATTGTAAAATTCATTTGAACAAGTCTCTGAAAACCAGCTGAAAACATTCTATTTGGGTCGACTCGTCCTATTAGAGAAATTCGTAATAAATGCAGATTTTTTTTTTTCATTCAATATAATTATTACCTGCACGTTTTTATAAAAAAAATGTATGTCCAAATCAAGTGTTCTTATTATAATGAGTTGTTTTACATAGTTTTGTAAGTAAGGTAGGATGGGATATCTAAACCAGAAATTATCAGACTGGAAATGTAGTTTCTTTTATGTACCTTTTGTTAGTGCACTGGTCGAGATAAACTTGGGAGAATTGAGATTAAAAAAAAAAAAAGTTTAACATTGCCATATGCTCGTGTGCTTGTCCCAAGGCAGGAACCTTGTCGGCGAATCTCTCGTGTCATATCTTACTGTTTTTGTTATTTCTAGAATTTGGTGCTTTAACAGACCTTGTATAGTTTCTGTTTATTTTATTCACAACTCTAGACTCGGGATTATTTATCGCTTGATATACTGCATAGAAACCAGTCTATTGTTGAATAAAAAAAAAGATGATGTGGTATGATTGCCAATGAGACAACTCTCCACAAGAGACCAAATGACACAGAAATTAACAACTATAGGTCACCGTACGGCCTTCAACAATGAGCAAAGCCCATACCGCATGGTCAGCTATAAAAGGCCGCGTAATGACAAATGTAAGACAATTCAAACGAGAAAACTAACGGCCTAATTTAGGTACAAAATAATGAACGAAAAACAAATATGTAACACAGCAACAAACGACAACCACTGAATTACAGGCTCCTGACTTGAGACAGGCACATACAGAATGTGGCGGGGTTAAACATGTTAGCGGGCGCCCAACCCTCCCCTAACCTTGGACAGTGGTGTAACAGTACAATATAAGAACAAACTATAAAAATAAGTTGAAAAAGGTTTTTTAACTCATCAGGTGGATACAAATAGATATCGTGACATCTAACAAAAACACAGAGTAGACGTGGACGGGTACTGTATGTTGCTCCTTGGACGTCTTTTGATAATATTTGTCATGTGGTCGCTGTCTCACTGACGTTTACTTTATCTATATTTCTCTAAAAACTATAAACATATTTTTGATACATTGCTATTTCATTGACGTAACCCTACACCTTCTTTTATTCATTTATAACATTCTGTGGTTTTGTAGCTGCAAAGATATAAAATAAGAATACACAAAGAATTGCATCAAAGCTTATCTGCTGCTGACATAGAGCAAGCAAGACAAGATACTACAGAATCACCTGTCAAGGCACCAGATATCGAAACAAAAGAACAGATGAACGAGTAAGACCGACTGATTTATAACTTGAGAAAAAGTATTAAAAGAAGAAAATTAAGCTTGAGTAACTTTTTTGGGGGGAAATAGATAAAAATATGCACTACGAAAATGATATTTTCTAATTTGAAACAATTCTGTGTTACGATATTATATTTTCTGCAATAAGGTCGGAACAGTTTCTCCTGAATTTATTTCTAACAAGGGCCATTTTTCAAAATGCCAATCAATCTTACGGTAATGGACATTTGAGCGATAAAAAGGACGTTTGAACAAAGTATAGGACATTTGAGCGCCGAAATTTTAGGATATTTGAGCGAAAATAAAAAATAAGCACAAGACATTTGAGCGTAAACAATTAAGAATAATGATGGAGTACCTCTTCCCTTCGCCAGTTATAATCTGTTACCCCTGCTCACTACGGGGAGGTGGAAGTAGGATTTCGAGCAGGATATAGTTAATAAAATTGTGGAGTTTATAATGCACAAAGTTTAAAACATCTTTTAATTGTAAAAAAACAAAGCACTGTCATAAAACTTAAAACTTGGCAATGGCATTATTTACAAGTCAGTTGGGGCTTGAAATTTATATCCTAGGCTTCTGACATAAAAACTCCTCGTTGTTTCCTGCTGGCAGTACCGCGAATGCAAGTCCAGGAAATTCTATTCATAAATTTCGTTTCAGTTTTTACTTACGCACAAAGTTTTATCTTCAGAATATTTTGAAATATTAATAACATCATTCCATAAGAACATTTTAATTCATGTTGATGTGAAGAATATGGATATTTTGAATATCAATTTAAAACTCATAAATGTATTGATGGAAATTAATACATTCTAATATGTTCTTTTTGTCAGAGTGATACATAAAGATCCAACGGCAGTGACAAAAATGTGGCACGACAAATTAAATAGCTTACAGGAAGACATGGACATTCTAGCAAAACGCCAAAGCCAGATAGATAGAGAGAACATGTTGGCAGACAAAGAAGAAAGTTTATCTGATAGAAAAACTGAATTAGAGAATTATGAAAAAGAGGTAAATACTTGTATCATTAGAACAAGATTAAATGTCTCTTTATTTGCACTTTAGCCACCACAACAGCACAAAATAAGAACAAAATATGAGAGTACTAGCAGTTATTGAAAACTTGTTCAACGCCAATAACAAATAATAAAAAATCATGTACCCAAGACAAAATATCAATCAGTACACAACTAATGGATTTAGTGTAAAGAGATCTTTACCTTTATTCACGATAAATACAAGTTAGAAAATAAAAAGGGGGTTGGTTGGTGGTGGGTGGCCGTTGTTAGCCATGGACAATTGTCTACCCAGTCTCAAATGTGGGAGAAATTATATGTGTGCCCCTAGTTTTTTAGCCAAAACTTAAAACTTTAGATATCATATTATATAAAATAAAATCCCTTAATTCTAGCTGGGACTACTGCAACCTTTTTTAATTTTCAAAATGTTCTCCTTCCATTACTTTTTATCCCCCACAATTAATAGCATCATGTTGTGAATTCAAGGAAGCGCTGAGAATCGATAGTAAAGTTTCTGTGGAAAACGGGAAAACACGATGGAACAAATGAATTCCAAGATAACTGTTAATGGATTGATTTAATACAGGCAATATCCATAAGGTTCTGGTGGAATGCAATTGCAGGTGTTGAAAACCTCTTTTTTCAGAAATTTATGTCATATCCCGCGTGTAACTTGACAGAATGAACCTCCATGGAACCTCCATATTTAAAAAATAAAATCTGCATGTTTTGGTGCTCACTGTCAACGCAAAGTCATGTGGATAATCTATCTTGTAGTTGGTCCTTAGCTAGGCGTGAGCTCGTAATTTTACAAAGATTTGTTGTCGGTTTCTTTCACATATAGAAGTTAGACATTTCCTCAATCACATGCTTTGGAGGTAATGTCACTCTTCAGACCACAAATGATTGCATTTCTATATCCATTACTACCTAACAGACGCCTTTAAAATATAATGTTTGTTAGAACTGTTTTACCTCCGATCACTGCACGGTATTCTCCAACAGTTACAAGTAAATTGTAAAAAAAGGCGAAAGATATCAAAGGGACATTCAAACTCATAAGTCGAAAATAAACTGAAAACACCATTGAAAAAAATATGAAAAAAAAAAAAAAAAAAAAAAATAAAAACTGGGGTGATCTCAGGAGCGGAAGGTTAGCAGATCTTGCTCCACATGTGGCACACGTCGTGTTGCTCGTGTAATAACAAACCCATTGATAAGTCTAATTTGGTTGGTCACATTCGGGAAAAGGGAAGACGGGATTGTGGTTACGACGATTGGAACATATTCGTCGCCATCTGTGAAACATATATTCTATAACGGTCAACCAACTAGTGATGGCGTCCTTATTTTTTTCGAAGGGATGATTTCAAGTTCACCACTTGGAAATCTTGGTTTAATAGCTTACTTGTGAGCAGCAACTCTTTATCAAGGAAATCATGATAGGAAACGCAAGACCTGGAATTTTGTATCAACTGGGAGATGTAAACTGATCACTGGATCGTTATCTTGCATTAGTTCATTCTGTTTTCTATAAAATTTCTTTTAAAGATGGAGGAAATTGAGTCTGGCTTAGATAGAAGACAAGAAATGTGCCAAAAGAGACAGAAAGATCTACTATCGCTAGAAGAGGTATGTTTTGTAACTGGTTTCAAATACAACAGACAAGCTATATGATATAGATGGGGCTTTGGAGTCAAAAGTCTTAATATGTTTAGGTAGATACAAGGGTGAATAGTAAGATCCCGGTACATGGTACAAAAATGTTGTTATTGTGCATTTACATATTACGTAAATTATTCTAAAGAAAGAAACCGATAAAGTATCTTATATGTGCCTGTAGATTTATTTTTAATTACACAAACAATTACTTGGATTTTGAAGCGTTAGTGTTATAAACTTTCGTTTAAAGGTTTTCAACTTTAGAGTTGTCTTTTCTGGAAGCAGTGCCATGGAATTTAAACAATAAATCAGGGATGGGCACGAGTTCTGTCAAAAGCATCGTTTAAAGCACTAAAGTTAGAAGTCAGAATTGCATTTAATCGTTATCAGTTTGTGGAATGTATTAACACACAGGCGACATCTGTCTGGACGAAAGACTTTGCCAGCAATACTAAAAAGTTCTTCAGCTGGTGCAGAAGAGGCAGGTATTGCAAGCAATCTTTTAGCCATAAATTCTAGTATTCATTTGGATACTTTTTTCATAAGATTCTTAAAACCTTATGGGTAATCTTCAATACCATCAAGTACTGATTGAATTCATGTCATGCAATGCATGATCACCAGACAAGTGGTAAATTCTCTTTTTTCGGTGTCATGAAACTAAAAATTGTACTAGCTTGAGAGTCTGTTCTAGAATTCTTTTGTGGTGCGAAATCATCAATGTCACGTGATTCTGCATGTATTGATGATATTTGGTATTATTCGTGTGTTTCATTGTCCTATATGTTCTCCCATTTATTTGTATTGTAGTCCTGTCATGTGATGTTGTCGTTTTGGTGTTGTGTTTGTCGTTGCCATTAAAGCGGGAGGTTTGGCATGCCACAAAACCAGGTTCAACCCACCATTTGTTTCTTAAAATGTCCTGTACCAAGTCAGGAAAATGACCATTGTTATATTATAGTTCGTTTCTGTGTGTGTTACATTTTAAATGTTGTGTTTTTGTTGTGTCGTTGTTCTCCTCTTATATTTGATGCGTTTCCCTCAGTTTTAGTTTGTAACCCGGATTTGTTTTTATTTCTATCGATTTATGAGTTTCGAACAGCGGTATACTACTGTTGCCTTTGTGTAGCATTGAAAGGCAATTTGTTAGCCCTCACCATTTCTTCTGAAGTGTTGCACCATCTCAACTTGATTGTTGGGTCTAAAATTGCAGCCAATAAGAAACTCATCTGACATGAAAATATCAAGACATTTCTCTAACGATGATTTCAAAGTTTGAACCATTGTGTTGTTGTATGTTACATATAATTCATGTATCTGATGCTTTAATCCATCAATATTGGAATAACTAAGCTGGCTGACACTGACATCTTTCTGGACTATGAGTGTTGCGTCTTCAAATGGTTTAAGAATAGAGCGAAGTTCCTTCAAAATTTTCTCTCATAGGAGTCAACTGAGCTGATGCCCCAGTTTTTACTAGTTTTTCCTCGGATACTGATAAAAAAGGCCTTATCATAATAGTTTGTGAGTTCCAACGAGTTGATTTATCAGATTAAAGTCTTTTCTCATTTTCACTGATATCTGAGGCATAAACAGATTTTCTTACACATTTATCGTTATTTCCAGCTTTTGAAATTTTAAACCATTACCATTCTCTTTCAAACCATCTTTACAACTAATTGTAATGTATGGGCATAGCAGTTGTCAAGTGTAGGGAACTCGTCATCTGGTAATTCAACATTAAAATCATCATTTTCAGACTCGCTATCAGATTTATCACCACTCTCATTTTCAGATTTTCCATCAACCAATTTGCCAGGTAGGAAAAAAATTAAATGCCTTTTTCATATTGACAGCAAAATCAGTTATTACATTTCTGACTTTTTCTGATATATCGTACATCGCAAGAGTTTCTTCATACTCTTGGCGAATTTTGTCTGCTGTATGTCCCCTTTTAACTTGCTTGAATGAAATCATGACAGATTCTAGTTTCCAATTTTAAAAGAAGAGTCCAGTCATTCCAAGAAAGCCACGTATTTGGCGATTAGACCACAAATCAAGAGTTATGCATATATGTTCAATAGAATTCAATGTCCTTCTTTTATTGCTTTCAACCTGTAAATAAACTGTTTTCAAATGGTTTTTTGATAATTGTTTTCTACACGGAAGCTCACACCTAGGAAATATTGACAAAACTCCTGAAAAATTGGTTTTCCACAAGAGAGAGTGATGATCTTGTCCCTACTTTTACGTGTTGTAATATCTTATCTTATCTTATCTGTTGTTTTGTTTTGTTGTTTATTTGACTCATTGTTGGCAGATTTATTGAAATATAGCTCATTCCGTTGTTTTCTCTAAAAAATAAACAAATAAGCTTGAAAAATTTGTCCAGATAACGTTACAGTTTTTAAACATGTAAATTAAATGCATTGATTTATCTTTTTGTTTGGATAATCTCCTTAATTACAGGTTATAAGCAACGGTTAATCAATGGAAAGGTATATACTATTTAGAATATAGCAAAGTGCTCTCAACCAATGAAATTGTAGGATTTGATGTCTCTTAATTGAAAAGAATGAATGTAAATCATGTTCTTAGTAAGGGTTTATCCTATTATTTGGGTCTAGCCGATTTATCAAATTGAAAGGATTTATCACAGTGATTGAAACTGACTAAAAGTTGAATTGTGAAACAAACAAACAAAAATCAAAATAAGTTGAAGTTTACTGGTGCAGTAAAGTTTGTACCTTTAATGTTATCAAATATTATCAAAGCAATGCTAACAAAAGAAAAAAAAGTTTTAAAATAAAAAAAATATTACCTAAATCTTTAGCTTCCCTTCAAAATTGATACCGTTTATGTTATTATATGTGTCGCATTTCCTTCAGAAATTATCACATTTTTATGTGCGAAAGGGACAAAGTTCCTTACAAACGTTTACAAAATATAATCGCTATCATCATTTTATGTGACATTCTTTTTTTATCAAGTATATTTAAAACTCGTCGTCCATTCAGATTACCTGAATTTCCCTTCACAAAGTTTTATAGTACACACTTTTGTGTGGAGAAATTAACTACATGGATTACCACAATGATATAAGATTACGTTCTGCTGTGATACAGGTATTAGGAACAATATCATTTTGTTTAAAAAAAAGTATATGATAGTATTTTGTCTTTTAATAACAAAATTATTTTTATATATCATGTCATTAAAATTCTTGCTATTAGTTTGAAGATGAAGTTTTCCGAATTTAATTATAGTAAGTATATACAAGCAATCATTTTGGAGAATTTATTGATTGTACAGGTATTGTTAAATTAATTATTTTTAGAGATAGTTTCATAACCACTCTTAAGCCAATGTCAGTGTATAGGGTAGATGCCAAGAATACGACTTAGAATACAAGAAAGTTCGTCGAACAGACAGTTTGACAAACCTTTATTCATGTACCATCTCCCGACTTTCGTAGGGCTTTGACATAACGAGCCTAAGACTACAAAGCGCATAGTTGTACTATGAGAAAAATGGCAAGAGTATTCATTCTTATTATTCTAGGAATTGGATAGATTAAAGCAAGAATTAGAAAAGAAAAAAGAAAGCCTTGACCTACTTGGCGTCGACTCTAGTGAACTAAAAAATCGAGATAGGCGAAATTGGTAAGTGTCAATAAATAAATTACAAATGTAGGATGGGTGTAAATTAACTCTTCATAGACACCAAAATTACGTGCGTTTCGTCTATATAAAACCCATCAGTGACGCTTGAACAAAAAAAGTTAGAGAGGTCAAATAAAGTATGAAGTTGAAATGCCTAAAGGACCCCAAATTCCGAAAGGTTTGGCCAAATACAGCTAAGATAATCTATTCCTGTGGTCAAAAATCCTTAGTATTTCCAAAAATCCTTAGTTTTCTAAACAGTTAATTTATAATTATGACCATATCAATGACAATTCATGTCAACACAGAAGTGCTGACTACTGAACTGGTGATACCATCGGGGAAAAAAGCACCAGCAGTGGCATCGACCCAGTTAATGTGAGCTAGCGTGAAGTTCGATTTAACTATTTTAGGTAATTGTTTTGATTATATAAATGATTTTGGTTTAGTTTAATATTGCTTTTGTTTGTTAAGGTTTTTTTTCTTCTGAATGTTTTTGCCTCGTTGTCAGATGTTTCGGAATACTACTGCAAATAATAAGAATATATAGCATCTCACTTGTGAACATAATAGATTGAAATGATAACTGAAAATATATCAAGGATAATATTGTATCTACAAAACAGGAAAAGATAATGATGCCAAAGAGAGGGTGAAAAATAAAAATAAAAGATTTTGCGACCCACACCACAAAATGTTTTTTAAAATTCAAACCTTTTATACAAACAAGCATACAGTTTTTTTTATTAGAGTGTGGGTGAAAACTGAAATGAAAATTTATCATCTAAAAAGAAAGTGTAACATATTATGCGATCTGTAAAAATCAGATTAAAATTAAATCTCCGCACTCGCTTATTTTTTAAAATTTGGTCGTTGACGAGATTTAATTTTAATTACATTGTGTAAATATATATATTTTCAAAGTTTTATTCTGCGCAGGCAATAGCATAACACAGATACTATACATGAGCATATGAATTTTAAACATAATTTATTTTACTCCTACAAGTTCTCCTGAAAGTCTTGAGCAGTAAGTATAAACTCCATCGTCTTGCATGCCTTCATTTTGACAAATGTTTGTATTAAAATTCTGTGTTGTTGCATGACTTTTAACTATCCTCTTTCTTTGACCGTAAGGGTTTATAACTTTATAGTTGTTAACCCTTTAATTATGTCATCCTTGTGTGTGTATTTCCATCGTTTATTTGTATTTACAGAATAGAATTTCCTTTTCTCGTCCTAAAAATTCCTTATTGGTATTGGTTTATAACAGTTAACACGTTTAAATATAAATTAATATTATTTCTAGAATCGACCATTATCATTGTATTAAACTTTCATACTTCCTGTTATTTATTGACACTGGAGTAAAACTATGCACTTATAGTTCTAGTTTGCATTTTTAAAGAAATATATTAGGGAAGATTTTTTGTTGTAATTAAATGCACCCCAACAAAAAATGTAAACGTTTCAATAAAACAAACATCTGTTTATTTCAAATTTCAATTTTTTTTTTATTAAAGTAACGTAATTCTCGATTTTTTCTGTATGTTTACCAATTAGTCTTTATAATTTTGGATAGTTAAATGCTTTATACCAAAAATAAAAAAATCATTTATATATAGACGATATTTAAAAAAAAATAAAACATATTAGATTCATTGATAGTTATTGCTTGCTTATCGCCCAGTGGCAAATATTTCATGCAAATTCGGGATGAGAACAAATTAACTAGTAGTGGTTAAACCCCTCTCTGTTTTTGCAAACAACAAAACACATAGTACAATTAATTGATTTATCAATAAGATTTACAGTTGTAGTTATCAATAAGATTTACAGTTGTATTTATCAATGATGCCATTTAATGTAATTCGATATCCTGCATTTATCATGCTTCCCATGAAATAAGGTTAAATTGTTGGAAGACTCTCCTCCATACTTATTGAAAGCTATCATTTTGTTTTAACCGTTATATCATCGGGTAAATTAGATACACCCAATCGAGCTAACGCCTAGGTAAGTAAGTGTCTATAATTTAAAGGGGCACTAGCTAAGAGATATATATATATAAAATCTAAAGTATGATTTATTTTTTGTTCAATCATTAATGAAAGTGAAATAGTGAAATAATAATTCGCTTTTAGCAGCCAGTATGGTTCAATTTTGTCAAATTAAGCTAAGAAACATTGATGATAAATTATTCACTTGCAAGTGAATAATTCGACCTCATTGAATCATGTGAACTTCAATTTAACCCCTTACCTAGAGATGGATAACGCATGCAGTGTGCGTGTTCGGTTATTTAAAGGAAAAGAATGTCAACATTGAAAGTGAAACAAAGGTAAATCATTTGATTGATTGATTCGATCCACTTATACAGGTAAAAACGATGATTAACAAATAATTTTAATCTATAATATGAAATTAAACAGACCAAGAAAAATCCAATTGCACGTCTTCGCTTTGTATTTATATCTATATTGATGTTTATATCGCTTTTATGACCATCGGAGGTATTCGGAGGTCAACTCGATAGTTAATTAGATGGCGTCAGGACTAAAATACATACGAAACGAAGCTACATATTATCGAGCCCATGCCCTGTAAATGATTTATTTTAGACTTTTTATAATTTGGATAAATGTTTTACATGGTTATAGATCAAATGTGAGAATTTGAGTCAAATCGGTGAACATGAATTTGACAGCTAATGTACTTTTAAATTCATAAAAGCGCTTCGGACGCATACAACTTCTAAAGTGTTATTTAATTTTCAACAAACTCTCTAGACATATAAGTAAGTTGTTCTTTAAATTGTTTCCTACAATTCAATAACAAATAAATTAATGAATACAAAAATTACAGAATCACCATGGGTGCATACATCGAACTTAAGGTAGCACAATACAAAAGCAACTAAATTTTATCAAAATTTTATTTTCAGCTGTTTTTGTTACTTCTTAATATTCCAAAACCACAGAAGAAAAATTCATTTACATATCTTGAACTGTTAATGAGTTTTAATGATAATTAGTTTTATAAACAAAATGCACGTGTCTGACTGATACAAGATAAAAACATGTGGGAAGTACTTTGTGGTTAATCAAGGAGGTTATATGACCTCCTTGGGTTAACCAATAGAATCATTTGATAGCTTTACGACCACTGACCAGCAATACAAATAACAGTTACGAAAAAGAGGTGGATTAGGGATTAATGGAAAAATGAAGATAATGAATTCCAAATAAAAATACATTTCATTAATGGAGCTGCCAGGAGAAAAAAAAACAAAGTAACAATTTGGAGATATAGAGGGAATCAAAATATAAATGTACAGAAATTAAACAAATGTAATTGTATAACAATTAATGTACTGGAATTTCTTGGGAGAGAATGTTTAGATGTGAATTCTTTTTAAAAGAAAATACAAATTAAATATTTCATTTTCAAACTGCAAAATTGAACAAAATCTACTTTGTGTAAAACACCATATTATCCTTGTATACAATTACAATTCTAAAAATCCCCCATAAGGATCCCGTAAACTGACCAACTGATCATTTTGTGTACACATGCATAACTTACTTTTTGTAACTATCAAAAAACAAAATATATTATGTTATGTACTAAATGAATAAAATCCATACTGAAAAAAAGTAAATGCAATGTGTAATTAAACTTCTGAGATCATTAGTAGTAAAGGTTTATCATGGTGGGCGGAGTTTTGACCATACCAGTAGCAACTGACTTACAACAAGGTCAATAATGATATAACATCTCCCGCCAGATCTGGTTTTTGATGCATAGGGTGTGCATTTTCTCTATATATTTAGAATTGCTGAAATTGAATGCTTTTTTACTGGTCAAAACCTAATTGATTTATGATTGAAGGCCAATCCTGAAATATCCCAATGGTACATGTGTGAATTATATTGAAGTTAATGGGGTACAAGTAGGAAAATCCTTATTTATTCAATTGTGACACATTCATTTTTGTCATGAAAATGTAGTTTTAAATGAATTTAGCTCCTAGATTGTTGCCCTTATATGTCTGATTTTCACACATGTTGTTCCTTGACCAGTTATCTTCAAAAGGGTGTCTCAGATTTCCAAAAACATCAATAGAACAAATATACCCAATTAAATTTAGTGATCTCTTATGAATTTAGGTTGCAAACTTCATTGAAGGTTTATGAGAGAATGAAATACAATAGGAAAAATCTGAGACACCCTTTTGGAGGTCAAACAGTGTTATACAAGAATCTATAAAATATTTTGGGATGCTATGAATAACAAAGAAGCTATTTTCATTCAAGTGTGGACATCTCAATATAGCAACTAATTACATAATAATTATATCAAATTGACGTTTTCACCATTTGAAAGATTAATCTTTCTTCTTTCTTTTGGTACCTCATTTATAAAATTTAAGCTGGATGAAAGAAATACATCAGTTTAAAGTTGTCTGATTGGGGGTGAACAAATCTTTGTATTGTGCTACCTTAATGGATTTATAGTAAAAGAAACACATTTTTGTGTCGAATACAATGAAGAATATGTAGTTTGCTTGCAATTAATATCATATGACGAAAATCGCAAAATTGCCGTACGTCCAGTCTCTTTATTGCTGCTGTAACATTGATCTTTGACCTAGTGACCTAACAATCCAAAGGGTTCTTTTTTTACCCAAAGGGTATTATCCACCAAAGAAATGATTTATGGCTCAAAAATATTATCTGAAACAAAACTTTCTGCTATTTATAGGTAAAGTGACCTTGATCTTTGACCTTTTGACCCGAAAATAAAAAGGGGTTTTGTTTTTTTTCCAAGGGGCATTATCATGCTAAGTGTGGTGGATGTTGGACATGCGGTTCAAAAGATATCACAAGGAAACCAAATTTGCCCTCAATTTCAGTTTATTAATTATTATACCAGTTGGTGATATTGAGCTTTGAACATGTGACCTCCAAATCAATAGGGGTCTTTGTCATGTCCTGTGGCTCAAAAAACTTTGTACGGAAACTTGAATGTTGACGTCCCGACGACATTCATCATATCATACGCACAGTTCGACAGCGTCGCAACTCGGCTAATAAATTTTTACCCCTAAATAACATCTGCATACATGTATTTAAGATTACTAGTTACAGAAATAGTATATATAAGTATTTACGAATAGCTTCGATTTCCAACAAGTATATGTGCAGTGAGATATAATGATCTCCTTGTAAGCAATATTTGCTCACATATCACAATAAAAAAACCCACTTTAGATATATATGGCTCTAATGCCATTCAGGAAAATTGAAAAGTATAAGGAATTGAAAACATTCTGTATGTGCCTGTTCCAAGTCAGGAGCCTGTAATCCAGTGTTATCGTTTGTTGTATATCATATTTGTTTTTCGTTTATAGTTTTGTACATAAATCAGCCGTTAGATTTCTCGTTCAAACTGTTTTACATTTTTCATTTCGAGCCTGTTATAGCCTACTATGCGGTTTTAATACAAGTGACTCCGTTCCACTATTGTATATACAAGGAACGCCGGTTTACTACTGTTAATAGAAGTGACCGTTCCACTACTGTATATACAAGGAACGACAGTTAACTACTGTTAATACAAGTGACTCCGTTTTACTACTGTCAATACAAGGAACTCCGTGTTACGTTACTACTGTTAATACAAGTGACTCCGTTCCACTACTGTTTATACAAGGAACGCCAGTTTACTACTGTTAATACAAGTGACTCCGTTCCACTACTGTATAAACAAGGAACGCCAGTTTACTACTGTTAATACAAGTGACTCCGTTCCACTACTGTATATACAAAGAACGTCGGTTTACTACTATAAATACAAGTGACTCCGGTTCACTACTGTATATACAAGGAACGCCGGTTTACTTCTGTTAATACAAGTAACTCCGTTCCACTACTGTATTTACAAGGAACGCTAGTTTACTACTGTAAATACAAGTGACTCCGGTCCACTACTGTATATACAACAGACGCCGGTTTACTACTCTTAATACAAGTGACTCCGGTCCACTACTGAATATACAAGGAACACCGGTTTACTACTCTTAATACAAGTTACTCCTTTCCACTACTGAATATACAAGGAACACCGGTTTACTACTCTTAATACAAGTGACTCCGGTCCACTACTGAATATACAAGGAACACCGGTTTACTACTGTAAATACAAGTTACTCCGGTATACATATGTATATACAACAGACGCCGGTTAACTATACTGTTAATACAAGCGACTCCGTTCCACTATTGTATATAAAAGGAACGCCTGTTTACTACTTATAATACAAGTGACTTCAGTATACTACTGCATATAGAAGTGACTCTGGTATACTACTGTGTATATATATATATATATATATCCAGTATACTTTTCTTTTTTATATATTCGCAGTGTAATACATAAAGAGTAAAATTCTCTTCTTCAGCAGTTGAAATTTTCTTTGTAAAAATTAATCAGTAGCTTTGTCTTTACAGGGAACACGTTCGAAATAATTTATTACAAAAGCAATCATTTCTCCAGAAAAAGGTGGACCAATACAGAACAGAATTAGCAACATTAAAAGCATCTTGTACAGCAAAGGATATTTCTATACAGAAACTTCAGTATCAGGTACAATATACAATTAAACTATTTCAACATATCTGGCTAGAGCTCAAAACTTAAAACCAAAACTTTGTGTGTTTTATATTTTATACATTACAGTGAAGACTGTTTTGATAAATTAAATTCTTATCTTTTCAGGTAACAGAACTCAAAGAAACTGTAGCAGAAAGGGATGCAAAAATAGAAAAACTAAATACGCAATTGAGTTTTATGATTGAAGAGTCTAATATCAAAGAAAAAAAAGCAAAATCGCTGCCGCGCCAGAACTCTTTTGCTAAAATGTTTAACAGACAAAAATCTTTTCAAACACAAAAGTCTATCGAAAATGAAGACAGGGACAAAGTTAGTAGTAGTTTGCCTAAAAATATAAGATCTACTAGGACATCAGTGAAACATCCAATGCGAAGAAGTATAGATGTTACTAATACCGCCAATGGATTCCAGATGGGGATAAAACCACCTTCAGCAGACGAAAGTAGAGCATGTATAGTCATGTGATTATACGTAAAAATTAACACTCAGGAACGAAGCAAAATAGATGGATGGATGGATGGTTATTTAAAGTCCTGCAATGAAGCAAATTGGCATTTGATATAGATTTGATATACATGTTTAATACAATAAGAAATTTGTGTTTTTGTGTACGAAAAAATCAGGGTTGATATACTGATTCCATTGTTGCATTTTGAAAATTATTTGATGTTGGTAGTGACAGAAACTAGTATTGGTCATCCGGAAGTATTGAGCGCTCTTGTACAATAAACCAAAAGTAACACTAAAGAAAGGGCTGCGCCATAAGCGCATGATACGCCCGTCGCCTTTTCAAAGAATAAAGTTCCATAACTCCTCAATGTCATATCAGAAATTTATAAAAAAAAACTAAAGGGAGGTTATTTTAATAGATATAAAACAGTCACCAAAGTTTCATGAAAACTGCTCAAAGCACTTTTGAGTTATTGTCCGAAAACTGGAAAAACTATGAATAAAATCCCATAACTCGGAATTGTAAAATCTAAAATTTATAAAAATCGAAAGGGACCTCACGTCAATAGATATAAACAATTCACCAATGTTTCATGCAAATTGGTTAAAGCGTTTTTGAGTTATTGTCCGACATTTTGACGACGGACGGACGGACAACGGTATACCGTAAACGGACGTATAACAAGGAAGGAAAGAATAACCAGAAAATTACATATTTCCATAACTGAAAATTTATCAAGTATTCATGCCAAATGCATAGTATGCCATGTAACAGTATACTGGTTATCGAACTGATACCAACGAGGACATGCAATCCGCAAACATTGGCCATGAACAAGTGGAGGTAGTAAAAATTTACGAGAACAGCGTAAACATTTTGTAAGCTCACTCTGCAATTCAATAGTCGTCAAATTTCCAGTATACTTTCTTGATTATTTAATGGCTGCGTAAGGGCAAGCATAAAAAATGTGTGTAATGCATGCATATTCAGGACGATAACATTTCATACACAAGAATTGCGGACAGCTCAGCTGGATGGCTTTATCAGCTACCAAACAGAGAACCGTAATCATTGAACATTTTTTAACGTTATTGTCTATGGGGAATTATGACCACTAGCTAAATAAACGAATACTATGTCTATTTTATAAATCTCATATAAAATTAATAAATTATAGAGATCTCACCAATTTTTTAGCTTTGAAATGGTGTAAAAAAAATCCACTTTATCTTGATATTTACTGGTGTCCCTATCATGTTGAACGTCGGGTTCTCTTTTGGTTGAGATATGTTAAATTACGAGGTATACATATTTTATAAAAATTCATATTAAATTCATTTTTTATTGTAAATCAAATTAACAAATTATACAGTATTGGCAAATAATTTTCCTATCAAATGGTATAAGAATCGTCATTTTAAAATAATGTTTACTGTTGTCCCTAAGCATTTGAAAGTGAAACTTCATTATTTATGAATACGATGTATATTCATTCAACTAAGATTGGCCGTATTCAAAGACAAATTGGTCTTGTTATTTAGTTGAATTCTCATTTTTATGATGTGAACTTCTTTTCTAATTACATCCATCATTTTAAATATCTAGTTAGGTTTTAAACAATATATTAATTTCTATTATACCAAAGAGTTCTTTAAACATCAAAATTTTAAAAGTAGTGTGGTTTTGTTGACATCTTGACGAAAAATATGCAAAAAGTGTTGTTTTTTTTTTCGTTTTTTTTTTAAAGGCTCTGTCTAATTAATCTTATTTTGATTTGAGTAATTATATTATTATTATCAAATATTTGAATACACAATTGCATGATAGTATTATTGAAAAAAAATGTCTACGAAATCTAAAAAACTAAATTGAAATAGAAAAGATGACAACGTGCAATTTTTAATGTTATTCAAAACATACAAAATTTTATACAAGTTTTGTATAATGAAAAGTATAGGGAATATTATTCTTATCATTATAAGAAATGATCAGAGAAGTAAATGCAAGTATTTTGAATGTATACAGTAAGATATCATAGCATCAAAATCATTGTTAGGATATATCTTTATGTTCTCCTTTATACATTAATCTTATTGTTTAGTACAAGGATTTGTATAGTACTATACAAATCCTTGTTTAGTATATTCATAAAATGTCGTTTAATAATACAAATGACGAAAAACATCGAGGTGCTTTTTAAGAAAAGCTCTATAATTATCGATCTCAGCTAACATATAAACACGAATGTGTCAATATTTACATAGTATATTGTTTAAGCGTCCCATGGTGCCACGGCAAATCCTTTCCGGTGCGGTATCACTATTCAATACCATATGTTACTATTTTATCTTATCATTGAAGTATTATATTGAAAATATAGTAGTCCATGCAAAAGAGATTGTTGGGAGACCCCCTTTTTTATTTTTTGCAGTTAATTTATAGTTCGAAAATAGTCTTTTCACATCAACTTTTTTACCTTGTCTTAAGTGTTCAAACTCTTATCAATGCGATTTAACAATAATAATTTATGTATGTTGCCCTCTATTCTTATGTTTAAATGTGTAAGAGTATTCTACACATAAGAATATAGGGTAACACATATAAACTAATTTTATAAAGAAAAAACAAAATTGAGATACGACTGAAATATGAACGAATATTTTCAAATAAGATTAATTACAACAAAAAAATAATTATAAAATTAACTAACAAAGTGAAGCCCCGCACTTCACTCTGAAGTAACTGTATCATAACAAAGATAATGTAGAACTTTATCTGAGATTTAATTGTGTCTGGGAGAAACAAATGATGCCCCCGCAGATGCAAAGTGTTATTTTAAAATAACTTCAACTATCTCCCAAAAGAGCAAATATTAAACCCTGACCACATGCACACCTTCAATATATGTACAAACCACTAAACTTTAAGGAGAAAGTCTGCGGTTTTATTTACTGATATCTATGTCTAAATAAGGGTAGTGAATTATGTAAGTTTTATGTTCCTAGAGGACAGGAAAATATTACAATTTAATCCACAGGTGTTAATGAGTTTACGTGTTACCTAGATCAAATAAAATTCAGCATGGAGTATACATCTGGCTTATACAATGTCAATGTCGAATACATGTGACCTACCCATATCAAATAAAATCTAAAATTGACAGTAAAAAATGAACATCTTGTCTGTCATATTTATGATATTGCCTTCTGTAGCTTTTATTTATATGTTTTATGAGATTTCAACCCTCCCTCTATACCTCTAGCCTATGTAGAATAAACAAAACACAGCAATACGCACAGTAAAACTCAGTTTAAAAGAAGTCCGAGTCCGATGTCAGAATAGATAACAAAATTCTTTTAAGACACTAAGCAAAATGGCAATGATACATGATAAATTAACTAAAGGACTACTACAGCAATAACTGACATGCCAGCTCCACACTTCAATTAAACTGATTGAAAGATTATGTATTCGTCATATTCATAAATTGTCTATCCTTTTCCAGAATCACGTTGAAGAGTTAAATGCTATTTTTTTTTATATAAAACATAATCTAGATAATACTCAATAGATATAAGAAGATGTGGTATGAGTGCCAATGAGACAACTCTCCATCCAAGTCAAAATTTAAAAAAGTAAACCATTATAGGTCAAAGTACGGTCTTCAACACGGAGCCTTGGCTCACACCGAACAGTAAGCTATACTAAGGGCCCCAAAAATTACTAGTGTAAAACCATTCAATCGGGAAAACCAACGGTCTAATCTATATAAAAAACGAGAAACGAGAAACACTTATGAACCACATCAACAAACGACAACTACTGAACATCAGATTCCTGACTTAGGACAGGTGCAAACAAATGCAGCGGGTTTAAACGTTTTAATGGCACCAAACCTTCACCCTTTTTCTGAAATATTAGTGTAACATCACAACATAGAAAGGCACACTATAAAATATCAACTGAAATAGCTTAACTCAATCAAAGGACATATTAACACCAATGAACATACAATGAACAAATAAATTTGACCTATGATACAATGCAAATACAAAATAAATAAACTAAGGGAAGAATAATAAAAGTAACATGTTATATCGGTATGAAATGTTAAACAATTTAAGAAAAACAATATGCTCGAACAAAAATATCAGCCATTTGCATTTATTTTAAACACAGGTAAATGAAAATAATTTTGTTGTTAGGTATATGTGTACAGTTCCAATAGAGAAAGGAAATATTTTTACAAAATAAATAATTTTGATGTTCATAGTACGAAGTAAAATTTATAGTAATACCAAACACTTATCAAAGCTGGTATATAGACCAGATATAACCCTGAATAACATTAAATAACAAAAAAGCATTACAATTAGTATCAACAGGTCAAATGAACAAGAAAGTACGATTTGAGAGTACTCGCAGTTACTGACAGCTAGTTAAAAGCCAAAACAATTAATAATAAAAAATCATACATCAGAGACTAAAATCAACTAAAACACATCCCAGGGATTTAGTATTTTAACGTCATGGACAGTCAAAGAAGACATGACTTGTGCAATGCCAAAAATAAATGTATCGACAGACAGTAAGATAGTTTAACCTCTTTATAGATCAAAATGAACGTGGGTGTGTCTTTATACATCCCGTTTGAAAAGAATACAAATTTAGGTATGTTTTAATTTGCTGATGACAAAATCGATATTAGTGCCAATGTAAACTATATTCAAAGATCTAATTACAACATTGGTAAGATAACCTTTACTAATAAGTTTGTTTAAAGGTTCGATGAGTTTACACGGATCACATAGTGATTTCCGCGCTTGAAGTACAATATTACCGTCAAATTTAGGATGTGAAATACCAATTTTAATAATTTTTCTACAGGTACAGCCAAATTTACTAATCAAATCTTTGTTTTACGTAATTTATGGTAACGAAATCCCTGACTTAATGATTTACCAGTGATGCATTGATAACGTTCGTTAAAATCTATGACATCACTACACACACGGGCATAACGAACAAGTTGGGATATATAAACACCGTATGATGGAGCCAAAGGAACATCGCCGTCTAAAAAAGGAAAATTAACAATAGGGAATGAAAAGTCGTCTCTTTTGTCGTAAATTTTAGTATGGAGTTTTCCTTTAGAGATTGAAATGTCCAAATCCAGAAAAGGACAACTACTGCTGTTTATGTTAGATTTAGCTAAAGTAAGTTCTTTTGGGTAAATTTCGGTAGTATATTTAGAGAACTCTGGATTGTTTAACGAAAAAATATCATCTAGATAACGGAAGGTATTGTTGAAAGTATCAACCAAATGTAACAATGACGTGTCTTTACTGAGTTTGGTCATAAACTGAGATTCATAGTAATACAGGAATAAATCTGCTATTAAAGGGGCGCAGTTAGTGCCCATAGGAATACCTGCTACTTGTCGATACACTTTATCGCCGAAACGTACATATATGTTGTCCAGGAGAAAACTTAAAGCTTCAATCATATCTTCACATTTCCAGTAAGTGTATCTATCATACTTTCCTTTTTCGTTACAGAAAAAGGCTTTAAACGAGTTACAGCAAATAAATTTGTAATGAGATTTTTCAAAAGACCATTTAATTAAATATGAAAACTTTTTCTTGATAAGATTGTGTGGAAGTGTAGTAAAGAGAGTAGAAAAATCATAGCTGTCAACAGAATTAAAAGGACCATCAAAAGCATGTATTTTATCTAAAACCTCTAAAGAATTTTTAACACTCCAAAAATGATTAATACCATTATTTTCATAAGCTTTATTACAAAAGTTAATAACAAGTTCTTTGATAGTAGTAAGGGAGGTAGTTAGAAGCACTGATAGATTGGTAGTAGAACACTTACTAGATGCGGAGATGAAACGGAATTTAAATGTTTTTTTTGTGCAATTTAGGTAACCAGTACATAGTAGGGACTTTCAAATGTTCGGAAGAGGCTTTAAGCTGGGTAGTGGCAGTGATATGCTTGTTTACAATTTGACTCTCTGTGGAGCGTACGGACCTGAATGTAGAAAGCCTTGAAAGCCTTGAAAGCCTGCTTGATGTTGAAAGGATTTTCATCTAACCCAATTAAAAAGAAATTTACAAGGATAGATCAGTTTGCCTGCGGCTTTTATTGAACTTGTTAAAATCAGAAACACCGATGAGAAATTATTTGGACTATCTTAAAGCTTCCGAGAAGGTCGTGTGTAGTATAAACAGGGTTACAAATTTCATACAATAAGAAAATTTATTAGATTAAGAAAAAAAATTAAAAAAAGTATTGATCAAGAGATATACATATATTATAAATATAGGAAATATAATAACATGTAAACGTATCTCTTTTGAACCATCGTTAACAGAAAATATTCTTTCTACATCATAGGGCATGCAAAACTTTTCTTTTTTTAATTACTTCTTTCCTATCGGCAATTTCTTCATCATTCATCTGTGTATAGTGTACGCGGGGTTTCTTTCTTAAATCCAACTGCGTTCGGAATTATCGTATAACTGCTAATATCATAAATTACCCTATAGGCATAACGTCAAAGTGACATCTATTGGCGGGGTGTTCGTTTAGGGGAGTTATCTATTCTTATCTACTGGTCACCAGACGATGAGAACAAGATGGGAACCAGAATAGAAAAGTAACACGAGTTATCTCGCCTTGAAA